ATATTTGACTCGGTGTAAAACGACCCAACAAATTACTATAAGTACCATGATATCACTTCATGTTACTGCAAGGTTTATCTTTAGAAGCGCAAAATATTATTTTTGTTGCTGCGCTAAGCTACTTTAACTTAGGCTTTGCCTTAACTTTAAATTTTTTCATCGAAAATTTAAGCCCATACTTCAACGTAAGTTTAAGCTTAGTAAGCCTAAACGTATGCCTAAGTTTGATTCTAAGCTTGCGTCTGTTTTAACCTAAGTTCAGGATTAAGTTTTAGACTATACGCTTAAGCTTAAGATCACGTTTAAACCTAAGCGTAAGCCTAAGACTAAACCAAAGTGTAAAATTAGCCTTTTGAAAGCCTTGTCCTAAGCTCTTAACTTACTTTTAGCCTAAACCTAAAACAAAACAAGACGAAAATTAGACTTAAAAGACGATTTCTGAGACGGTGAAGCATGGTGTGCACTAGAAATTGACCCCCTGTTTTTATCGTCTTAATGCATGAGATAAACCGTTTTAAGATGTATAGTGAAGTGTTTTTGCACAAAATGTCATTTTGACATTTTTATGACATTTTTTGTCAAAAACAGTGAAAATTTATAATAATTTTAAAAATTAGCAGAATGTTTTAAAAATTTTACACTTATGTTTTTAACTATGCTGATTAAAATTGTAGTTGAACATTTTTTTCTAAAGTTACCGTAACCTACCGTAACCCAACCGGTCAATTAAAAAAGTGCAAATAAAAAAAAATTTAACACGGTTAGTCATAGTCAATTTTAGCATATTTGAAATCTACATGAAATTTGGGTTTAAATAGACGGTACGCTCAAACTTAAAGCTGCCAGTTTTTGGGGTTTTTGGTCAATTAATAAATTACGGTAGGATACGGTCAAAAAATTAAAAAATTACTGTGCCATTATTAATATATCAAATGCCGTGTAATTTGTTATACTTACGTTTCAAAACACGCTTATTAAAATTGTAGTTGAACATTTTTTTCTAAAGTTACCGTAACCTACCGTAACCCAACCGGTCGATTAAAAAAAGTGCAAATAAAAAAAAATTTAACACGGTTAGTCATAGTCAATTTTAGCATATTTGAAATCTACATGAAATTTGGGTTTGAATAGACGGTACGCTCAAACTTAAAGCTGCCAATTTTGGGGCTTTACGGCCGATTAAAAAATTACGGTAGCACAATGTCAAAAAATTTAAAATTTTACTGACGCTTTGCTAATGCAATTACAAGTCTGCAAATTTGCATACGTACGGTTTTCGTTACGCTGAATTACTTTGTAGTTTAAAATTTTTTTCTAAAGGTACCGTAACCTAGCGTAATCCCACCGGTCGAGTATAAAAGTGCAAATATCCAAAAATTTAACACGGGTCTCCATAGTCAAGTTTAGCATATTAGAACCTACATGAAACGTAGATATTGATTGGGTATAAGCACATCTCTAAAGCTGCCAGTTTTGGTGCTTTACGGTAAATTAAAAAATTACGGTGGCGTACTATCCAAAAAATGACCGTAAACCCCCAAAATTGGCAGCTTTAAAGATTATATTATAGCCTTTCAATATCTACGTTTTATGAAGAATCTAAATATGCTAAAATTGACTATGACTAACCGTGTTAAATTTTTAGATATTTGCACTTTTATAATCGACCGGTCGGATTACGGTAAGTTACGGTGCTTTTATAAACTTTTTGTAATTACCAGTTTGTTCAACATGGTAAAAAACATAAGTATGCAAATTTGCAAACTTTTAATTGCATTAGCAAAGCGACAGTAAAATTTTAAATTTTTTGACATTGTGTTACCGTAATTTTTTAATCGGCCGTAAAGCCCCAAAATTGGCAGCTTTAAGTTTGAGCGTACCGTCTATTCAAACCCAAATTTCATGTAGATTTCAAATATGCTAAAATTGACTATGACTAACCGTGTTAAATTTTTTTTTATTTGCACTTTTTTAATCGACCGGTTGGGTTACGGTAGGTTACGGTAACTTTAGAAAAAAATGTTCAACTACAATTTTAAACAGCATAGTTAAAAACATAAGTGTACAAATTTTTAAAACATTCTGCTAATTTTTAAAATTATTATAAATTTTCACTGTTTTTGACAAAAAATGTCATAAAAATGTCAAAATGACATTTTGTGCAAAAACACTTCACTATACATCTTAAAACGGTTTATCTCATGCATTAAGACGATAAAAACAGGGGGTTAATTTCTAGTGCACCTGCCTGTTTCAGGCTGCTTCACTGTCTCAGAAATCGTCTTTTAAGTTTAATTCTGAGTTTAAGACTAAGCTCAAGCTTAAAAATCTTATAGATTTTGAAAGATACAACTTTTAAATACAATAACATTGTTTTACCTTTTTTTGTTGATGTCACCAAACTTGTCTGTCTACATTCATATCCAATTCATAGCTGGACTTTTAGAAAACAAAATTTGAAAAAGTGATTGAAAGCGTCATAATATTAAATTTCTCTCGGATTTGTCTATAAAAATAAGTATAAATAGTAGTACAAGCCAACTAGCTTTAGCCTGAACTTAATTTATGTTGTAGTAGTTATTATCGTACTTTCGTATTTATTCAGTACGTACTATAAAATATTGTATATATGCTTAGACGTAGGCTTAGTTTTAGCTTTAATCCTAATGTTAGCTTTAGCCTTTGCCTTAGCTTTAGCCTTAGCCTCAGTATTAGTCTCAGTCTTAGCCGTATGTACGTATTTACATCCAGTAGGTGCTAATCAAAGTTTCACTGTAATCTGTCAAGTTTTGTTATTTTAAGCATGTTCGTTCATTCTCATCAAACTTTTCTCGAGTTTCTGACATTTCTCGACACTCTTTGCGTTTTTGATTTATTAAAAGACTTAAAACTGCTGTATGAGTTTTTACTGGCAAAGGGTTTTTTTTCAACCGGTATTTTATAAGTACAAGAGTAGAAAAGGTTCTTGTAAAACGTTGACGTTTTATGCCAAAGATTTGGCAGTTTTAAAATTTAAAAAAAAACAAATTTGCGCAGGTTGCCACATTGCCACAAATTACTATGTTCTATTAAATTTACGTTTAGCTCGACCCACTCACATTTAAAAAAAATTATTCAATTTTCCCAACTTCAACGCTTTCTGCACCAAAGCCAACGTTTTTTGAAGCCTTTTTGTGATGCTCCTAAAATCAAAATAAAATTTTTTAATCATTATAAAAAAAAGTAAAACGTACTTTTTATTATTATACTTTGTGTAAAGAAGAGGGAAGAAGAGGTAAAAAAAGTTTCTCTAAGTTCTTTAATAGTTGGTACTAAATTTTGCTAATCCAAAATGTCATATAAAGCAAAATAGATTTCATTTGTATACAAATATACAAACGTGCACTAAATTCTAAGTATTGTTCGTCATTGTTTATAATTTAAAGCTTTAAGACCACCAAGACGTTTTTGACTTGTTTATGTTTCTTGGCGTTGTAAGTGAAATGTCATGTAAAAAATACGTGAATTCACCACCAAAAAGTTTACTTTGTTAATGAAGGTTTGCTCAAACTTTAATTTTTCCTGAGCCTGCACTCTGTAGAAACCCTAGTCGTAGTCAAGCCTGAGCCTGCGTTTAAATTTTGCTTTAGCCCTATTTTTGTTCAATCTTTAGACTGGCTCAAGTATCGACTTATTGAAGCTCTATCTTTGTCTATGTTGTAGAGTCACCTAAGCTGACGGTGTAACCTTGTCATAATTATATTTTAGTCTTCTTTACTTCAGCTACTCAAACATTGTTTTATACTCGACCCTTTTAATATAATATAATTAACAAAATATTTCAAAAATATTTATTTCCTAACCTAAAAACATTGTTTCTGCCAATTGATTAGTAAACATAGCAATGTCATAAATATAATCAAATTGATTGAAAAACGGTCAGACTTTTAACGCACTTTGGGCCGCTTTTCATTGAGCAGTTTTGGCACGGGAAACAATTGTCCCACCAAATTTATTGGTTTTTTGTTTGTAAAGTAAGTCTGAACTTTGATGAACTGACAAGATTAACACGTAGGCTTACACTTTTTTCTTGTTAGGGGGTCTGGGTTGACCTTTTTACTGTGAAATTGAGTTTGTATTTAATTTTGGTTTTTTAGTTGATTTTATTGCTTTTTGAAAGGTTCTTGGAAGAGGCATTTTTTATAGTACATTCGTATACTGAAAAAATTTAAAAAAAGTTGATTTAGTGGAACTATCAAACTCGAAAACTAAAAAAAATATTAGTCTAAAATTTTTTTTTCATTACTTTCTCCGACTTCTATGAGTTACCTTTACCATACGGCTAGGTTAGTTCTACCCTACACTAACTTTACTCTAGTCTTACTCTAGCTCTACCCGAACCTAGCTTTAGCTGAGCTTTGTTGTAATTTGAGTTATACTCTACCCTATGATAGCTTTAACTTTGCCTTACCTTAGCTTTTTCCACTTCTAACGCTAACCTATCAGAACTTTAGCTACCTTACTTTAGTTTTTTTATAAATAATTTAATTTAGGCCTTAATTTTCATTGCCTTAAGTTAGCCGTACCTAAGTCCTGCGCGTTATACCGGCTTTACTCTAGCCCTTGACCTGTCTCTACCAATAGTTAATAGTTGACCAGCCTTTTCTCTTTTTTTATCTCACTTTTGTCATGACCTTGCCTTACTCTTTCTCTATCGCCTTATCTTAGCTTGCATTTATCCTAATCTTACTATACTGTAGGGTTGCCGACGGGGGGGGATATCCCCCGGTACCCGCGGGGATGGGATTTGCGGGGACCCGTACCCGCGGGGATTTCTAATCCCCCCGCGCGGGGATCACACTATTATTTTTTCTAAAAATATCAAAATAATTTTATTTTTCTTCAAGTTTTGGGTTTTGCAACTAAAAAATTAAATGCCAAATTTTGTGGCGTTTTGTTTTATTCCTAAAAATGTTATTTTGAAATGTTTATATTTTTTATGTTGAAATGGCAAGCAATTAATGGTAAGTTTAATTTTAGATATTATTTTAATTTGTTTTAGATCTTGTATAATCATAAAAGCATTTTCGCTATTTTCTTTTTTACTTTTTTAGATTAAAATGGACAAAGATTCGGATGAGGTTGAAGGTACGAACGCGAGCGACAATCGCACAAAGAAACGACAAAACGATTCTGGAAGTTCTACTATTTGGAAGGTTTTTAACGCTAAGAAGGAATGTTTGATAAATGGTTGTTCGTACGTCAGTAAAGACAAAACCTCGTCCACAAAAGCAATGTGGGATCACGTACGATGTAAACATAACGAAACTTTTACCAAATTGAAGGAACAATGTAACTCACATGACGAATTACCAACGAAGAAGCAATGTTCAGTAAGTTTGTTTTCTTGAAGTTTAATTTTGTTTTTAGATTTCAAATTATTTAGTAAAAAGAAGGAATCACGATTTTCAAACATCCAGAGACAATCACTTGGTTAAAACCATTCTCTCAATGAGATGTGCTCTTCGGCATTTAGATTCTGACTTTTTACACGTTATGGCCGATTCGCACTTTCCAAATACTAAAAAATATGGAAAAGGGCACTTTACGGACATCGTTATTCCTCGTATGGTTGCTGATATCAACAGCCTTATCAGGACTACTATAGGAAAAGGAAAATTTACGATTACTTCAGATGGTTGGAGCTCTGGAGAGAGATCTTTTCAATGGTAAGTTTTCGTGTAAATTTTACGGTGAACTAAATTTTACTTAAGCAAGTATTTCTATGGATGTTATAGAAACTTAAAATATTATAAAAATTAACTTTAGTTTTTTGTTTTAGTTTGACTCTCCATACGGTGGACCAACAGTACAAACGAAAAAACTTTGTAATTGGATGTAAAAGTTTTGGAACGGATGTGAAAATTGGTGCTAACATCGCCGAAAAGGTATTGGAAATATGTGAAGATTACGGCTTTGCAAAAAATCAAATTTTATGTATGGTTAGAGACGATGCTGCTAATATGAAGAAAGCTTCAAAGATTATTGATGTCAAAAGGTAATATATATACATGTATTAAGTTGATAATTTTTTAGCTTTCAATGTGTGTGTCATTTGTTAAATTTGGTCGTTTCGCAAGCCATAAACGCGTCAACTGGAAGCGTCAGTGAAGTGGTTGCCAAAGCTAGAGAGTTCGAAAAACTTTCAAGACAGTTTGAAAACAAAAATAAGTTCAAGGAAGCGCATGAAAGGCTTAACGTACCTTTTACAAAGATTCCACGGGTAAGTTTAAATTTCAAGTTAAATATTACATATATGTTAAATTTTATAGATGACTGTTTCGTTTTCTAATGTTACAATGGCTGTAAACGGATGAAACTAATCGTTAATGTTTTCAGGAAATAGTGACAAGGTGGAACTCGACATACATGATGCTTCAATCTTTGTTGGCCAAGTTTCATGTCGTCATAACAATGAAATACAATAAATTTCTTCAAAAGGATCAAAATCAGCTATTGGTAATCGTAAAAATACTAAAGAAGTTTCATGAACTTACAGTAATGTTTTCTGAAGACGATGCAACAGCATCTGCTGTTCTGCCATTATTAAATGGACTGGCCGACTATTTTCAATTAACGCATGAAAAATTAAAAACGTAAGTCGTTTTGCTTAAACTGTCATTTAAGTTTGATATCTGTTGCTATCCGTTTTTTTAAATTTTTTCTGTTTTAGGCAAGAAGAATTCAAAGATGTTGTTAACTTTATTGAAGACTTATGGGAAAGATTGACAACGAGAATGGAGAATATACAAAATAAAGAAATAATGATTTCGGCTCAACTAATTGATCCACGTTACTCTCATCAACTATCCGCTAATACAGCCAAAATTGGAGTCAGTTATATCAATAAGATGTTAAAAGCTGGAGTGGATAATGCGACAGAAGAAAACGAACCAAATTTGGATGATCTTGAAGAAGAAAGCCAAAGTTCCCTTGATTTGTCTTTTTTAGACGATGATTTAATCACTACTCGTCAAAAACACGTATATGTTTCTAGTACTCAGGAAGAAACAATTCAGGTAATATTTTATTATTTTTTGTTTAGTTGTTAGATTTATGTGACACAGAAATATGATGAATTACAGAGAGAATACAACGACTTGAGGACCTGTGGGCACGATGACAATCCGTACAAATTTTGGGAAAAGAATGAGAAGCGATTTTCTACGCTTGCTGTAGTTGCACGTGAACTCCTCTCAGTACCGCCGTCTTCCGTACCAAGCGAACGATTCTTTTCCCACACAACTATGTTATTTGCAGACCACCTAAAGTCACGACTGTCAAACGAAATGGCCGAGGAGATTTTGTTACTGAGATGTCAATTGATACAGCAAAAAGATGTGAATTCGGAAATTTTTCGATTTTGAAATTTCAGAAGAAAATGAATACTAGAATGTTGTAAAACCTATTTTTTATTGTTTTTTGTTTATTTTAATATAAATTTTGTTAATTTGACGTTTATTTTGTAGTTTTTGAATGAGTTTTGCTTGTCCCCGCGTCCCCCCCCCGGGGACGCGGGGGGATAAAGTGCCATCCCCCCCCGTCCCCGCGGGGATGGGAGTTGCGGGTACCCGCGACCACGGGGACTACAAATCCCCCCCCGTCGGCAACCCTACTATACTGTAACTTTATCTTTCTAATATGCTAGCTCAAACTTGTTTTATTGTTCAGCTGGTTTTTCAGTTTTTTTTACCATTGGGGTGACTATGTAGTACACCGCCATAAACATATCCATAGTCATAGCCTTACACTTAGCGTTAGTCTAACCTTAGCCTTAGCCTAACCTTTTATTTGTAGTATTGTATAATAGTATGTTTAGTAGCCGGTATGGTAACCGCCGTATTTTGCAAAAAAAATATTTATAAAAAATTTTTGGACAGTCTATGATTATTATATTACTATAAAACACATTTTTGCTAAAAATCTAAAACATTTGACCCATGAAACATTGAAAAAAGTTCATTATAAAGCAAGGTGGCCAATTAAACCTATATCAACGTGATTTTTCACGTTATGACTTCAAGAAAATGTCATATCACGGCTTTTGGTTTTGTTGGTCAGAGGTGAGATCGATTGAACGTTGGGTGTTGAATGTACTCACGGTGCGCCTGATCTCGTCATATCTTTTTGACGTTCCTCCCTCAATGCCCTCGAGAAAGGCAACTGTTTTTGTGTTGATCGTGGCTTCTTTTTGGATTTGTTCTAGTCAAATATGCTCTTTGGTGGGGTGGGAATATTTGAAATGGCTTTTGAGTATGAATAGTACAGATTTGGGGGTGGGATGGTGAGTACTTGGATCTTTAGGTACAATAAGATCCTAATAGTAGAGTATGGTAGAGTAGAGTAGGGTAGGGTAGGGTAGGCTAGGGTAGGGTAGGGTAGAGTAGGGTAAGGTAGGGTAGAGTAGAGTAGAGTAGGGTAGGGTAGGGTAGGGTAGGGTAGGGTAGGGTAGGGTAGGGTAGGGTAGGGTAGGGGTAGGGTAGGGTAGGGTAGGGTAGGGTTGGGTAGGGTAGGGTAAGGTAGGGTAGGGTAGGGTAGGGTAGGGTAGGGTAGGGTAGGGTAGGGTAGGGTAGGGTAGGGTAGGGTAGGGTAGGGTAGGGTTTGGCTAACCTAAGAGTATATTTTTTTTTAATTTTTGATTTTTTATGTTTTAGTCATCATTTTAAGCCAACCTCCGTTTAAAGCCCTCAAATTATCTTTTTGCGGCCGAAAAAACTGATTGAGCGGTTTTAATTAGTTAATTTGGCCGACTAAATAAAACCTCGTCAATGTGTGGGTATAACGTTTATATTGGCCAAGTAGGCATTAAGTGGCTATAAAAAACTTTGGCTGAGTTTTTGGTAATGGGGGTGGTAAAAAATGATGATTTTTTTACTAATTCAATTAGAAGAAAAAATATTTATAAAAAAAGCTCGAAGGTGGGTATTTTAGAAGGGGGACGGGCAGGGTAAAAAATTTTTTTAGGGGGATGGGGGGCGGGTGATAATTTTTTTAAATTTTTTTGATCTTGAAGTTTTTAATTCTTATTTTTTCTTAAGTTTAAGGTCAAAAAACAAGTTTTAGAAGTGCACTGACATCACTGCTTTGAGATAGAGATAGATCAAGTCAAAAAAAGTGTTGTTATATAAAGAATGCTTGATTGTTTAATGACAAATCATTCCTTTTAGTTTGACAAATTAATGTAGTTTCTGTGGACTAACTTTTGAAAAATTAACAATTTAAAAAAAACGTCCAAAATCCTAAATTAAATGGCATTTTTAGCTCTGAAAATTGAAAATTATGCCAAAAAAATGCCGATTTTTAGACTTAAAACATGAAATAAAATTATAAAAAATGCCATTTTTTGATAACACATAGTTGTAAATTATTATTTTTAGCATTTGTTATAAATTTAAACGTATTTTACATTACTTTTCTTATTTAAAAATGGCATTTTTGAAGGTTTTTTGAAGTTTCAATGAAGATTTATGTCAAAATCTCAGACTTTTTTGCCATTTTTCATTAAACCTTGGCTTCAAAGAAAAATTTTCTTTTTTAAAAATGAAAGACCAAATGTTGTCTCTACATTTGTCATCACAAAAAACATGATTCTGTCATGTATAAACTCCAACAACATCATTTATAGAGACATGTCCAAGATCAAACCTTGAAATTTTATCAAAATTTTCAAAAAAGTGCCATTTTCAATAAAAAACTAAAATTTTTACAAATTGCGACTAAAAATGGCCTTTCTATGCCTTTTAGACGACTAATAAGTGCATAAACAGTGCTTGCCGAACCCAAAAACAACCAAATTTGATTAAAATTGATATTACACTAGACTAGGGGAATGTGCCGAAATTAAGCTTGTAACCCGGGTTTTTCAAACTGTTTTGCATTGTTTTCAGGGTTTTTGAATTGTAATTTGTTCTTTTACTTTTGCGGCGTTGAATTTTGAAAAAAAAATTTTGGGCGGGGTAAGTTTTTTTTTGGGGGTGAAAATATGAAAAATTTGTTTTGCAATGACGTGTTTAGAGCAAAAAAGAGGTAATCAAAAAGCTTTTTTTTATGCTTTACCCTACCCTCCTTACATTACCATACCCTACCCAACCCTACGCTACCTTACCTTGAATTTTAAAAAAATCTCAAAAATTTTCAAAAAAATGCAAAAATGTAAAAAATCTTCTGACGTAACACTCATCACCATTCCAACTTTTACTGCCCAAATAAACAGACGTATCAATAAAACGGATCAGTTAGACCTTTAAGCCCGCACTTTATCCATCATTCCACCGTTTTTTTGGCTAAAAAAATCATTTTTTGAGGACACATTCTTTATATTATGATCGTTTTTTGCTTGATTGTGACAGACTTATGCCAATTTTCGTTTTGTTTATATTTTCAGAAACTCGGAAAAAAAGAAAGAAAGACTTTACTAATCCTTGTCGTTGCTAGTCGAGTGTGAATAAGGACGGGAGGGCAGGGGAATGAAAAATTAGGATGGTGTAAAACATAAAATAAGGCTTAAGGCATGATAAGATTTGAGAAAATGAGTTGAGCTAAATCTATTTTAAGGTTTAAAAGTATGAGCTAGAGTAAGACTACAATAGTGTGATGGCAAGACTAGAGCAAGGCTAGAACAAGACTAAAGCAAGGCTAGGACAAGACTAAAGCAAGCCTAGGACAAGACCAGGGCAAGGATAAGGCAACACTACAGCAAGGCTAAAGCAAGGTTAATGTAAGGCTAAGGAACAGCTAAGGCAAGACTAAAGCAAGGGTAGAGCAAGAGTAAAGCAAGTACATGTAAAAGGCAAGGCTAAGACGATGCTATAACAAGGCTATGGCAAGTTTAAAGCAAAGTTAAGACAAGACTAAAGAACAGCTAAGACAATGCTAAGTCAAGGCTAAGGCAAGACTAGAACAAGACTAAGGCAATGCTAACGCAAGGCTACGGCAAGGCAAATATAAGGCAAGTCTAAAACAAAGTTTGGTAAAAGACATTGCTAGTGTAGGAACTGGATATAACAGTGCTAAAGGGGCTTGTCGCAAAGAATAATAGGTGATGGTGGGGTGGATGTAAAAAACAAGGAAGTATATGTTGCGTTAAAGCATAGTAAATATTTTTTTTGTGTATTGTTAGTAACTTTAAGGTTAAGTGTACTCAACTATAAGGTCTTTGCGTATTCTGAAAGCAGAATTTTTAAAAGAGTTGAAAACTTTAAATTAAGGTTTATACTAGCACTGCTTTCTGAAAGATAGTATAAGTGCCAATTTTTTTAAAACTTTGGCATTGGGTGGTAATTTTAAGTTTGAAATTTATATTTTTGGGCAGCAAACAATACTACGTATTTTACATTAACTACCTTTTTACAGTGTACATACTTATATCTTCCGATCTATATAACTATACTCTGGTAATACTCAATATAACTTACTGACGTGTCTAAGAAAAGCTGAATAATACATCATGATACGTCTTTGCATTATTTATTTTTATTTGTTTACTTTGTATTGGAACGGTCGACTTCATCGTGCGCAAAATTGAAGGCAAATTTTAGTACAAACTGATTTTAGGTCTTCGGGGGGGGGGGGGGAGTTAGTATAGGTTCTAGTGCTAGGTAGTACTAATGTTTAGAAGTGGGTAGTTTAAGGTTTCAGTACTAGACAGTACAGTTGTTCAGTACTGAGTAATACAGAAGTTTCAGTGTTGGGTAGCACGGCTTTTCAGTGTACTATTTATAATACTAGTTGTACTATTTTTACTACTTCTTTAATAGTAGTACTTTGTAGAACTTTTAATACTATTAGTACAATTTTGGTTCCACTAGTACTACCTAATCTTGTTTAATACTTTTGGTAGTATTTTTTTAACTTTTGTATTATTGGTACTAGTTTAGTGCTGATTGTAATATAGTTAGTACAGTTGTTACAATTGAACCTGTTTTGTGCTTACGGTACTATTTTTTATATTTTAGTAGACGTTTTAGTATTTTTAGTACTATTTGTAATACAACTAGTACATTTGGTACAATCTAAACTTCTTTAGCACTTTTGGATGAATTTTTTATGTTTTAGTACTACTGATACTATTTTTATCACAACTAGTACTTTATGATTTCGAATTCCAAATTTGAAAGGGGAAGAACAAATTTTAAATGCTATTTTAAATTTAAAAATGACGCTTTTTTCAGATTTTGAATCTATCCAATGGACGAACGAGGAACTGAAAGATGATAGTGGTGTTGACAATCATCAGCGAGCTGATCCGGTCTCCCAAGTTTAAGGTGCGTCAAAATGAATAATAATAGGCTTTGAAGGCATTAAATTTGATTTTCATACCTAAATTTCAAAAAATTTCAAAATTTAAAAAAAAACATTTTTTTTTAAATTTTTGTGCTAAAATTTTTTTTTCATTTTTTAGGTTTAAAAAATGGCTATAATGTTTCAAAAATTCAAGAAAACGTTAAAAATGTCAAAACCTCATGAACCTTTGATTTGGCTTTGAGGTTTTCATTTCCGACACATGTTGTTATGTTATAACGTTAATGACACATGTTCATCACCAAAAATAAACTTTAAAAAAATGATTTTTTGAAACATTTTTTGATCTTTTAATCTTAGTACTATATAGTACTAAAATGTTCAAAAAATACTATTTAGTACTAATACATTATAATAAATATTTGATTAAAAAACAATGTAACAGAACTTTTGGCGCACCCTGTACATCAAAAATAATAAAGTACAAATGTATAGTGACATAGTATATATAAAGTATAGGGACATAGTATATATACTAAAAAAATAATGTGTCATAAGCCATTTTGTGTTGAAAAAAAACTGTCATAGGCTTTATTTTGAAGCTCTCAAGTTTCAAAACACTTTCCATGGCTATAAAAACTTAAAAGTGCGATCCTACTGCTCGAGTGGCAATTTATAGCTATCTCATTAGTTTTCACTCAACGTTTTTAAACTTTTTTTGAAATTGTTGCAAAGTCTAAACTTATTTTTGCACTTAAAAAAATGAAACTTCCTAGTCCTATCCTTAGCCCAGAGTCCTAGCCCAGATCCTTAGTTCAAAGCCCAAGCTCAAGGCCCTAGCCCAGAGCCCTAGCCCAGAGCCCTAGCCCAGAGCCCTAGCCCAGAGCCCTAGCTCTAGCCCTAGCCCTAGCCCAGAGCCCTAGCCCAGAGCCCTAGCCCAGAGCCCTAGCCCAGAGCCCTAGCCCAGAGCCCTAGCCCAGAGCCCTAGCCCAGAGCCCTAGCCCAGAGCCCTAGCCCAGAGCCCTAGCCCAGAGCCCTAGCCCAGAGCCCTAGCCCAGAGCCCTAGCCCAGAGCCCTAGCCCAGAGCCCTAGCCCAGAGCCCTAGCCTAGAACTCTAGCCTAGAGCACTAGCCCAGAGCCCTAGCCTAGAACTCTAGCCTAGAGCACTAGCCCAAAACCCTAACTCAGAGCCCTAGCTCAGAGCCTTAGCCCAAGTTTTCCGCTTTAGCTCTAGTCCTGGCTTTACCTTGCTTTTCCTTACTCTCCCTTACGCTTCCCGTGTACCGACCGTACTGTGTCTGTAGCGTATCATGTACTAGAGTTCTAGATCAAACTATACTTGGTCTCCCTTGTGTCGTATTTGCAACGTAATGGGCGTTACATAGCTCTAGTGAGAAAGCTGATTTGAGCAATGACTTTACTCTTGCTGCCTTGGCTTACCCTACCTTTTCTCACGCTTATTTTGCCCCCCGTTCTATGCAAATCTCGTATTAATACTGTAACTTTTGCTGTTTTAGACTACATTTTACTGCACTCTATTGAAGATTCTTCTACTAAAAATGACTGTTTTTAACAATTTCGTTTACTTTAACTTGACGCTTTTAATCTTTTCTTACTCCGTCGTTTTACTACAAGTCTCAGAACTCACGCTGCCATACTATGACCATATAAAGTCAACAATTTCGTTACATATAATACCCAACACAGTCCAAACACAACGATATAACAACCATTACAGTCCAAAAACATCTGTACGGCTACGATAACATGGTTAAACGTTGAGATACTACTAATCAACCAAATTGTTGTTTTTACTTTTAGTTGACATTCTCCCTTCAATTGTGGCCAATATTTTTGTTTTCGGCCGCAGCTGTGGGCATTCCAGCCCATTTAAAGCTCAGAAGGCTTTTGTGGTCCTAATCACATCAGGCTCTAATCGATTCGTCTGTTTCGCTTACTTTTCACATATCTCATTACCCACCAATTGTGAAGTTAGATTTTAGGGAGGGGTGGTAATTTGGGAAGAAGTTTTTTTTTAATTTTTAATTGTAAGCATAGCCAGCAGAAAAAGATTTTTTTACTTTTTTTTTGAGAGTACCCTACCCTACCCTACCCTACCCTACCCCACCCTACCCTACCCTACCCTACCCTACCCTACCCTACCCTACCCTACCCTACCCTACCCTACCCTACCCTACCCCCACCCTACTCTACCCTACCCTACCCTTTTTCACTTTCCTCACTTCTCCCTATTCTGTTGTTCTATCTTAACTTATCTTGCCTTTCCCTACATTGCCACGCTTTACGTTAGCCTGCCTTACCGCAAAATACATTATCTTACCATACCCTACTTCCCCCTCCCCCCCCGCCCTATCTAGACCGTACATAACTTGCTATTGTCTACTCATAACTTCACGCTGACTACGTCAGCAGACATTTTTACCAACTCAGAGCTCTTAATTACCCGCATACTTTAACCTATGTTTTAGCCAATTAATAATCACGGTAGACTTGTTGATCTTCTCAGACAAGAGTTCAGAACAGCAAAATAGAAACATCTTTTAGAGAGGGAAATTTATGAGCTTCCATAGATCAGTTGGTGCATTTTTTTAAAGTTTTCGGACAATTAGATCTTTGATAATGGGAAATTAGCGTGATTGTAAGATTGGTCTTTAAAACAAATGTAAAATACGATGTAATTTAAACTGGTTGAAACTCACTATCAATTTTTGATTAAAAAATTGTGTAACAGAACTTTTGGCGCACTTCGTTACAGTTTATTTTAGGGTAAGGTGAATAGTATGTGTAACAGAACTTTTGGCGCACTCTGTACATAATTTATATTAGCCTAGGGTAGGGTAGATAATATATTATTGTTTCATTTTTGCGTTTGGTGGCGTTATTTTGATTAAACTTTAAAATTTGAATAAAACTTAACTTTTAGAAACTATACCTATATCAAAGCCATTTATTCCTACATTTCATTACTTACTACATAGTTGATAAACTACTACACATAGGGCTTGATTTGTTCTATCAGGCGCTAATTTATATTGTATTTAGTCAAATTGAAAACTACTAACTATGCTTATATAGACCTCTATTATATAGATCTTCTAATTCGTACTGTTATTCATATTTATACATATTCATACTCATGTCTTCTTAGTACTACAAATTTTTAGTCAGTACGTAAACTCTATATTGTTGTTACCTAAAATCTTCATAATTTATGGTTTACTCTATTACGCTTAGAGATATAGTAAAATTGCAAAAACTATAGTAAACTCTAAAAACCATCAGTAAAATCTTCAAAATCTTGAAATCAAAACCCAACTAGCTCAGCTTAAAAATGCAAACTCGAGTAGTAGGGCGTCATCAATCACCCTATCGCCGCAGGCAGAATAACGTTGGATTGCAGAAAGTCAAACCCCTATCCCTACATTGTTCTCTACTCGTGTTCGTTTTTGTTTATGCATTTGTTGGCGGCCTCATTTTCACTCAAATCGAGATCTCAGCGGCCAAGGAGCGCGATGAGCGACTGTATCGGCAACAGACCGAGTGTGTGGCTACGGTAGGTGGGAATTCGTAAGAGCTGGGTTTTATAAGATAGTTCTGTAGGCTGTATAAACGTAAGGCATGGTAAAGTAGGGTAGATCTTGGGGCATGGCAGATTTTAAGACTGAGTGGGGTAGCATGGCATACGGTAGAGTAGGCGTAAACTAAAGCAAGGTAGGGTAGGTAAAGTATGGTACGGTAGGATAAGGAAAAGCACGGTGAAGAAAGTTAGAGTAGAGAATGGTAAGGTAGGGTAAATATTGGGGCGTGGTAGACTTTAAGCTAGAGTGGAGTAGTACGGGATACGGGAGGAAAGGGTAGAAGTACGGTAGGGTAGGGTTGGGTAGGGTAGGGTAGGATAGGGTAGGGTCGCGTCGGGTCGGGTAGGGTAGGGTAGGGTAGGGTAGGGTATTGTAGGGTAGGGTAGGGTAGGGTAGGGTAGGGTAGGGTAGGGTAGGGTAGGGTAGGGTAGGGTAGGGTAGGGTAGGGTAGGGTAGGGTAGGGTAAGGTAAGGTAGGGTAGGATAAGGTAGGGTAGGGTAGGGTAGAATAAGTATGATTTTCTATTTTCAGAAGTTAGCCCTCAGCACGGCATCCAGCCACGCTGGGGTGAATCGCACAGCTCAGGCCATCGCTGAATGCTTCAAGCAAGAAGTTGACATCCGATCTCAATGGGGTTACGTAACTGGTACACTTTACGGGTTTGGCATAGTGACGACGTTAGGTTACAATCGAATCGCGCCCATCACAACAACCGGTCGATTGTTTTGTGTATTGTATGGTTTGTGTGGTATACCTGTCACTATGATCATTATTGCCAATATGGGACAGTACTTTAACAACTTTGCTACGATTGTGAAGAAGAAGGTAGGGTTAAGTTTTACAGTGCATTTGTTGTTTTGTAAAGAAAGTTCTTGCCGTTTTTTGTTTTGTAAAGAAACTACTTTGCTGTTTTTTTTTTAAACAAAGTTCTTGCGTTTTCCAATTTGTAATGAAAAATTTTAAATTTTAGATAGTAACATACCAAGCAAATCGTCAACGTCGCTTATCGGCCGCCAAGATGGATGAAGATGAAGTGCCTGAATCTAGTACGGCCATGGTTGGATTAGCACTGTTAGCAGCGTTCATACTCTATGTTGTACTAGGTGCTATACTACTGCCTCTACTTAATGGGGAAGTAAGTTTTTTTAGTGTACGGTTTTATAGCATTAATATAAATGTAAAATACGTTCTACGTTTCTTGTTTTTTTAAGGTAATTACTGACATAAAACACAAGTTTTATCGTACAAAATGTCGCCTGCAGCCTGCAGGATCTAAAGATCGTAATTTTTTATCAAAAACGACTAAAACAACCAAAAATAAAAAAAAATTTAAAAAACGACTATTTTAATACAAATTTGAAAAAATTTCACAAATTTTGTAAAACATGTTTTATCGTATAACTTGTCACCTCCAACCTGCGGAATCTAAAAACCATTTTTTTCTTATAACAATATGGCTAGAACAACTAAAAGGAGTATCAAAAACGCTATTTTTATCTCTTTCTTTATAACTATTTAAATTAAAAAAAATTTTTTAGTTTGATTTCCTAAACGGCATCTACCACAACTTTATCTGTCTCACAGCTATCGACTTTGGCTCATTAGTACCGACACGAGTAGAATTCTTACCCATTACCTTTATGTACGTGTGTTTTGGATTAGCCATGACTACCATTGCAATCCAGGTTGGCAGTGAATACATGAAGAAATTGCATCATATTGGCCAAAACTTGAAGAACGTCGCGCATACCAAGGTCTGGTTCGGTGGTAAAACGTGAGTTACATTTTTTTATTTTGACTCTTTTAATGCTAAAATACGTTTTGCAAAGATCAAATTTTTAATTTTAAGGTTTTTAACGAAGTGTCACAAAAATTATCGGGAATTTGACGAAATGTCACAAAAATTATTGGAGTTAGAAAAAATGTCACAAATACTAATTTTTATAATAAAATATTTTTTCTCGTTCTATTACTGCAAAACTAATCTGACAAAAGATCACAAAAAGTCTCGGAAATTTGACGAAATGTCACAAAAATTATTGGAGTTAGAAAAAATGTCACAAATACTAATTTTTATAATAAAATATTTTTTCTCGTTCTATTACTGCAAAACTAATCTGACAAAAGATCACAAAAAGTCTCGGAAATTTGACGAAATGTCACAAAAATTATCGGAAATTTGACGAATTGACACAAATACCCATTTTTATGGTAAAATACGCTCTCCCGTCTACTACCATTTTTAAAAAAATTTTATTGCAAAATGTCACAATTTTATTGGAAAAATTGACAAAATGTCAAAAATTTATTCAAAATTTATAGAAGTTTATTCAAAAACAAAGAGTAAATGTTTTAAAAAACGCATAAAAGAGTCAAAAAATGTTGTATTACTATTGAGAGGTGGCCAGCATAACAAAAAAGAGTATAATACAATAAAAAATTTAATTTTAAAATATTTTTAAAAATTTTAAAATTGTGGTAGAGAAAGCGTTTGGGTATAAAAAACAAAAAAACCGAGCTGAGTGAGGAGAGTGAGATTGTCATATATATATTTACCATGGTGTGTGAGATCTATGAATACCGTCAATACGATGCCATGTAGTACTAAACTACGACCAAAAAACAATGCTCTATAGTACCAAACTAACGTTTTATAGTACTTGGCTATGCTGCCAATACGATGCTTTGAGTGAGACATATGAGACTGTAGTACTATAAATCCAATTCTACGTAGTACCAGGTTTAATTTTATATACGACGCTGTATAGTACTAGCTTAAGTTGTACATAGTAAGCTATTTAACACTAGGCTACGCAGTAAATACGGTGCTACATAATACTAGCCTAATTTGTAAAAGCGACGCTGTAAGGTACGAAGCTAAGTATTATATATAACTACAAGATACGCAGCTTAGTACCTGTACTATAGATGCTATCAGGGCCGGGCGCTGGGGGGGGGGAGTGGACTGGAGGGGGAACCACCCCCCAAAAAAAAATTTTGAAAAAAGTTGGACGTGGTCCCCCCTATGGATTTTCGGACACAATTTTTTGGACCCTCACCCCTAGACCAAAAGTCCCCGTCCGGCCCTGGATCTTATATTTTATATCTATGACACTGAAAAAGCTAAGCTAAATGCCTATCCTTCTAGTACAGTCCTAACCTTAATCATTTTATTACTGTGACATAAATACTGTAATATATTAACCTTCTAAAATTAAAGCCTAATACAATGCCTACTCCAACTAAATCTCTATGGCCTATCGATACTGCTTAACATGATTAGTACTGTTAACAGCTCCTTGTTGTTGATTTAACGACCTATTCGAGCCTCGAGTATGGCCAGTTGCAGCTTGTAGCTGAACGCCAGGTACAGCAGGTGGTGCAGCTGCTGAGACCTGAGCTTGTTGTCGCTGAACAGCTGGATTCTCACTTGAGTAGGTCTTGCATTGAGGACACATCCACGTGACATCATGGCATAGGGATTGGGATTTACAGCGATGACATAAGTGACGTTGGAAGTTAGATTGGCCAGAAAGTTGGCTGAACCGGTCCATTAGTTCGGCTCGGGCTCGGACTGATAGGCAGTCATCTGGAATTGACATATTTCAGATATTACTTGTTGGTTCATATTACACTACCCTACCCTACCCTACCCTACCCTACCCTACCCTACCCTACCCCCTACCCTACCCTACCCTACCCTACCCTATCCTACCCTACCCTACCCTACCCTACCCTACCCTACCCAACCCTACCCTAGCCTACCCTACCCTACCCTACCCTACCCAACCCTACCCTACCCTACCCTACCCTACCCTACCCTACCCTACCCTACCCTACCCTACCCTACCCTACCCTACCCTACCCTACCCTACCCTACCCTACCCTACCCTACCCTACCCCTACCCTACCCTACCCTACCCTACCCTACCCTACTCTACTCTACTCTACCCTACCTTACCCTACTCTACCCTACCCTACCCTACCCTACTCTACCCTACTCTACCTTACCCTACCCTACCCTACATAAAAATACGAAGAAACTCACACGTCTGTTGTTGCGACATCTCCACAATGTCTTCAGGTCGATTCACCATGGTTAGGCATTGAGCTAGCAAGTCTTGAAGTTTACATCTATCTAACAACGAGAGCCTGACAAACACTGATAACTGAGTTTGAGGGTTCAGAAGGAGTTGAGCGCATTTTCGAAGCAAACCTTGAGATTCCATTTTGCACGCGGCCATTAGTACTGGTCCTATGTTGGATTCTGAAAAAGTCGGCATTACTTAAAACTAGAAAAATCGTTTTACCCTTCCCGCTTTAAAAACGTTTATGTCAATTTTCTGGTCTCTTAGCTATATTTTAGTACCAAACACAATAGTATTAAGAGAGTACCAAACCCAAAAACAATCTTTTTAGCACCCCTTTACTAAAATTCATATTAATATAAAAGGTCAAAAGAAGTTTTAAAAAATCAATATTACCCACGCCCTTTAAAGTTAGGTCACATTAAACTTAATATAGGCTTTCGTAGTCTTTTGGCTACATTTTAGTACCACACACAACTATTTTCATACAGTACCAATTGCGGAGCCGGCCCTATTTACCACCCCTACCCTAAAATCCATGTTACCCAAAACATCTTGTAAATTTTTTTAAAATCAGTATTACCCACGCCCTTTATAAACTGGTCAAACACAACGTAGTTTTATATTCACTGGTCTTTTAAATTTGTTTTAATACCAAATTCAACCATTTTTAATTTGTACCATGCCCGAAATAAGGTTATTTATCACCCCTACCCTGAAATCCGTCTTCCGCAAAAAAACCAATAATTTTTACAAATTTTAATATTACCCACGCCCATTAAAAATAGGTCAAATATAACTTAATTATGTATATAACTGGTCTTTTACCTTCCTTTTACTACCAAACTCAACCATCTTTAATTACTACTAAGCCCAAAACCACCCCTTTTTCCCACCCCACCTACCAGTAATCCTCAGCTGCGGTGGATAAATAGCCATAAGGAAGTATTTGAGCTCTTCATGAGTACAAGGACAATAAATATCGTCCGTACTGTTGAGTGTAAATAGTCGTTCTTGAAACACATTTGACCATGCTGCTACATAATATGGGTTTACATTGTACGATCGTCCGCTTTTGCCTCTGACCGAAGCGAAATTTAGATCACTTGGGTTGAGGAAGTGATCCATGTCGACTGGGGGTTCGGGGAGCTCCTGAAAGTAGTTGATCAGTTAGGTTAAGCTCGTATTTTACATTAAGTTACAGAATGTTCTTCTGAAGATATGGCTATAATTTTTTGTGAATCGGACCGCCTAAAATTTGAAAAAACTAAAAAATGTCAACTTACATCAGGTGGTGGAGATCCGTGCATTCGTTCTAATAAAAGAACTTTTACTCGGTCTGAAAGTCCATAGTATCTTGTGCCACTCAGGTCTAGCCTATGTGATGGTTTTAGCTCTCGTAGTAACAAAGCTAGCAGTCGATTTAGTTTGTAGCGGTCGGCTAGCCAGACTTTTTCCAAAAACGGCAGTTTGTGAACTATGAGGAAACACTCGCAACGATGTAGCAGGCCTTCCATCTAAAATTTAAATTTGAAAAATTTTTTACCGTACCGTAGTGTACCGTACCCTACCCAACCCACTGTACCCTACCCTACCCTACTACACCCTACACCACCCTACCTGATAGTCGTAAGCGAGTGGCAGTAGGATATGTACAACTTGTTCATCGATAGTCTTGTAAGTCGGATGTATAGCCAATAGCATCTCCAGCACATGATCATACTGTACATTAGCCAGTATCAACTCTCGATCCGGACATTCTGTGCACCATGACCTCAATATAGGTGACCATACCGAGATGTAATGCTCATCAACGTACAACCGTTTACCATCGATGAGAAGCGGTCGAGTACGTTGAGCATCAGGTCGAGTAAAGTCGATTTGCAGCTCCATCGATGACTGCACTGCTACTGGACTAGGCTGACCAGAGTTGGGCTGCGAAGCGAGGACTACATGATTGGTTTGGAGGGCGGGTAGATTGGCGTTGAGGCCGAGGCTCAGCTGATGAAGCTGGTCCGCCGCCACTCCCGATAGCCCGTCCATTTGGGGCGGTGCGGCTGGCGAGGCGTCTCAAACGACAATTTTGATACTGAAAAGGTTTAAATTGAATTAATTTTTGCGAAATTAGGTAAAATTTAAATACAACATTTTAAAAATTTCAAAAATTTTAAAATTTCGAAAAATTTAAAAAATTTAAAAAATTAAAAAAAAGCATGCACGGTAGGGTAAATGTAATTCTAAGGGAGAAGATATATTTAATAGAAAAAAATGTCAAGCAAAAAAAAAAATTAAAAAATCAAAAAAATTGATTTTAAAAATTTTTTTAGTACCAGAATGTACCAGAATTAGTACAAGAATACCAGAAATTTTGTCCTAAAGAGTGATACCAGAATTAGTACAAGAATAACATTTTCTTTGTACTGAAACTATAAAATTTAATGCCGAAATATAAAAAAATGATAAAAAAACAAAAAAAAATTGGAAAAAACATAGAAACACCACTGCACGCGTAATCTAATTAAACGCTTGAGTCATCTTTGTACTACTAAACCTTTGAATGCATAAATTATTTAGTTTTCAAAATGTCAAAACATATTTTTTTTCATACTTAAAGTAGTTTTGCTAGTATTAATTGTGTTCAAAAGTTATCTTTTTTTTAAGCCCTAGCTCCAGACTTACTCTAGATTCTAATTCTAGCCTTGTCCTAACTTTCCCTTACTTTGCCCTAATCTTGCCTTAGCTTTTTCCTAGCGTGACCTTTCCCTTAATATACTGATGGCTAGGCTTGTCTCAGCTCTAGCAATATCCCTAGCACTAGCCCTGAACTTGTCCTAGCCTTTGCCTTAACCTCACCCTAGTCTTGCCCTAGTTTTGTCTTTGCCTTGCTCTAGCCATGCTATAGCTTGCCCAAGCCTTAGTATACGTATGCCTTCGTTTTGCCCTGTCTTTGTCATATTTGTGCCATTTCCTTACCTTATTAGCGTTACACTAATTGCTTTACTTTAACTTGATCTATCTTAAGGTTCCTGTCCTAATCAAAATCAAAAATTTTTAAAAGTTTTTCTAATATCTACCCTATGCTATCATACCTTACGCCATACTCCTCTACCTTATCAAAAATGCCGTTCCATACAATTCTGCAACCATTCCCTCCAAGACAAACATCCGAAAACAATAAAAACCCAACCTAAAAGACAAACGTAGTAGTGCCCCGTTTCTAGCTGGTTAAATTTTTAAATACGGAAGAGAAAAAAACAAACGTTGAACCGTTTCGCTTTCGGGTTTGAACCTTTTTCTGGGCCAAGAATGGCGTTGACTCCGGAGACACCGCCCTTCTGTTTTTGGGCCGCCGTTTGCGGAAAAATTGGGAAAATTCCCTTAGGGAACGATTTTTGTTCCGAAAAAGTGAAAAGGCAATGCAACTTGTTGGTCAGCTGGTTTTTGGGAGTTAAACAATTTTGAAAAAAATTTGAAAAATTAAAATTTTTTAATTTTGAAAAAAAAGTTAAAAATCAAATCCTAAGTTCAAATCAAGGCATTTTTATTACAAATTTAAGCCTAAAAGTGATTTTTAGCCCATTTCTCATAAAAAAATTTTTTTAGTTTTAATTAAAAAAATTTTTTTTTGATTAAGCCCAATTTAAGCCCAATCTCTCTTTACTAAGCCTAAAAAACTCAATAAACCTAATTCTAAGTCAAACTATGCTTCAAATGTTGAAAACACGAACAAAACCCCTGAGGGAAATTGTGGGTGTTGAAAGTTGTAATGTCTTTTGATGGAAAGCCAACAAAAAAAGCCTAGAAAATCTAACTTTTTTATTTGTTTTTGAACTAAAATAATTAAAATTTGCGTCCAAAAGCCATTAAAAATTTATTTCAAAATGCATTTTTTAGTTAGAAAGGCTATACAATTTAAAAATTTAAAGATTTTTTAAAAATTGAACGCGCAGAAAAAGTTTTGTCGTTTTTTTACGTGGACGGCAGTGGAAAATAACGACAAAACTTTTTTATTTTAAAATTGTAAAAATAATATAAAATACGTTTTTACACTTTTAAAAATTTTTTACCCCCCCCCTCCACCATTTTTCGTCCCGGCCTTAAGCATAAAATTTAATTCGTCATTTAAAAACTTACCTTACCTTACTCTACCCTACCTACTTACGTTATCCTAGCCTATTTTTCCTTACCCTATACTACCCTACCCTACCTATGTTACCCTACCCTACCTTACTTACGTTACCCTATCTTTCTCTACCCTTCTCTATCCATTTTATCTTACCTTACCCTACCGTCCCCTAACTTAACATAAAGAACGTTTTCCTTCAATTTCGCAGCCCAAAAACATCATTTTCTATGCCAGAACGCAAAAATTTTAATAAAACGCACGCTTTCATGCTCAATTCCCTCCCCAATTTTGAACCAGCAATAAAACAAACAAAATGCGGACAAACTATGGCAAAAGTTCGGGAACAGTAGCAGTAAAACTTGTCTAATCCTTTCGCATTAACCGCCAAATGTCCCTAAAAAAGCAGGGCAGGGGCGCGGCCGAAAACCACGCAAATCCATTAGGAACGATTAGAAGAACGCTCACCTCTTTCCTCTCTTTCGGCACGGAGAATACGGATTTATTGTCTGCGTATAAATAACGACATAGCGAGAAGTGGCGGGAATGTAAATAACTACAAAGGGGGGGGGGAGAGATAGGGAATTTAGTACACAGGAGATTACACAAGCAGTACAAAGCCTTAGAATAGCCTAATTTACTTTACTTTACCCTACCTTTCTTCGCCATACCCTACCCTACCTTACTCTACCCTACTCTACCCTACCCTACCCTACTTTACCCTACCCTACTTTACCATACCTTACTAAAGCCCACTATTACATACATAACCATGCCCTGCCTTGGCTCACCGTGCTTTATTTTAACTTCAACTCCACAATTCCCCATAATCTACTCTACAGTATTTTCCAACTTGCCCTACAGTTCCCACCCTACCATATCCTAAGCTACCGCTCTCCATCTTTATTCTAAATTCTTTTACTTCTTTTTAGTCTACCTGTCTCTACCATTGTGTTTTGTCTATTCTCTGTCATACTAAATAAAAATACCAGGAATAATATATACTGGAGCATAAAACAAGCCATTACTCATTTCTACGGCCGCAGTAAAAATAGCTATTATTTTTTTAGGATTTCATAGTTATAAAGCTAAAAACATACTCACCGGAAATGAAAAAAAGCAATAGTTTAAAACTGTTGAACTCTAAATAAAAAAAAACTGTAATTTCTTTATACAAAAGTCAAAAAAACTAACAATTAATGCTAAGACTAAACCTACGGCCGAGTGATAGAAAATATCTAAGATTGAGCCACAGCAAAAACGCATAAGTCATAACCTAAGCCTACGCGTGCTAATCCTAAGCATTTGAATTTGTATTCTCAAGAGTTATATTAACTAAAATATCTGCGGCATTACCTAATATCGCTGATATAATACATAGCCTTAGAGAAATTGTAAGAAATGGTGTTACGCAACGTTTTCTTATGTAATATGTGTCATTTATACAATATTTGCCTCGATGTAAAACGACCCAACAAATGACTGCGAGAGTTGGGATCTGGCCATATTTTTCTTCGAGGTATCACTCTTTAGGACAAAATTCAATAGAACACTAAACGTAATCTTAAGCGTGAAACTAAAGTAAAGTTTAAGCCTAAACCTCAACGTAAGAAGACACTTAAGCCAAAGCAAAATCGTAAGAACAAGCTAAAGAAAAAGCCTGAGGCTAAGCCAAAGAAAAAGCCTAAGCCTAACACTAAGTTTAAGCCTAAGCCTAAGCTTAAATCTAAGCCTAAGCCTAAAGCTAAGCCAAACAGGAAGTCTAAGCTGACGCCTAAGCCAAAGAAAAAGCATAAGTCTGCCAAAAAACCTAAGCCTGTGACTAAATATAAACCTAAGCCTAAGTTAATAAACCTTAAGACTAAAAATTTACAAAAAGAAAAAAAGTCACAAAAACCTATACATACCTAGTTGTAACAAACAAAAAAAACTCGAAAAAGACTCGAAAATGGCATCGGATTTCACGTCGAATACCTTTAAATATGGCAAAATGCCCAATACATTCTCTTCGGCCGCCGAACTCTTTCCTTTTTTTGCTTTTCAAGAGATTTTTATAACCTCAATGCCCTTTTTTCGGTCTCCCCCCTTGCTCTACTACAACCGCCGTTTTTTTTCTAATCCATTCCGAGACTAATCGACTAGAATTTCCCTTTTGGCGAAAAAGTTTTGCCGCACAAAACAATAAAAATATAGGAAAACAGCGGACAACAAAGTAACCAGCATCCCTCTCTCTGATGTGGAACATATCCACAAAACAACAGGCCAAAAGGGCGGGTTAAAATGTGAAAATAGCTGTAGAGTGTAATATATTATATATATTGTAGCTAGGTGTATATTAAGGTAAATCTGTTCTTTAAGAGAACCCCTAAGTTATGATTTATATAGGGCAGGGCAAAGTTAAACCTAGATGGAGATAAAGAGAGTACAGCAGGGGCAAGCAGGGGCAAGCAGGGAAAGAGTAAGGCAAAACTAAGGCAAGGGTAGAGTAAAAGAGGGTAGAGTAGACAAAAAGAAGATATAGTAGTGCAAGGTATAATGGGACAAAGTATAGTAGATAGTGAAAGGTATAATATGGTATGGTACGGTAGTCACTGCAAGGTAGGGTAGGGTACGGTAGAATAGGGTAGGGCAGGGTAGGGTAGGGCAAAATAAAAAAAAATTTTTTGGGTTTGGCATATGAAAACAAAAATTTTCAAAAGTAAAGAGACAAAACATCATACGATGGATGACATTACCGTTGGCCCAGAAAAACAATAGTAAACAAGGTTACAAGAGATCCTAAAGAGACACAAAAACTACAAAAAAATACGTCCATTCGAAAGGTTGAGACAGAGATCCGTGAAGATTACTAGTACATCCACATTTCCTACGACTAATTCTTAAATGGCTACTAAACCAAAGCTTACTATACTTAAGCCTAAGCCTAAGTATAAGCTTACTAAGTCTAAGTCTACTAAGCCTAAGCCTACTAAGCCTAAGTCTACTAAGCCTAAGCCCACTAAGCCTAAGCCTACTAAGCCGAAGCCTACTAAGCCTAAGCCTACTAAGTCTAAGCCTACTAAGCCTAAGCCTACTAAGCCTAAGCCTACTAAGCCTAAGCCTACTAAGCCTAAGCCTACTAAGCCTAAGCCTACTAAGTCTAAGCCTACTAAGCCTAAGCGTATCAAGCCTGCCTACTAAGCCCAAGCTTAGTAAGCCTAAGCCTATTATGCCTAAACCTAGTAAGCCTAAGTCTACTAAACCTGTGCCAAATATTCCAAAGCCTGTCGAACCAAAGCATAAACTTAAAACTACATTTCAACCTAGGCCAATACCTAAGCATAAATCTAAGCCTGAACCAAAGCCTGATACGTCAAAACTTAAACTAAAATTTAAATCTTTTAAAAGAAAGCTTATGCCTAAGCCGTCTAGCCAGTAGCTTAAGCCTAAAATTAAACATATAACTGCCTACACCTAAGCCCGAGCTTAAACCCAACGTCATACTCAAGTTCAAGACCACGTTTTTGCTTCAATAAAACAACTCTAACCAGCCATACTATACTCACACTGATCTTTCATAAAGCCAAAAGCTTAGCAAACCTCAATTCAAGCCTAATATAAATCAAAAAAACTTAAAAACAACTAAAAAAAGAAAATTTTAAAAAACAATAAAAAATATTTTAAAAACCGCGGAGTAAAACGACGTTTTTTATGCGTTAAATGTGTAAAACTATGTGTATAAAGACTTCTTGGAGGAGAGGGTGGGAGTGCGGACTGTTAAAAATGGGAAGAAACTAAAAAAACACAGCGTTTCCAAGAGGGGGGCCTTCTAAACATGAATCTAAACTTGGCCAGAAAACGGCGCCATTTTACGTGCTTCGGGCGTGCACAACGTCGGCTAATAATCGTAATTAGAGGGCATGGTCAACGGGAACATGTACTTATAAAAATGAAAAATAACATCTAGTAGAATGTGGAATATAGCAAGATGGAAAGCAGAAAAATCTAAATTTTAGGCTTATACAAACATAAAAAACTGTTTTTAAACCTATTAAGACAAACAGTTAAATTTGAACTTTAAATCATCAAACAGTAAGCCTGAGACTGCCTAACCTAAACCTGATAAGCTTACGCCTACTAAGCTTAAGCCTGCTCAGCCTGAGAAAACTAAGCCTAAGCGTAAGCATATTAAGCTTAGATTTTAAAATCTTAAGCCTACTAAAGCTAAGTCTTCTAATTCTAAGCCTACTACGCTCGAGCCTGCTAACCCTAAGCCTACTAAGCTTCAGCCTGCAGAGCCTAAGCCTACTAAACCTAAGCACACTGAGTCGAAGCTTACTAAGTCTGAGCCTATTAAGCCTAAGTTTAATAAGCCTAGGTCCAGCAAGCCTAAGCCTAATGAACCTTAGCCTATTAAGCCTAAGCCTAAGATTCCTATGCATAAGTCTACTAAGCCTAAACTTACTAAGTCTACCTTACTAAACCTAAAACAAAATTTTTTAATTTTTAAGCTTAAAAACGTAATTTCAAGCCTATATAATCCAACTCATTTCAGCCTAAAAGTCCGAGACCTTCTTCACGCCGTAGGCAAGAAATGCGGCGTAGACCCAAATGTCATCGACAATATGGACCTCGAAAACATTGTGGAGCGAGCTGTAGCCATTCAAGAAGGCCGTGACCCACCCCCAGACCTCAACGACGATGGTGACCCGCCCTCGGACCCACTGAAGGACATTAACGACAATGACAAGACTCCTGATATTGAAGCCCAACCGCTGATGACGCAGGTTAGTACGCCGGATCTTTTCATTCTGGAGCCGGTCTGCGAGACCGTCACCAATTCGCTAGACCGCACCCCATCGCTGGAGCTGACCGATCCTGAGGTTTGTAGAAAGAGAAGAGACTTGAGGTTGTTGTGCGGAATGGCGTGGTTTTGTATTGACATAGTAGTAGAAAATGTAGTGATAGTAACATGTTCAACTAATATATATATTAGGTGCCAACATAAAGAACCCGCCATTTTTTACAAGAAATTACATAAAAAGTATGGCGGGGTTTATGTTGGCACCTAATATTAATACATACTAATGTTATAAGACAACATCAAAACACAGTTAGACCTAACTTCATATTAATTTTAAATTTTAAGTTTTATCTAATTCTAAGCGTACTACCCTATGCTCACAGAGCCCCTTTTTACTAAGCCTGAATTTCATAGCTTTAGCATAATATTATTAAGCGCAAGCCTACTAAGCTTAAGCTTATTATGACTCTACCTACTCAATTAAAACTAACTAATCCTAAGCCTAGTAAATTTAAACTTACTAAGTTTAAGGCCTCTAAGCAGAAGCGTACTAAGCCTAAGCTTGCTAAACCAGCCTATTGAGTCAGAGGTTACTAAGCCAAAAACTGCTAAGCCTACCAAAACTAACTTAACAGACCCTAGTCTTATTTAGCCTAAAGTCACTAAGCCATCGCTTACTAACCAAACTAAACCTAAGCTAAATGACCTTAAACCTATACTCAATGTACCGTTATCTTACCCTATTGTATCGTGACAGTAATTTAAACTTTTATTTTAAAACTCAATTACAGAGTTATTAAATAAAAATAGAATTATACAATTTATTTTATAATATACATCGTATTTTACCTATTAATATTACCTATTTTATCCTTTTAATGCTAATCCCCTAACCATAACACTTTAATGCTAACCTCCTAACCCTAACAACCCTCTAATCGCTAAACTATTACCTAAACTTCCACTAAAACTTCAATTTCAGCCCCCCTTCTTCGACATCTGCAACTTCATTGCCATTGACGTTGAACTGCCAGAAGATATGTCAGGAGAAAAAACCGTAGACTGGCTAGAGCCAATCCAAGTCACTCGCCCAATCACCGAGACTGTCAGTGTGTCCGAAGACATTGCCCTGCCCGAGCAAATTGAAAAACCACCCCCGATCGTGATCCTACATGACGATGAAAAAGTGACTACAAGCGCGGCCGAAGAGCCAAAGAAGTTCGAGGAAAAGAAACAAAAGTACGGCCGAGACGCTAGAAAGCTGTACGAAACGTACCAAGAAGAATGGGACCGACTCGAAAGACTGGGACACAAAAGACTTGGCTCCAGACGAAAGTCAGTACTAGCCGACGATACTCATACTCCCGGCTCTTCTCGCGGCTCTAGTCCAGTACGTGCCACAACTCCAGTCAAGAAAAGTGCCAGAAGCCCCAGAAGTTCAGTTAGCCCAGCCCGAAGCACCACAAGTCCAGCCCGAAGCACAGCTACTAGTAAACAAAGCACAGCCAAAAGTAGTCCAGCTAGAACACCAACTGGTCCAAGCCCAAGTCCCACGCCTCGGCCCAGACAACCTAGTCTAGCCACGGCAGCTAGGGTTGCTATGTTGGCTGCCAGGTTTAATAAAGGTGAAGATAGCAAGGCTAAAGTCTCGGCTGGACCGGCTAGAGGGGCAGTACAAGCGGCGAAAGAAGCGTTGGAAAGAAGGGCTAGCCACACACCTGCTGTTTCGCCATTACCTCCGAAAAAGCGATTCTTGTAAAAATATTTGCATAATAAAGTTTTGGATTTAAGGTGAGGAAAATCGTTGAACTAAATTTAAAAATTTTTAAACTTATCATTTTTAAGCCTAAAAGTAAAATAAAATTTAGGTTTAAAGCTTAAAAACAACTTTCAGTATATAAATTTAGCTTTCAGCTTAAAGACATATAATTTTTAGACCTAAAATAAGGTAAAATGAAATTTTAAAGTCTAAAAAACTTATTTTTCAATCTAAAAATTTAGTTTTTAAGCCTAAAATAATTTCAAACTTAACTTTTAAACCTAAAAACTTAACATTTAATTTAAAGAAAATTTAAATCCTGAGCATAAAAGATATAAAAATGCACTTTCAAAGCCAAAAAATTAGCCTAAAATAATATCAAACTTATCTTTCAAACCTAAAAAACTGATCTAAAAAAATTAATTCCTAAGCCTAAAAAGTTATAAAATGTTAATTCAAACCCTAAAAAACTTCATTTTAAGCATAAAATACCAAAAAATCTAACAAAAATATTTTTATTTAGCAACAATATCTGTAAAACTCATATATAATACTACTCTACATATATCTTCCAACTGTGATAAATCTGAGAAAGTGAAAAACTGAAAAATTTAAAAGATATTAATAAACGTAACTAGAGCTTTAAAAAAATGAAGATTACTAAACTCAGTGTACTACCAAAACTTAGTATAGTAGTACAAAAAACTCAGTATAACATTACTACTAAAGAGCTTGTTCAATACCACTACCAAAGACAGTAAAACATCATAGCCATAGCTCAGCAAAAGAACATTAAAAATGCTCAGTACCCCAGTAATAACATAGCAAACTCCAAATTACTGTGGTCTCTCGCTCTTCCATGGATCTTCCGGATGGCCGATCATAAAGTCTTGCAGGAAGAGTCTTGGAGCTTGTGGTTGATTGTTCAAGGTTTCCACCTCTTCAGAAGTCAGTTCAAAGTCGAATACCTGAGCATTGTCGTGGATTCTTTGTGGATTCACACTTTTCGGAATGATGGCCACGTTCTTCTGAAGCAAATGACGAAGAAGAATGTGGGCTGGAGACTTGTTGTACTTCTTGGCCAAGCCGAGAACAACCTCGTTTTCTAGAGGTTCGGCCGCTGCTGGCCATTCCAAGGTTCTAAAAACATAAGATCGTTAAAAAAGTCATCAAATTTTAAAAATAGCTTACTAAACGTAAGCCTAAGCCTACTAAGCATAAGCCTACCAAGCCTAAGCCTACTAAGCCTAAGCCTAAGCCTACTAAGCTTAAGTCTACTAAGCCTAAGCCTACTAAGCTTAAACCTATTAAGCCCAAGCCTAAAACCATAAAACCTCTCCCACACGCAAAAAAAATCAAAAAAACCCACCTTCCATTAGGCAGCACATATTTGGATCGTCCTGGAGATCCCATTGGAGCGTAGGCAGTGACAGAGATGTTGTTCTTCTGACAGTACTCAACATGCACCTTCTGTTGGAAATACAAGTGAAGTTCGACTTGAGAGTTATGTACTGGAACATCCGAGGACTTGTTGCATCTCTCAATTTGTTCTTCATTGAAGTTGGAGACACCGATCGCCTTGGCCAAGCCCTTCTTGTATACTTCGACCATTCCCTTCCAGGTATCTTCCACTTTTACTGAGTGGTCTTGGTTTTCCATTTTGGCCTGGAATTTAAAAAATCTATTAAAAAAAGTTCATACTAAGGACTAAACTAATATTTTTTCTTAAATTTTCAAAAAACTTAAAAAAGCTTCTTAAGTTAAGCCTAAACCTACTAGGCGTAAGCTCAATAAATAAGCCTACCAAGGCTACACCTGCCAAACGAAAGCATAAAAAGATCAATCCCAACAAGCCTGAGCCTAAACAAGCCAATTTTCCATAAGAAACCTCCTAACAATCAGCTAAACCAATATATTGCTCCACCCAGCCTAAAACCCCAAAAACATACATCATAAGCAGCTGGCTGATGAACCAAATAGAGATCAACATAATCAGTCCTCAACTTTTTCAAAGATTGCCTCAAATCTTCTTCAATCTCATCCGGACGGTTGTGAGAGCACCAGATCTAGAATAATTTTGGTTAAACTTCCTTTCTCTCCCTTTACGCTAACTTTTTGCCAAAACTTATATGACATTACTTTAAAAATGAAATTTTTTGTCAAAATAAGGTGGCACAAATATTAACCTTCCTATAAAACCTAAACATCCTCAACTCCATACCTTTGTAGTGATGAAAACGTCTTCTCTCTTCAGCTTTCCTGATTGAATGTACTTCTCCAATGCTTCGCCAATTTCATCTTCGTTAAAGTAATTAGCGGCGGTATCAATGAGTCTGTAGCCTTCATCCAAAGCCACGGTAACTGCTCTACCAACTTCACCTTCGCTGGACTGAAAACAAATTCATAAATTTAAAAAATTTAAATGTTTCAATATTAACCAAGGCGGAGGCTGTTCAAGTTAATGTAGAAAATTTTGAATTTGTTAAAATCTCTCGAAACTTTGTAGAAATATTGTTAAAAGACCTCCCTTCAACTATGTTAAAAATTAGCTAACAATTTCAATCTCTGAAGTTTATAAAAAATCAAACTTTCGATATTAACCATGACCAACTTGCTAAAATTGATATAAAACTTGAACGAATAGCCAACATTTTTTGAAACTTTAGAAGAACATTGCCAACATGACCAGTAACAGTTTGTAAAACAAAAATCCTTACTTGCCAAGTTCCAAGACCAAAAATGGGCATCTTGACGCCATTGCTCAAGGTAACGAAGGTGGTTGAAGCCATTTTTCGCTCTGAAAATATAAAATTTTGAACTCAAATACCGTTGAAACAATAGAACATGATAAAGCACAAACGTACGTATGTAAACTATTGTTAAGAAACAAGAAAACTACCTAAAATTAACTAAAAACACCTAAAATCCGCAAAGAGAAGATCTAAAACAGTAGAAAAATCCCCAAAAACTGAATAATTAGCAAAGATACCTCAATATTTTAGATAAAAAGTCACAAAAAATGGGCCCTGGGTATTTCAACTAATGTTTAAAACATTAAACAGCCACTTTTAAAAGCCTCTTGTCCTTTATTTATCAATTCCGGGGCTAGGTTCGCACAGTGTGAGACTAGAAAACAGACCACGGATTGCTTAAATATTGTTTTATGTGACCTTCGACGACCAAATATAACTTTACAACAAATAAAAGGAAAAGCCAGCAATGTTTCAAGTCAACCAAGCCCAAGAGTTCGGCAATGATCAGTGAAATGAAGGAAGAATATTGTGATAAAAGTATAGAAAAAAGCAAAAATTGGGGGTAGACTAAATTTTCCCCTAGATTTTTAGGTATACCCCGTTTGTAAACCTAAATTGTTGCCAAAAACAGCTTCAAAAAACCTAAAACTACAAGCCAGAAACACTAATCATCATGAACAATGTCATTTTCTTATCGAAAAAAGGTGTAACAGCCAAGAAACGAAGCTTCCCGACCATAGATAATATAACTTGAAATTTTAGACTATAAACTACAAACTTATCAATAAAGAATAAGTAAAAAAGTAAAAACTATCCCCAATTTCATTTTCTATCAATCAAACTTCTTCCATGCCTTCAGGAAAAAAAATAAATGGCCAAAAAACTATTCTCCGTACAAAAAGTTTTCGCAGGCTGCAGAGCCTCGCGTTAACTGTGCGCCCAGAACCACGGCTGTCCAAGCCCTACATCTCAATAGAAATGTCATTTTGAGCATATTTCTGACATATATGTTAAATTTCGTTCTTTCGTACTAATTAGTAGTCACGGTGGTCCAAGCCGTGTATTTTACTGTCACTACCGATCGTACTGTATATCACGTAGAGTATATAACGGTTTCCCAAGCCGTATATCTCATCAGAAATGTCATTTTGAGAATATTTCTGACATATATTATGACTTTCGTACTGAATAGCACGTTGAGTATATAGCGGTTGCCCAAACCGTATATCTCGCTTTGACTTTCGTTCTGTCACTACCAATCTTACTATGTAGTACGTTGAGTATATAACGGTTTCCCATGCCGTATATCTTATAAAAAATTTTATTTTGAGAGTATTTCTGACATATATTCTGACTTTCAATCTTTTGTACTAAATAGTACTCATGGTTGCCCAAGCCGTATATCATACTGTCACTACATTTATCGTACTAAATAGTACTCACGGTTACTCAAGCCGTATATTTTATCAAAATTTTCATTTTAAGAGTATTTCCGACATATATTTTGATTTTCGTTATGTATTCGTACCGTCAATACCAATCGTACTATATAGCACGTTGCGTGTATAACAGTTATCCAAACCGTATATCTCATGAAAATGTCATTTTGAGAGTATTTTTTCACATATTCTTCGTTCTATCGTACTAGTTATTTTAATATCGGTTTTTCAAGCCGTTTTCAATACTACCACTACCTTTTTTTACAGGATAGTAGGTTGAGTATATCACGGATGCCTAGGCCGTATATCTTATAAAGAATGTCATTTTGAGAGTATTTCTGACATATATTTCAACTTTCTTTCAGTATTCGAACTGCCACTACCTTTTCGTACTATTTAGTACGTTGAGTATATCACGATTGCCCAGGCCGTATATCTCATGAAAAATATTATTATAATAAACCTCAACTCACAAAAATATCAAATGGCATGCTTTTCTACTATCACCGCTTTCTTTTTACGCACAAAAATTTTAAGAAATCGATTTTGACATTGCGCAACATGGCGGGAGGTGACTAAAGTAAAGACTTAGAAATGTAATATGTTTTAGATCTTTACGGCGGAATCCCAATTTTACGCATTTTGTGAAAGAAGAAGACGCGAAAACCTAATTACAGTAGGTTAAGCGTCGGGTTCGATGGTTTTAGCATGTGCGTAATACCGTAACTTCTCTGCATTTACGAGCTCGAGGTAAAGACAGTACGAATACGAGATCGAGGCATGCCTTGCGATTATAAACCCTTGTTTGTTGATGCAGCTACGACGTTTGTTCGTGCTCGAATAGGGTTGGGTAAAAGTGGATTGTGCGGATGCTTAGTTTTGCATGCTGTTTATACCATTGAGTACGTGCTTTTACGAGGTTTTGCGCTGAGGGAGTTCTATTTTACGGAGTGATTAACCGTACGAGTATTGAGGGAGTACTCTGATAGTATTTGATTACTATCGCACTGTGAGAGTACAGTATATATAACGGCTTGAGCAACCGTTCGAGTACTGTGAGATTACTACATATACGGCTTGGCCAACCGTTCAAATACTGTGAGAGTACTATACCATACTGTGAGAGTACTGTATATAACGGCTTGAGCAACCGTGAGTACTGTGCGAGTACTGTAACAGTACGTGATTACTATCGTACAGTGAGAGTACTATGGGAATTTCGTGTATTGTACAGTGTGAGTACTAATATATTGCTTAAGCAACTGAGATTCCTACTTGTAAGTTTGTAAGTACTATTATAGTATATGAGATTCCCACTTGACTGTACGTGCTCCGGTATCGGCTGGTACGTTTATGCCTGTACGATGCCGTACTTGCAGCCTTTACCCCAGTGTTTGACTTTGCATGTTGGCTTAAGTACTGACTTGCTGTAGAATCCATACTTTGTGTGGTTGATTGTCGGGGTGTACGGTTGTTGAGATATACGACTGTTTATCAAATATATACGGATTTTTCTTTTTAATAGTTTTTGAACTTATGTACGAGCGAATAGTTTGATTATATGATATATATGGTTATATATACATGTAATTTGGTCGTTTGCTTTTATATGACTTTTCAACGTATGTACGAGCAAATTATATGATATATAGTAATATATACATATAGTTTCATTTTACTTTATCATGATTTTTAAACTTATGTACGAGCGAATCATTGAATTCTGTGTTATGTACAACTATGTATACCTAGGGTTCGATTTTTTGCTTTTACATGATTATTTAACTTATGTACGCCTTAATTTTCCTATTCTATGCTACATGGCTAATTATTAAATTTACCATTTTTTATAAATTTTAAATTATGTACGAGATAATTGTTATATAGTCTAATATAGTAACATATATTTTACATCTTAATGTCATTAATATAATAATAATTAATTAACGTTTTTTTAGTCTTATTTTGAGTTTTAGCTTTAGCCGTCTGTATCCACAGTTTCAGCCCAGCCTCTTCACCCGAAGAGCCCGCAGTTTGCGGTATCGCGTGCGCAGCTTGCCTTTCTTCCTTGCTTTTTTAATAAAAACGGGCATAAAATATTTTCTAACATGTATATTTATAGATGTGGAGAAGTAGATCATCCAGGTAATTAATATAAATTTATCTTTTTAACAATTTTAAACTGATTCAACTACTTTTTAACTAATTAACTAATTTATATAACTTTTTTCAGCTGGCCAGGTATATTCAGTTGATTTGCATCCAGATGGAGATCTTTTGGCTACAGCTGGCTTCAATGATCGTGGAAAAGGCTGTCTGATTGTTTGGGATTTGACAGCAGTTGTTGGATGTTCTAAAGATCTGGCTCAAGGTAAGAATTTAATTATTTTATGTTATATTCGATATTTAGGTGAAGAAGCTAAAGAAGATGAAGAAAAGTCAAAGAAAAGAAGTGCTAAGCTGGATGAAAAGGCTCATATGAGTAAGTTAACTGCCTTTTTTTATCTAAAAAGACTTTCTCTTTTTAGACCGACAGAATTGTGTCCGTTGGAGCCGAGTCGATCGAGGCCGATACCTTGTGGCTACTGGAGATAACAGTATTGTGCATTTATATGAACCTTTCAACGACACAGACAAATCGAATTTTGATCTCAAGGATGCCCTCCAACTAATTGGGCATAAATCAGAAGTTATTCACGCTGAATTTAGTCGGGATGGCAAGTTTTTGGCCAGTTGTTCATTAGATTCGTCTGTTATAATATGGGACATGAAGAATTTGACAAAACCGTTGAGAATATTGACAAGTGAAGATGGTGGACATTCGGATTATGTTAGAGGATTAGTCTGGGATCCATTAGAAAGGTTTTTGATCACACAATCTTCTGATCAAACGATAAAAGTATGGAGACATGGCAATTGGGAATGTGAACAAACTATCACTGGCTTTTCGAATGTAAGTTAATTTTTTGTATTGTTTTATATTTAGGAGGAAAGAATATAAGTGTAAGAGGTTATTTTAACGAGAAATGGCAATGAAAGACAGTTTGACGTCTTGAAAACGAATTTTTCGATATTATCTATGATTTCTAATCTTGAAGATGCTTAAAATCTTTAATTTTAAGCTATTTTCTTTACAATTTTTGTTGTTAAAGGGGACAGTTAGGACTAGCAATGTTTTCTGGATATTGTACAACTGAAAAATGATGTCAACTATTTCAGTTATCGAAATTCTACTCAAGAATGGACTGGACAGCAGATGGATCAATGTTAGTAGCTCCTTGTAGTGGAAATAATGGTTTTAATACGGCTAAAATAATTTTGAGGAAACAGTGGATGGCAGAGTTGGATTTGGTCGGGTTTGATGGGGCTACATCTTGCGTTGTAAGTTGATATAGGGATTATAAGTATATTGTAGTAGGTATTTTTGAGGCTTTTTGTCATTTTTTGATAGGGTATCTTAAGTTAATGATGGAATAGATGAAAACACTTTTAGTGGTATGTTCTTTAAGGTTTAAAGATGCACTTTACTATGTTTCAGAGAGGATCTACCAGATGTAATATAATAACAGTCAATGACAAGAAGTTAGTTGGGTCATTGATAGCAGTTGGAAGTCAAGACCGATCAGTGAGTATATGGATGTTACCGGTTTATCAGCGGCCACTGGTAGTAATTCAAGAGATTTTACCTGAAGAAATATTGGATTTATCTTGGCATGACGAAAAACTGGTCGTATGTGGGATTAATGGGTCTGTCAGATGTATAATATTAGAGGAATCGGAGACTGGGCGGTTTTTAAGTGATCGGGAAATGGTAAGCGTATTTTTAAGTTTTTAGGCAAAAATTTAAAAAAAAGCTACTTGAATATTGTAAATTTGAGTTTTCATATTATTTTAGGTAAAAGTAGAGGTTTTTTCAAATTTTCTGTCGATATTAAGGTTTTTAGTTTAAGTAAAAAAACATTTGAACTGTAATTTAGGCTAATTTTGAATTTTTCTAGGCCGAACAATACAGTAAATCATTTTCGTACGTACCGTCAGTGTATAGAGAAAGAGAAGATGATGTAGACTATGGGACAGTTAATGTAAAGGATGATGAGAAGTCGATTTGGGATGAGTTTGATGTTCCTACTGGTATGACTTTTTAATTTGATACTTGGCTGGTATTGTTAGAGGCGGGGAAGGGAGTGGTTTTTGAAAGTTTTTAAAGAATGGTGAGGGGGAGGGAGGGGTGACGTTTTTTTTTGCGTTTTTAATCAAAATTTGAAGAAGGAAGGCTTTTTTAAAAAAATTATATGGGCGGGGTCAGGGACGTCGTTTGGGGGTTGGCTTGGGGTTACCAGAGCCGATCCGAAAAAAAATCCACAGGTACGTGAAAAAACGAGAAACTCCCACCAGAGAAAAAGCCGTAGCGACGTCCCTGGGCGGGGGTAAAAAAAATAAAAAATTTTTTTTGAAGGGGGTGGTAAATTTTTTTTTGTTTTTTTTATTTTTTGAGACTAAAAATGTCATTTTAGAAGAAATGTGTCAGCTAGCCAAAGACTGTGACAACTACTTTTTACCTCACACGTTAATGAGGTCTTGTAATCAATGTCTTACCATTATTCGCGGGTCGAAGTGTAGGTATCCAGAACCGGAAATTGAAGTCATTGGAGATGAAGATTAACCTTAGGTCCTATTTTGTTGTCGTATACATTATAATATTGTATTTTAAATATTATGTTGCGGGGTTAAAAAAGTTTTGTCGTTAATTGGTTATGTTTTTAATGTTAAAACACGACAAGACTTTTTTCAGGCTTTAATGTTATGTTTTTGTTATTTTGGAAATATACTAATGTAATATTTCTACTTTTAAGATAATATGTTGTCTCATTTCTCAAAGCATTTCATAATACATGTTATCCATGACTTTTTTTCACTTTTTGTTACCTAAACACCATCTTTTCATCCTTTTCAATCTTCTCATCATTTTCAAAATGTTTTGATAAGACATTGTTAAAACCACCCCAAATCCCCACCTCATTTCATTTCCCATTCACGGAGCGACCGGTCGATTTGTCGCACCAACAAAATGGCACAATACGAACCGATTCTGGATCCTCAACAAATGGGCGCGGCACCGGCCCCACCCTTGCCTCCACCACCACCCCCGCCACCTCCGCCACCCGCACCGTCTAAACCAGCGACACAAATGGAGGAAGAGACGTTCGCCTCCACCCGTGAATCCGAAACTCGACCGGTAAATCGAAAAAAGGGCAAGAAAGGGGCCAAACCCAGCAAAAGCAAGATCAACGTGAAGGAGGAGGGCGATGAGGATGAGGACGATGCCATCGCTGCATGTGAGTTTGTTTTTCTTGAGTTTGGAAATAAAGTTCTTGCAATTTAAAGCTTTGTAAAGAAAGGTCTTGCGATTTTAAGCTTTGTAAAGAAAGTTCTTGTTATTTTTTGTCTTGTAAAGAACGTTTTTGCTATTTTTATCTTGTAAAGAAAGTTCTTGCCATTTTTTGTTTTGTAATGAAAATTCTTGCCACTTTAAGCTTTGTAAACAAAGTTCTTGCCATTTTCAGTGATTGTAAGACGTGCGCTGGAAGTGCGTTTCTGCTACGCCTTCTGGCTCTCCGTACTGGTCGTGTGCCTAATATCGTTCCTTATCGCTATCATATTGTTGTTCGCATTGTAAATGGACTTGATACAGCTTTCAATAAAGGAAACGTACTGGTTTTGGGAGAAATTATAGTGATAATGACGTCTACTCTCACCCTACCCTTACTTCTACCCCCCCCTTAGGCTAAAAGTTGACTTTCAGTTTGAACAGGGGGGGGGGAAGGAGGAGGGAAAAAAGTTGAGCTTGGGAGGGCATGGTTAACTGTAAAAACAAATGTTTTTAATACTGATGTTGTATGTGCTTTACATTGTGTTTCCTTGTAGTAATGACAATATGACTGGTTTACCTTACCCTCTCACGGTTAATTACACATAATTCATGTAACTATTTACATATAAGTACGAGTACTGAAAAGGTACAAACTTGAGACTTTTTTTTTGAATTTACAAATATTTTTCATTTTAAATAATATTACTGTTGAGCTTTGAATTATACTCAATCCTAAACCGAATTTGTGTCATATAACTAAGTTATCGGTACAATAACGAGAACTTAACCTAAACTGTCATATTGTTAGAATGTACTTTAAATGTGTAGGTTTTTAACGTCTCCGTTACAAATCTTTTAGTATTTTTCTCAAAGCAGACTTATTTAGATTCAATTATAAATTAATTTTTTAGTAACCAACAAAATTTAAGTGAATAGTTTTTATATAAGTAGTACAACATGTCTATGTTCTATGGTTTTTGTACATTTTTATGAAGTAGAGTAGTTATGTAAGAGTAGGATTTAAGTATATCTAGGCTAAACATAGGGTAGGGTTAGGGTCGAGAAGGTCGGGTAAAGTAGGGTTATATGCGGCAGAGTAGAGTAACATAGGGTACGGTTGGACAAAGTACGGTAAGTAAAGTAAGACAGGAAAGAGTAAGATAGGATAGGGTAGAGAAAAGTAGCGTAGAGTAGGATAGGGTAGGGTAGAGAAAAGTAGCGTATACAGGGGCGTCGCTAGGGGGGTGGGGGGAGGGGGGTGTACGCGAAAAATCGAAAAATTTTTTTTTTGAAAAATCGGTCCGCAGGGCTGTGGAACAAAAAAATTTTTTGGGTCTCCACCCCCCCCCCCCCCCAGAAAAAACCCGTAGCGACGCCCCTGAGCGTATAGTAGGATAGGGTAGAGTAGGTAGAGTAAGGTGGGGTATGGTAGAGTAGAGTAGGGTAGGGTAGGGTAGGTAGAGTAAGGTAGGGTAAAGTAAGGTAGGGTAGGGTAAAATTCGTTTTCTATTCAGAACTACGTTACCACACCCAAAAACAGCCTGCTATTTTGCATATTATTTCCTAATTAAACCAAAAGTCATTAAATTCAGGCGTAGTAAACAAAAACTTCATTCGTATGTTACACATGTTATGACGGGCCTTATTATTGTGCTAATTGGAATATCCTTACTATTGTATATCTTGGCGCTATGGCTATTTACAGCGTTGTTAATAATTCAATTCTATCGACTCAATGTGAATTTAAAAATTCACTTTATATCGTGTATATTCTCGGTTACTGTGGCTATGCCACGGTCAATTTATGTTTTACTTTGGTATAGGGGTGAAGGTAAGTGTATAATATATAAATAAAAAAGGTCTAGCTACAAAAAGGAGCGCAAAATGCCATCATTGGAAAAACAATTGAAATATACTTCACCCTCAAAATTTTTTTTAACACGCCCAAAAAAAATTTTAAAAAAATGTTTATGTGACTCAAAAACCGTTAAAAATACACCCAATTCCTTCAAAAAATTACAAACTTTACCCCCACCCTCCCCCCCCAAAAAAAATTTTTTTTACCCCGCCCAAAAAAATTCGAAAAATTTCTACCCCCCTTCAAAAAATTAAAAAAAAACCAACACAGCAAAAAAAAATAAAAAAATTTACCCCCCACCCCACCGTGACAAAAAAAAATAACCCCTTCCTCCCCATTTTATGCCATCAATACCCATTTTCAGACACCATGTACTCTGAAAAAGCCATTTTCTGGACGGTGATGCTCCAATTCCCTGCCTTTTTCGTCGAATCTTTAAGCCTATTCTTCTTAACCCTGGACAGATTTTTGTTCATAATATGGCCAAAGTACGCGCTTGGGCAACATCAGATTTATGTTGTAATACCCAATATAGCTTGCCAGGCTATAGCCTATCTTTTGGATTTTATTGTTTACTCATCCTATCTTGATTTTAGTTTATATACTGGGAAAATAACTGGTAAGTCTAGTTTTTTTGTGGCCTACCCTACTCTACCGTACTCCACCTTATCCTACCGTGCCCTACCTTACCTCGCCTACTTTACCTTATTTCATCCTATCTTGCCCTACCATTCCCTACCCTACTTTACCCTACCATACCCTACCCTACCATTCCTTATCCTACTTTACCCTACCATCCTACCCTACCTTACCCTACCCTATCCTACCTTACCCTACCCTGCCTACCCTACCCTATTTTACCCTACCTTATGCTATGCAACCTATACCACGGATACCTCAAACTAAAATTACACTGTCGCGCCCTACCGTACCGTAAAGCCTATAGACATACATACATAATTTTACCCTATTTGGCCTACACGGCATCTTTGCCTGCGCTACGCTAGTCCAGTTTTACCGTGCCCTAGCCATCTCCTCACTTCATACCTATAAGTATAATAACTTAACCCTGCCTTGTATGTGCATTCTCACCTTTCCTACCATTTTATTTGCAGCATGCTATACCTACATATGTTTTGATCGATACAGAGCAAAGACGGACTCCTGGAAGTACATTATAACCTTAGACGGCATTAGTATATCAGCTGGTGGGACCTTTTGCTACTTCTATTCTAGATATCGAAAGCTTAGCAAAGCTAAAGGAAGCAAACATGTAAGCCTAACTATTTAACTACTGCCATAAGTCGTATTTTAACAAAGTTAAACTTCTTTATATGATCAATAAATACAAATTGGAGAACTGTTAGTACTATATAGTACGTTTAAGAAAGCAAGCAGGCCGTCAAGTTGTCTATTATATAGATAACCTTTTATCCGACTATGCTTGAGATTATTTTAGATTGTTCAAATAATTCAGTGTTCCTAAGCTTAAAAACTTGCTTTAAAAAGGAGCACATAATTATTTGAACAACATAATATGAAAGCTTTTACAGGCTAAGCCTATATGATTATCTTTAGCTCATGGATATAATAGCAACTTTCAGGCCTACAGCATATTAGTCTACGCATTAGCTACAGAGTTTACATTCAAACTAGTGCCTCAATTCCTAAACTTCAATCTCCTACATGTAAGTCAGTTCATTTACTATAATATAATTGTAAGAATTCTTCTTTGTAAAAGGTATTTTACCTAAAATCTCAAATTATACCATGAACACCAAATTCATGCTTAATTTAAGCTTCTTTTCTGTCAAGATAAGCCTAAAAAACTTACCAAATTCAAAGTTTTAAGACTTATTAGGTCGTTCACATAATTATTTGCTCCCTAAGCAAATTTTTAGTGCTAAGGGGCGCATAATTATTTGAACAATTTTGAACATAATAGATTAACCACACTTACAGATATTCAACATTGTGATCGAAGATACCATAGGACCATACATGTCATATGTCCAATCACTGGAAATGTCATGTAGAGCAATATTTTACATCTACGTATATTCACGTTATCGTGCGAAAAAGAAGCACACCAAATCATCAATAAAGGTGGTACCTACTCCAACATAGTGATAAAATTAAACTTACCTAATCTACCTGCGTTAATAAAATTCGATATAAAGAAAAGAAGACTAAGATAATCAATCAAACTTGTAATTTTGTGCCATATCATTGTTAAAATTTGTTGTTTTAAAGTGCTCTACATCAATATAATCATGAGTCATTTTATACTCCCACAAGCTCTACGGGACCACTGTAACTTCGTATCTTTGCCAAATCTTTCATACCAACACATAACACCATACAGAAGCTTTGACGAACCATTTGTTGTTAATATGTTACCTAAATAATACAACGAGTAAAAGCTGGAACAAACCTCCATGACAACATATTTTGTCTAAAAAAATTGCTTATCAGCTAAAATGAGACAATAGAAGAATAAATGTAGTTAACCAAAGCTTTTTAATAGCATTTTTCAATTATATAAATTTTTGCCGAGAACGTGTTTCACCACGAACACATGATTTTACCAATTAGGCCTGAAAAGAAGAAAGACTTGGCTCAAAAGTGGTAGAAAAGAAAAACATGGCTCAGAATCGAAAAGAAGCGCCATTTTTTTTGAATTCCTGTAAAAAATCTCCGACATCCTATCCGAATGGCCTGAAACGCTTTTTCAGCTGAAAGTGGTTTGGTTCATTTTTCAGACATTAATTTTGAAGCTTTAATCTCTGACAATATCGGTGAAAGGATGGGTCGACATCCGTTTGGGAGCCAACTCAGAAGGCCGAAACCCGGCTATGTAACTACCGCGGTCGGCGAACGTACTAACACTAGCTTTGAAATCTTTATTGCTCAAATTACTGATGGTACTTTCTGTGAGTTAGGATTTTTTTTTTAGCCTATTTTTAGGTAATTCAGGAGGATTTTCGGAAGTTTCTTTGATTTTAGGTAGTTTTGAAGAAGGATAATATTATTTTTACATTTTCTTCTTCTCCTCAAGCTGATTTTTATAATTTTCTGCGATTCCATAAAGTTTTGAAAATGGATAATAATATTTTTAAAGTTTTAGTTTGAAAAACGATGAAAACATTAAGTTATTTTCATGTTTTATTTGATTTTATAAATTTTATCTGTTTTTCAGGCGAAATTGGCGTAACCAGAGTCGATGGTCAAGACTACATTGTCAAAATGACTCGAACCAAACATTCGTACGAACGTGAGGTAAGTTTATATTTTTGATTAGTTTCTTTGATGTTTAGGTAAGAAGATGTTGCTGAAGATTTATGGTCGAGTTTTGGTGCTATTGAAGTTTTTTGGAGTGGGAAAATTGAGAATTCAGGCTTTCGATGTTAAAAAATGGCAAAACAGATAATTTTTGTTGTAAAACAGCAAAGTTTCAAGGGTTTTTATCAATTTTTTAACAGATTCACGTTAAAATAACTTTTTTAAAACAATTCTGTATATTTTAGAGCATCTTTAGATATTCTAAAGCTAATTTAGATATGTTAGAGCTACGTTTTATCTATATTAACCTTCTAACTCCATGTTATTGTAGGTACAAGTACTGTTGAGACTGAAGCGATCAAAGGTTAAGGCCGGACCGGATTTGTTTGACTATGGTTTTGTGGATTATCGTGGAGGGTACTACTTTGTCGTGACAGAGATGTTGTGGTTCGATTTGGACGAAATTCATCGACTTGGACGTTTTTACACCAAGCAGACTCAGCTGAGGTTGGCTATTGGGGTAAGTCTTCGTTTTTCTTTATTTGAGTGATTTTGTAGGTAATAAAGGGTTTTTGAATGTTTTTTATGTGATTTTATATTGCTTTTCAGAAGATCAGAGCGCTTCAACGGCTTCACGAAAACGGTGTTGTAGTAAGTGATATTAAAAATGCCAATTTCTGCTTCACCAGACCTGATTCCGAGGATCCATTCAAAGTTTACTTTGTTGACTTTGGCCAAGCCACTTTTTACGAAAAAGAAGACATGATCGACATGGAGGACTACATTTATGGCCAGAATCTCAGATATGATCGGTTGTCTAAGCTTAATCGCTCCAGAAGTTATGTTGTATCACCTACGGTAAGGTTTTTTATTTTTTTTTGTTTTAGGTAGGAAAAGGTGGAGATATTGAAAAAAAGCTGTTTTAAGAGTTTTTTATACCTAAAATTTGAAAAAAGTTAAATTTTTTACAGGTCCGCGTGCCCTACGACGATCTGGAAGCCTTCTTGTATGTAACAGCTGGTGCCAGAACTGAAATGTTAGGCCAAAAGATGAAATGCTTTGAAATGGAACATTACGAAGAAACTCGGGATTGGTTTCTGCACGAATACCAAGGTGTCTACAGAATTATGTGCGAAACTAAGCGATCCGAATTCCCACGCTACGACGATATTGTGGAAGAGTTGGAGAAGCAGCTGGACAAGCAGGTTTTGAGAGAAGAACGAGTAAACCATTACAGCATGTTCACCAGAGAAGGCTACGAACCCATGGTGGTGGGTGATCGTGGTGTGCCAACTGAGATTCGCTGGTTCTTGCCAAACAGACCTCAAAGGTCGGTGGCTTGAAGCTTTAAGAATTTGGTGAAGATAATGAAGAAGGCTTTGTAGGACGATTCAGGAGGAACTGATGAAGAGTTATGGCAGTTTTTTTAGACGTTCAACTAAGGCTCATGGTGAATATTGTCGGTTTTTTATGGATTTTGGTGAAGATCGTTGACTGAACTTCTTGCTTTGTGTTTATCGTCTTTCTCTGCCTTTGTTTGTTGTACTTACTTGTTGGATCGCTCTTTTTTGTGATTTTTAGATAGATGAAAGGCTGATGTTAAGTTAAGATTGTGTTGACAATGGCTTAGATAGATTTTTGAACGTTTTGATTGTGTTTTAGATTAATTTTGAGGGCTTTGATGAGGGTTGACATTAATTTTGAGGGTTTGATCACTTTACATTGATTCTAATAAGTTTGGATAAGGTTTATGTGAATTTAATGATATTGTAGGGCATTTCTAATCTGATCTTTATGTCTTTTTCGCTTGTGTTTTTAATTGATTTCTTTAAGGTTTGTGGGCTATGTTTAATGATTTTTAAAACTTTTTTTAAATTTCTTTTTAACAACAAATTGATAACAAAAAACATTTTTGATAGGTCTTTTGTATGTTTTTTTCTATTATTTTGTAATGTTTTATCTATTTTGTCTTGAAAATTAACGGTTTTTGTAAGTTTGTCTCTTTTTGGTAACCTTTCTCTCATCTTTTTAAATTTTCACTTTTCAATGTTTTTAAGTTTATTTTTATTAACTATTAACATCTTTTGTTTTTATAATAAAGTATTCGAAAAAAGTATTGGAATTATGGTTAAATGTTATATGGCTTTGATAAATATTTTTCTTAATATTGAATGATGTGTTTGGACAGTGATGGATTTTATGTAGTTTAGGCTTAGAAAACCTACATATAGAAGCATAGGCACAGGTAATTGATCTTACCGTACCTTGGCTTTCTTGGCTGATTATCAATAGGGTTGATGAAAGCTTAGTAGTATTATACTTAGTGGGCTTAGGTGTAGTAGGCTTAAGTTTAAGGTTTTGATCATGGTTTACAATTGGTAAGCTTACTCTTAATAGGCTTAGCAATCCTACAAATAGTATTCTTTAGTATATAAGGTTTAGGTTTAGCAGACTGTGCCTTAATGAGCTTGGGCTTAGTAAATTTACTTTTAGCAGACATAGGCTTTGTTGGCTTAGGCTTAGTGAGCTTAGACGTAATATTGTTGAGAAAGGAGGCTTAGGTTAAGTATTCTTACGTTTAGTAGCCTCAGGATTGATATGCTTACTCTTAGTAAACATAGAATTTGTAGGCTTAAACTTAGCAATTCATGACATAGTATGTTCTGGCGTAGCAGACTTAAGCTTAGTAAGCCTAGACATAATAGTATTCTCTGCCATAGTAGACTTAGGTATGGCCAGCTGTGGCTTATTAAGGCTAGAATTAATAAACTTAATTCCAAATTTTTAAGCCTACGATTGATCGAAAAAGCTGTTCTTGTTTTGCTCTACCTTTTTGCCTCCTCCCCTCTCTCCGCCCCCCCCTCCATTCTCCTCCCCCCTCCCCCTTACCTTACCTCAAAAACAAAAATCACCCGCTTTGCCTGGCTTATCAGATCAATTGTTTTACCATTAACTTATATAATATGCAGTAGTATGCCAATAAAACCCGGCTGACCTTCGACCCACTACTCTTTAATTTCCCTTCTGTGTAAATCACGAGACTGTCATTTAAAATTGGGAACACTTTAAGAGCTGTTTGGGGAACGCGAGAACGTTTTTGATTTTGTAAAACGTTCTTTCATTCCGATGGGTTATTATGGCTAATACCACCGGGTTCTGTCGTCGGTATTTTCGAAAACAAACTTTATTTTGGCAGTAAAATCATTGGGAAATCCGCGGGTTTGAGGGTATTTAAGTGTTCTTTACATTCTGATTATTGACTTTATGTTACGGTAGTTTCTTGGGTGATTTCTATAGTTTTATGGAAGCCTAAAATAAAATTTTGAAAGTTTACAAACTTTTAGGCTTAAAATTGATTCTTTTTGGTACAGATTTAGGTTTTTAGGTTTCATTGTGAACCTTTGGGATAAAAAACAGTATTCTTGGCTTAAAATTGCACTTTTTGGTGTAGTGTTAGGTTATTAGGTTTCACTATAAATTTTTGGCTAGAAAACAATATTTTAGGCTTAAAATTGATTCTTTTTGGTACAGAGTTAGACTTTTAGGTTTCTATGTTTATCTTTGATCTAAAAAACTATATTTTTGGCTTAAAATAATGCTTTAGACTGAGCAAGCAAATATATGGTTTGAAAATAAAGCTTAGGCTTAAAAATTACACTTTTGGAATAAGTTTAGGCCTAAACTAACTTTTAAACCTAGAAATTACACATTAGGCTTAAAATTTCAAGTTTTTGTTACAAAAGCAATTTTTAGGCTTAAAGTTATATTTTAAGCCAAGAAAGTAAATTTTAGGCTTAAAAATTAACTTTGAGATATATAATAGAAACGTGTTTTAGGCTTATCAGTCACTGTTTTAAAAATAAAAACGTCTTAGGTTTAATAATTGCACTTTATTATTATAAAACAAAATTTCAAGTTCAAAGATAACGTTTAGGCTTAAATATAATATTTTAGGCTTAAAGTTAAGCATTTTTCTCTTTTTAAGCTGCTAAATTTTAAGCTTTTGAATTTTTAAATATTTTTTTTTTTAATTTTAACCTTAAATTTTTTTCTTTTCAACTTTTTTTCCTATTTACTCCGTTATTACATCCAAAAGTTGTCATATGTTTCCACCTCAAAATTACGTTTCAAAACGTGAAACCCAATCACATTTAGAAATCCAGGTGCAAAAGCGTTGCTCGTCTCCATGTTTCCCCACAAAAAAGCTTTTGAAAGTATTCGAAAAGAGAATATTACTTTACACAGCCGGGAAAAGACTGTTTTTCAGCCCAAAAAACTACTTGACAAACCTTTTTCGACCTGTTCGTTGTCGAAAACTTAATAACACGGATGTTCTGAGGGGTTTGGAGACTGTTTTTTGAATTTTCATACTTATTTTTGAAAACTTTTGGTTTTTTGACGGTTTTTTTTATTTTAGGACTTTTTTTTGTTTTTTTAATCCTAGCCCTAGCCCAGAGCCCTAGCCCAGAGCCCTAGCCCAGAGCCCTAGCCCAGAGCCCTAGCCCAGAGCCCTAGCCCAGAGCCCTAGTCCAGAGCCCTAGTCCAGAGCCCTAGCTTTAGCCTTCACTTTTGACCTTGCCTGAGCTCTAGCCCAAAGCCCTAGCCCAGAGCCCTAGCCCAGAGCCTTAGCCCAGAGCTCTAGCCCAGAGCCCTAGCTTTAGCCTTCACTTTTGACCTTGCCTGAGCTCTAGCCCAAAGCCCTACCCCAGAGCCCTATCCCTAACTCGTCTTGACTTTAGTCTTAGCCCTAGCTCAGATTTGAACGTGCCCTATCCTTTCTTCTTTTAGTCTTTGGTATTTCCGTGCAATGCTTGTAGCGTACTGTTAGCCCTAGTCTAAGCCTCACCAGTACATCTATCTTTTCTATTATCTCTACCTTCATCCTTTTACCTCGCCTCTATTCTTACTCCTACCCCTACATCTACATTAGTTTTAGCTCTACCTCTACTTCTAATTTACCCCTACCTCTACCTTTACTTCTACTCTTACCTCTCGATTTGTTAAATTTACGACATTAACATAATTTTGTCACAGTTTTTAAAACTTTTTACGGTTTTTTGTGTTTTGCGTCAAATTTCTCGCGGTCTTTGGAATTTGTTGAACTTTACGGAAAAAGTTCTTTTTTGACTTTTGGAACAGATGGCTTTATTTGGAAGCTGGATGCTTTTTTGTTATAGACTTTACGTTTACTTTTTGGCTTCGTATATAGTTATAGGGTGGCAATATTGAAAGTACTTTTGGCTATGTAAAGGTTTGGCTTAAAGTTGGGGGTCTGGGCTTAAGTTTTTTTGAAAATTAATGTTTTTGATTTAATTCTTAGGCTTAAGTTTTGGTTATAGGTTTAAGCTGTAAGCGTTGGGTTTAAAGATGAGTTTTAGGCTTATTATTTCAATTCTGATTTGGCAAAATGTATTTCAGGCTTATTTCTTAATCCTGATACGAGAAAATGTGTTTTAGGCTTATTTTAGAGTTTTAGGCTTACAGATTGACTTTTTAGTTTTTTTAAATCTTAGATTTAAAATATTAATAGGCTTATTATTCACTTTTAGCTTGAAATAGGATTTTTAAGCTCAAAAGGTCTGTGATTAAAAAATAAACTTTAGGCTTATCACTTTTATTTAGAAAAAATAATTTTAGGCTTATATTCCTGTTTTAACCTTAAATTTAGGCTTAAGTATAACACCAAAAATATTTTTTCAAACCCGAACGTTTCAAAAAACGTTATACTTTATCAGCGTGAACGTCACATTTCCTGTTTTATTGCTTATTTATGTGTTTTTCACGATATTATATTACCACAGCGGTTTCAGATGTCCTTGAAACGAAGCAACAGATTGTCCCTGGACAGCCGGATGCCACATCGGCCCAGCACCAGCAGGTGGAGGTAAGGAGAACATTAAATTTTCAAAAAAAAACAGAAAAATTGAAATTATGATATTCAAAACAAAGTTAGGTTTAAAAGCTAAGCCTAGGCTTATATATTACGTTTAACAGCGAAGCATAGGAACGGAGGTTAGATTTAAAAGCTAAGCTTAATCTTATGAGTTATGTTTAACAGCGAAGCATAGGCAGGCAAATGGATTAGGTTTAAAAGCTAAGCTTAGGCTTATGAGTTACGTTTAAAAGCGAAGAATAGGCAGGCAAATGAGTTTGGTTTGAAAGCTGAGCTAAGCTTTGCATACCCTTAATGGCCACATATAAGCTTAGAAATTGAAGTGTAAGGCTCAAATGTAAAATCACGAGTATAAAGCAATTTTAGTCTTAAAAAATAAAGTTTAGGCTTATAGAGGAAATTTTAGTTTAAACAACTAGTTTTATAGTTAAAAGTGAGTTTTAGGCTTAAAAAGTTATACTTATGTTAAGTAGAAAAAATTTTCGATTTAAAAGTTTAAAATAGGCTTACAGGTGAAATTTAGGCTTAGGAAATGAAACTTAAGGCTTAAATCTTAAATTATGAATATGAAGCAAGTTTAGGCTCCAACAATAAAATCTAGGCTTAGAAATAAAATTTTAAGTTTAAAAAATGAAGTTTCTTAATTAAAGGTAAAGGTTAAGCTTAAAAATTTAATGTATGCAAATGAAAATTTAGTCTTAGGGCTTTAGTGAAAATAGATTTAAAAAAAAGCGTTGCACTTTTAAACGCACTGTTGTGTTGTTGTTTTTTCTAATGTATATTTATTTAGTTTTGTAAACACGTCTGCTCTACTTTACTTGTTTTTGCTTTATTTTTCAACCTTTCACTCTTTTTTAATTAAAGTAACGTTCAGATTTGATGTAAAACGTAAAGAAAAACTAAAAAAACGTGCTAAACAAATTTCTGAAAAGCCAATAGAAACCTACTACTAGGCCAAAAACGAACGGGTACTATGTCATAAAAAGTGAGAGTACTAGGTTGTAGGCGTAAGGGTAATAGGCTACAAGCATGAGGGTACTAGACCATACGCGTGAGCGGGACAGGCCTACAGCTAAGGTTGCTTAAACTTTATAAAACACATTTCTAAAGCCTGCATTGACATAATACATTAAGCACAATATTTTTTTTATAGCCTAATATCGCTGATATAACTACATAGCCTTAGAGAAATTGCAAGGAATGGTGTTACGCAACGTTTTCTTATGTAATATTATTTACTTTTGTAATATTTGCCTCGATGTAAAATGACCCAACAAATGACTGCGAGTACGGCAATTTTACAAGTTGCGCCAAAAGTTCTGTTACAAAACTTTATCGGTTGTTTTCTCGTTCTTTGCTGTAATCTGTCATAATATGTACAATCATATTAAATTATTTTTTATTTTATAGAATTGTGAGATTACAATGTTTTTCAGCTCCCATGAAGCCCAGATAACCTCAGATCAAGTGGAATTACTCCGTCGATTCTCTCGTCGAATAATCAATGCCGGAGTGAACCAATTGAGAAAAGAATTCGACCAAATTGAAGGACTAACAGGACCAAGCTACGAAGATGCGGCTACGAAAAACCAATCCAAATGCAGATACCGTGACGTTGTTTGTTGGGAAGATAGCAGAGTCAAGCTGAATAACAGTAAAAATGACTTTATTCATGCTAACATGGTACAGCATAGTACACTTTCGAATAGATTCATATGTTCTCAAGGCCCACTGGATCATACTGTGACTGATTTTTGGGAAATGATATGGGAACAGAAGATCAAGTTAGTTATTATGCTGTGTCAAGTTATGGAGGAGAAGAGGAATAAGTGTGCTCAGGTAGGCCAGGCTTTGGATTTTTTTTATTGTGTTTTATGTCTAAGAAACCTAAACCATATAGTAGTAAGCTGTAGCTTATTAAGTCCAGTTCTTCTTAGTCTAAGCTTAAGTTTACTAAATCTGAGTATACTAAGCTTAAGCCTCCTAAGCCTACTGAAACTAAGCCTGCTAAGCCTAAGCCTACTAAGCTTAAGCTTACTAAGACTAAGCCAACTAAGCTTAAGCCTACAAAGCCTAAGCCTACTGAACTTAAGCCTGCTAAGCTTAAGCCTACTAACTTTAAGTTTACGAAGCCTAAACCTACTAATACTAAGCCTACTAAGCTTAAGCCTTTTAAATCTATTCTTAGTAAGATTTACAGTTAGCTTATTAATGTGAGACTTGCTAACTTTAAGCTTGCTATGTTTAAGACTAAGCCTAAGCGTATTAAACGTACTAAAACAAAGCTTAATAAGCCTAAGCTAAATAAGCCTAAGTTTAATCTTACTAAGGCTAAGACAAGCTTGATAAACTTTTCTCTTACTAAGTTTTAGAGCCGTAAGCCACGTATATTAAGCTTAAGTTCTGTAACGTTGACTCTACTAACCTTAAGCTTAATAAAGTTAAGCCTAAGGTAACTAAGTATAAGTTCATTTAGTCGTTTTAGCCCTAGGGCTGATTGAGGTTTTTTTAATTTAGATTTAAGCTTAATAAACTTGTAATTTTTATACTGATAAGCCTATTTCTTAACCTATATACCAAAACTTATACTTTATTTTTAGTACTGGCCAAAGCACGCCGGCCAATCCCGTCAGTATGGGCCGTTTGTAGTGAAAAACGAAATGACAGATCAAACAGAATTGGGCCTGAAGCGCTGTAAGCTAATCGTACAATACCACGGCGAAGAACGGACGATACAGCACGTTCAATGGACCGCATGGAAAGATCGGAAGGCTCCAAAAGGTTCTACTATGGCATTTAGGCTCATCTCTATGGCACGAAAGAACTCGGACAGTCCAACTGTAGTACACTGTTCTGCTGGAGTTGGACGAACTGGTACATTGGTACTATTGGCTATGTTGAGGGGGTAGGTTTGGTATTATTGATTTTGTAGGGTAGGGTAGGGTACGCTTTGCTATCCTAGAGGTAGACTCAACATGGTAGTGCTGATATGGTTAACACTATTACCATAACATAAACCTTTACAGATCCAGCCTAAAATCAGATTCCCCAAACACGATGAAGCTGCTACGTGATCTCCGTTCTCAACGCGGACAATGTATTCAAACAGAAGATCAATATCTATATCTTCATTTGGCTATGTTACAATATGCTGTTAAATCAAGAGCAGTAACCATTGAAGAAGTAGCCGGCTTCGTACACGATTACGAAGCCTATGTCTTCAATAGTGGAGTCAGTAGAAGGTCATTGATGTCACAGTTGATTGTTATGTCACCAAAAGAAAATCAGATTCAGAAGGAGGAGTTTGATGAGAGGGGGAAGGTATGTCTTAATTTAGAAGTATTTTAGGTTTTCGATGATACTTCTAATTGATATTGTACTCTTTTCTATAAAAAAGCAGATAGCAGGGTAAAGTGGTGTAGGCAGTGTTTTTTGATTCAAAAATTGCAAGATTGAAAATAACTTTTAAGCTTATGGTTTGAAGTTTTAAAAAATAAATAACTTTTGTGGAGGTCCGTCTTTGGTTATCAAGTTATTACCGAAATGGACCGCCCGGACCGGCAAGACCGATTTGGTCCGGCCGGTCCAAATGTTTAGCGAGGAACTTGTATGAGACGGACCTTCACAAAAGTTATTTATTTTTTAAAACTTCAAACCATAAGCTTAAAAGTTATTTTCAATCTTGCAATTTTTGAAAGTCCGGACCGGACCCGGTCCGGCAAAACACTGGGTGTAGGGTAGGTAGACAATGGGTAAGATACTGTAGATTAGGGTAGTACTGTTTAAGCATTACTATGACATTTGCAAATACTACTTGACCTTTGTAATGGTAATAGGAATTACTATATTTTTTACAGAATAGTACTATATAGTACTACAACGTGAAAATTTGTAGTATTACCATCAGGATTTTAAAGAAATAAGTAGGAGTACCAAATTTTTCTAAAAATCGGATTAATATTCTCAAGCAACATAAACACAGCAGTATAGCAATAACACTACCAAGTACTAGCTAAACATAAAAATAGTATTTTTAACTATAACTTTCAATTTGCTTTTAGAAAAAAAATAAAAATTTTTGATTTCAGAGCTTCCGCGTCAGTTTTCATTCAGTGCCGATTCAAAAGTTGATGCAAGACTTGTCGCCGTTTCGGATTCGAGAACGATAGAACATTGATTTTATTTTCTTCTGACTAGTTTTTTACTATCTTTTTTTAGTTTCGTATTTAATTGCTTCTCTTTATTCTTTGGTAACTTTTCCTATATTTTTTCATTTTACATTTATATAATATCAAGTTCTTTTTACATATGTTGACTCTTGTATTATATTTTAAAAATATGATTTTTTAGTTTTTTATTAGAAGCAAACTTTACTTTACTTGACTTTTTTTTTCAATTTTGTCATAATATGCTTTACAATGGTATAGTTTACAGCTACGTATATTCACGTGTTACATTTATATAGTGGTCTCAAAACTAGTACAAACTCGGTGAAAATAAATAGTTTTAACAAATTTTTGAATTGATAAAAGATATAGTAACTCGTGTTTTATAATGAACTTTTTGGCTTAAACTTTAATTAAATTATGCGTAGACTAAGCCTACTAAGCCTATGCCTACTAAGCTTAATCTTACTAAGTCTAAGCTTATTAAGCCTAAGCCTACTACGCCTAAGTCTACTAAGCCTAAGACTACTAATCATGAAGCGAATAGCTTAAGTTCTTTAAGGTTAAAACAGCCTACAAAGCCTAGTTCTACTTAGCCTAAACCTATTAAGCTTAAACCTACTAAAACTAAGCCTACTAAGCCCAAGCTTACTAAGACTAAGCCCACTAAGTCTAAGCTTACAAAGCTTAGTTCTACTTAGCCTAAGCCTATTAAGTTTGCATCTACTAAGCGTGAGCTTATTAATCTTATTTAGTTTTAGCTTACTGAGCCTATGCATGCTAAGCTTGGGCCTACCAAACCTAAGCTTATTAAGACTAAACCTACTAATAGTATGTTTGAGCTTAGGCCTAACAAAAAACACAAATTGGAAATGTTAAAAAATGACAAAATGTGTAAAGTCGACCAAATTTAGCTCAAAATTCGTAAATCCGGACATTGTGCACGTATTTTGGTTATGGTATTTCAAAAAACATGTAAAAACATAGGTTAATGTCATGGCTTGCGTGTTGGTGAGTTTAAACTGTTTGGGTTGAGCTATTTTGTTTTTGGATACATTTCAGTTTTCTGAATCTCAATATTACGTTTGTTTCGATTTGTTATTGTCGCTTTGCTACAACGTAAAACAAAATTGTATTATTGTATATTGTGATAGTCTACGGATAGTATTATAACAGTATATTGTGGACGAACACGGAAGGTAGTAGAATTTTTTGTACGCTTTGCAGTATCTTGGTACTGAGATATTAGTTGAGTTTTGAGAGTATTTACTATTGAGAGTATTATAGTACTGTGATACTAATTGAGCACTTTTTAGAATATTATAGTGCTGTGATACTAATTGAGTACTATTTGAAATATTATAGTACCGTGGTATTATTTGAGTACTATTTGGGATATTACAGCACTGTGATACTATTAGCGTACTATTCGGAATTATTATAGTACTGAGATACTATATAAGTACTATTTAGAATATCATTGTACTGAGATACTATTTAAGTACTGTTTAGAATATCATAGTACTGGGATACTACTTGAGTACTATTTGAAACATTATAGTACTTTAATACTATTTTGAGTACTACTTGAACAATAATAGCACTATAATACTAGTTTAGTACTATACAACTATAACTATTACTAAAGCCTCATCTTACTTTCCATAACATTAAAAATGGCAATATCTGTAAAACTACTATACGTTACATTACTATGTCTTCTAATCACACCAGCCACACCAATTCATACCTTGAGATCAATACAAATAATCACCCCTCCAGCAACCAATTTCAAAGGAATTCGAAGCATTTTAAGCCATCATATGCTCCATAACCGAGTGAAGTCAAACAAAATGTGGAAGTATGGACCTTATTATCATCGTATCATGCTGAGAACTTTTAAACTTATTTAAATATTTTACTGTGGTTGATATTGTAACATTGTAATAGCTATGACTTTGTTAGTACAGTCTTAGCTGACATTCTTACCTGTATATACGACTGAGAGCGGAGTAAGGAAGGGCGATTTTGAAGATAAGGACTTTTGTCTTTACTCTCCAGCGCTCACTCTTTGCCGCTATCGACTTCTGATCAGTATATATTTGTAAAATATTTGTATATTTACACTGTATTTATTACATGTTTTAGTAAGTATAATAGTAAATCAATAAATTATAGAAACAAAACTTTGACCCGAGATCAATTTGCTGACATTGCGTGTAGTACCGTATTTTAGAAAAGAAGTTTTAAAAGTTGTTGCCATGACTGGTAGTAGCGCTGGATTGCGTTGTTCTTATGCTCTGTGTGTGTTGATATTTAGTGGAAGTAACTTTAATACCAGAGTTGTTAGTATAGTCAGAAGTAACTTTGGACACTATTGAGTTTGTAATATAGGTAGTTACTTCAAATATCATTGAGTACCTGTAGTTTAATCCTGTAAGACTTGGCCACACTTTTAGCCAATTGATTGTCTTTCCAGAAGTCTTTGGATGAGCTGAAAGGTAAAAAAGAATAAGTACTATACATATAATAGCTTCAACGTGAGATATGTTTTACACTTTTTGCGAAACAAATCTTTTGTTGCAAAGCCCAAGTTGTGCCTTTGGGGCCTTATTGTGAGCTTCGGCTAGACCTGACAATCGGGCTGAGTTGACCTTGAGCAACAATCAGGCGGGCCGAGCATGAGGTTTTTTTGCCCGCGGGTTGAGTTTGAAAATTGGTTTGTTTTGACTGCCAGAGGCATTTCAAAGATTTTCTTTAGTTTAGTCTTTCTAGTCTGGCTTAATTAGGAGATTTTTTTTTGTAAAAAATAAAATTCTTACCGATAATCCTCAATTTTCGGCCGTAAAATGTAGATACTCTTCACATTTTCATCTTGTAGAATTCTCTGCACCACACTGTAATTGTAAATATGTAGTGATATGTAGTGATTTGGTTTGTTATATCTTGTGAGTACTGCCATGACTTTTCACTCTTGTACTGTCATAGTTTTGTACTCTTGTACAGCCGTGACTTTGTACTCTTACTGCCAGCAACGAAAATGCAAAACACACATTTTGCAAAAATAAACATAGTAATCAAAAATACAGTAATTTGCTTTCAGGATAGCCATCAAATGCGACAAAAAACGTAAAAGCCAAGGTATATTACAGTAAAATAAAAAAGCCTACAGTAGGTAAACAAAAAAGCAAAAGTACATTAACCTTACTTTGCTTGTGAAGGGTTTTTGCCATTCTTCATTGCATTGTAGCTGTACTGTGATTGAACAAACGTTTTCACCTCCTCCGCATTTACCATAACATCTGACACGTTTCCTACTGTTGAGTTGAAGGCCACAGCTCTAATTGCCAGTCCAGTTTCAAAATAGCCGTCTGAATCCCATTTGTCAATTACTTGTAGCAATAGCTGACGGTCGTCCTGAAAATACTCATTATAAGCTATAAAGTTCCTTACTACTTTATATTGTAGTAAGTATGCTAAGTATGTTATAGTAAGTGTAACAATTGTATTTTAATAAGTATTGTAATTACATTAAGATAAATATATACAGAAAGTTATAATAGGCATAGCTAGTATATTACTGTATGTATAATAAGTACTATACTAGTAGATATAAACAGAATATAGCAAAAGATGTGGTTAGTAGATTATGTTAGAGCTTACCTGCTCAACCGACTGTCTACACCGTCGACTAGTACACCTTTGTTTAGACGGACCATTGTAGAAGGCTACAGTAACTAATCTTCTCAGCTCAATAGGTACAGTAGGGTCAGTAGCTTCCGTAGTAACTTCTGGTTCTTCTGTTGCCCATGTAGCTTCAGAAGGCTCTGTAGAAGGCTGTGTTGTCTTAGTAGCTTCTGTAGAGCCTTGAGTTGTTGGTGAAGCTTCTGTAGGGTCTGTAGGTTCTGTTGTGTCCGTACTCTCTGTGGTATCTGAAGGTACTGTAGTATCTGTAGGTTCTGTTGGGATTAGTGTAGATATTGTTGTAGATTCAGAAGTTTCAGGGATAATTGATGTAGTCGCAGAAGGCTCTGTAGGGCTTGTAGGAGCTTCAGAAGGTTGTGTAGATCTTGTAGTAGCCTCTGAAGACTCCGTAGGGCTTGTGGTAGCTTCTGAAGACTCTGTAGGGCTTGGCGTAGTTTCAGAAGGCTTTGCCGAGCTTGTAGTAGCTTCAGAAAGTTCGGTTTGATCAGTAGTAACATCTGAAGGCTCAGTAGATCTACTTGAATATACTGTAGATTCAGTAGCTTCTGTTGGAACTTTAGTTGAAGTTCTTGATGTTGATTCCGTAGAGAATTGAGTGGAAGAACTTGCACTTGATTCTGTAGTTTCTTCAGAAAAACTAGTAGTAGCTTCAGTAAGTTCACTTGATGTTATCGTACCTTCAGTAGTACCATAAGACGTAGTACCTCTTGTATATTCCGTTGATTCTGTTGGAAACTCTGTAGGTTTTGTAGAAGTCACTGGAGTTTCAGTTGAACTTTCAGACGTTGTAGAGGCTTCTGTAGAATCTGTTGACGTTGATTCAGTAAAATCTGTTGTAATTGCTTCTGTAGTATTTTTAGAAGGCGTAGAAGCTTCTGTAGAAGCTGTTGACTGAGTTACCGTTGTTGGAGCTTCAGAAGGCTTGGTAGGCTCATATGTTGAAGCTTCAGAAGGCTCTGTAGGCTGAGTTGTTGGAGCTTCAGAAGGCTCTGTAGGCTGAGTTGTTGGAGCTTCAGAAGGCTCTGTAAGCTCATTCGTTGGAGCTTTAGAAGGCTCCGTAGGCTTACTCGTTGAAGCTTCAGTAGATTCTGTTGGCACCGTAGGAACTTCAGTAGTACCTGTAGAAGAATTTGGAGCTTCACTAGATTCTGTGGGTACAGTAGGTCTTTCTGTAGAATCGTTTGGTTCTGTAGAACTTTCAGTTGCTTCAGTAGCATCAGTAGGACTTTTTGTGGTTACTTCTGACTCAGTTGTAGCTTGTTCTGTAGTAGCTTTTGTAGGTTCCATAGAAGTTGTAGTGCCAGTCGGTTGACTTGGACTTGACGTAGGTTCTGTAGGAATAGTTATAGGTTCAGTAGAAGGCGTTGGTTCAGTAGAAAGAGTTACAGGGTCAGTAGGTAGACTTGTAACCTCTGTTGCTTCAGAAGTATCTATAGGAGCATTGGTAGCCTCTGTGGCTTCAGAAGTGTCTGTTGACGCACTTGTTGCCTCTGTTGCTTCAGAAGTTTCCGCAGAAGTACTCGTTGCTTCTGTGCCTTTGGAAGTTTCTGTAGGAGTAATTGTAGCCTCTCTTGTTTCAGAAGTTTGTGTAAAAGCACTTGTAGCCTCGGTAGCTTCAGAAGTCTCTACAGAAGTACTTGTAGCCTCTGTGGTTTCCGAAGTTTCCGTAAAGGTACTGTAAGATCTTGTAGAAGAAGATGGTTCAGTAGGAAGACTAGTAACCTCTGTGGCTTCTGATGTAGCTTGAGATGGTGATGTAGCTTCTGTAGGTTCATCAGTTGTTACATCTTCTGTAGGAATAGTGGGGTAAGACGTTGAAGCTTCTGTGGGTTTAGTACTATAAGACGTTGAGCTTTCAGTAGATTCTGTAGCGTAAGTTGTTGGCTCTTCACTAGCTTCAGAAGGCGTTGTTAGCTTTGTTGGTTTACTAGACGTTACTGTAGACTCTGATGGCTCAGTAGGAATTAACGTAGAGCCTGTGGCTTCAGTTGAAATTGAAGTTGCTTCAGTAAACTCTGTAGGAATCGATGTAGAATCTGTAGCTTCTGTTGGCATTGAAGAAGATTCAGTAGTTTCAGTAGGGCTTGACGATGATGACTCGGTAGCTTTAGTAGGGTTTGACGAGGATGCTTCTGTAGTTTCAGTAGGACTTGACGATGACGATTCCGTAGTTTCAGTAGGACTTGACGATGATGATTCTGTAGCTTCAGTTGGGCTTGACGTTAATTCAGTAGGGATTGACGATGATGATTCCGTAGCTTCAGTAGGGCTTGACGTTGGTGATTCAGAAGACTCTGTTGGATATTCTGTTGTAGCTTCTGAAGACTCAGTTGGATTTATCGTCGTAGATTCTGAAGTCTTCGTAGGACTTACTGTTGAAGTTTCTGAAGTTTCAGTAGGATAACTTGTTTCTTCAGTAGCCTCACTTGTTTTCGTACTACTATCAGTAGAAGCCTCACTAGTTGGTTCAAACGTCGTTGCTGTTGACTCAGTTGGTATTGTTGGTCTTCCTGTGGATTCTGAAGTTATAGGGGCTTCTGTTGTGAATTCTGAAGTTGTAGTTGGGCTGTCAGTGGTTTCAGAAGTTGTTGGATTTATAGTTGTAGCTTCAGAAGATGGTGACGCTTTAGTAACTTCAGAAGTTGATGACTGATCAGTGCTTTCTGAAGCTGAAGAAGTCTTTGTAGCTTCTGAAGGTGTAGTCGCTGGTTCTTCTGTAGCTTTTGATGTTGTCATAGGCTCTGTAGGTACGTCTGTTGTTGATGAAGCCTCTGTAGCTTCTGTGGAAATTGAAGTTGTTTCAGGTTCATCAGTGGGGCTGGTAGTAGCTTCAGATTCATCAGTAGAGCTTGTCGTAGCTTTTGATGTAGTAGTAGCATCTGTTGTAACTTCTGAAGATTCTGTAGGGCTTGAGGTTGCTTCAGAAGGCTCTGTTGGACTAGTATTGGTTTCAGAAGGCTCAGTAAAACTTGTTGTGGCTTCAGAAGGCTCCGTAGACCTTGTAGTAGCTTCAGAAGGCTTTGTATGGCTTGTTGTGGACTCTGAAGGTTCTGTTGAACTAGAGGTGGTTTCAGAAGTCACTGTTGGACTAGATGTAGCTTCAAAAGACGTGGTAGGGTTAGTAGTACCAGCTGATGTTTGAGTAGGATCAGTAGTGTCATTTGTAGTAGTACTTGGTTCAGTAGGCTCTGTAGGAGTTGTAGTAGTACCAGTTGATGTAGTAGTGCTAGTAAATGTTGTAGTAGTAGTAGATGAAGTAGTGGTTGTTGTTGTCGTGGTTGTGACAAGTACTTCATCATCTGAAAATTACAGTATTAGTACTAGTACTAAATTTTAAGTTTACGTTTTAACCTTGTTATAAAATGGTTAGAAATTGATTTTTATTACCGTATACCGTAATATTTTCTAGACGCGATACTGTAACATTTTTTATACTGTAACTCGTTACCGTAACATAAATTTGACAGACCTACCAATAGAATGTTCAATGTCATCTATAGCCTTCTCATCGTTCACAGTAACAATATGTTTATGGTTATTCTTCGGCTGATATTTACTGATAGTATCATTATCGTATGTTGTTGCTACTATCATGAACTTATGTACATTGTCAGGCAAGTCTTCTAGCTCTTTCGAGACGGCGTTTATGTCAGCACTCGGGTCATTGTTACTGAAAATGTTATTTTATAGACGTAAACGTAATTGTAAAATGTTAAAAAAAGTATTGTCGTCGATTTGTAGGAAATTACAAAATGATTGACGACAAGACTTTTCTAATGGCGTACTTTTTTGATTTTTTCAAATTTTTTATTTGAGGCTACACTTTATGATATCTAATGTCTAGTTTAATCACAAAATGAAGCCATTTCTTATTATATTAACTTAGTCGCTACATACTGTGAATAAAATATAAAAGCTGCGCCAAAAGTTCTGTTACACGGTTTTTTAATCAAATACTCGACCGGTAAAGCTTTGTAACAGAACTTTTGGCGCACCCTGTAACAGTATATATTCACCAGCTTATGACAGCCTTTAACCTACCGATAAGCCGTCTTCTCCGGCGCAAATAAATGAACATAATGATTCACAACCTCATCATCGTATTGTAGATTCTTTATGTAGTTCACTGCTCTGAAATTTTAAAAAATTAGTTTAGATAATGGTATTCGAAAAGAAAAGATTGAAAGCGTTGGACAGGACAAGGAAGCAAAAAGCAAAAAAGCAACCCTGAAAATTGGAGCTGAAAGTGGATTAGTATTGGTTATATAGTCGTAAAAGTAAAGTGAAATTGAATTTTTAAAAAATTTTTTGAAATATTTTTTTAAAATAAAATTTTTTTTGAGGTGCACCAGTGGTATCATTAGTACTAAATGTTAAAAAAAGTAATTTTTTATCAAAAATTTGTCAAAAAAATAATTAAAAGATCAAAAATAATTTTTTAGTTTAAAAGTGTACCACTAGTACCAGTAATAACAACTTGGAAAAAAGTGCATTTTTGAAACAAAATTTCGTATAAATTTTTAAAAAAAAACTTTAAAAAAATTTTTTTTGCAAGAATACCATCGGTACCAGAAGTACCAGTAGTACCATCTTGTGAAAAAAGTGCATTTTTAAAGCAAAAATAACTTGAAAATCAGTTTTGTTCAAAAAAATTTTTTTTAAGTTTTACTAGTAGTACCACCAGTACCAATTACAAAAAATTACTTCTTTAAACCAAAAAATTAAAAAAACTTTTTTTTTTTAATTTTTTAAATTTTTAGTAGTACTAAAATCCACAGAACACAAAATTTACCTTGCTTGTGATGGTTCTCCACTAAAATCTTCATGCTTATCATAAACACTGTTCAGATAAACAATAAAATCTTTTGCGTTATCAGCCGGTTTAGAAATGTCATCTTCTAAAACCTGGTCCAAATATGGTACCAATTCGATTTTTAACTCATTTGATTTCAATTTGTCATCCCAACGCTTCAGGGCTTCTATTAACAACTCTTTTGGATTTGGTTCGTCTGGTACTGTAATGTTGGGCTTACTGTGCTTACTGTAGATGTTATTGGCAAAGTAAGTCAAACTGCCGCTTCTGATGCTACGCTTTTGAATTTTGCTGATTTTGGCAAAAAACAAAATTCGAGTTGATGGTAAGGGCTTTGGCGGAACTGGGGGAGCTGGAGTAGTAGTAGTAGTACTAGTAGTAGAAGTTGGTGAGGGTGTTGTAGTAGTCGAGGTTGAATTTAGTTCTGGGCCTAAAATTATTTTTTTAGATAATTGCTTATACGTAGCCTAGCCCAGAATCCTAGCCCAAAGCCCTAGCCCAGAGCCTTCAGCCCAGAGCTTTAGCCCAGAGCCTTAACCCGTGGCCCTAGCCCACAGTCCTGGCTTATCACTATATCAATTCTTCCTAGCCCTAACATCACACTTTAACTTACGATGCACTATTAACATAACCATAGCAGCCAATCCTCCAACAAAGGCTACCCCAACTAATATTCCAATTATAATTGACCATTTTGGTTTTTGATGTCTTTCAACCAAATAAACATCCTCCATTTGACATCAGATGCAGTAGTCTGAGATGGTCAAAAAGTATCAAAGCGTGTTTTACCAGTACCACTTATAAGTTTGTGTATAGAACGTAGTTATGTGCTAAAAAAAAATAATTTTGGTATTATAAAATTTTAAATTTTATGATTAAAATTTCAAAAATAATGACAGAACATGTAAAGTGTAAGATAAAACTTTAAAATGGCATAAATAATGTCACAATTTTTAAAAACTTTAAAATTTTTTTTTCAAATGTAAAAAAAATTTCAAAAAAGTTTTAAAAAATTTCAAAAATTTAAAAAATTTAAAAAACTTAAAAAGAATTTCAAAAAAAACAAAAAAAATTACAATACACTACTCTACTCTACTGTACTCAACCCTACTCTACCTTTTTGTTGCCTTACCTTAGCCTTAAATTTTAAAAAAATATTTTTAAATTAAAAAAAATTTAAAATAAAAAAAATATCTACCCTACCCTACCCTATCTTACTGTACCTTTTTGTCGCCTTACCCTAGCCTTAAATTTTAAATTTAAAAAAAATTTAAAAAATTAAAACTTTGCTCTCAAAGAAACAAAACAGCGCCAGACTAGCCTTTTTTTAACATTAACTTATGCTTATAACTGCGACACATAATGCGTTTGTTGCAAACTTCGATAAGGGGCGGATTATGTCACGCCCTACAACGACCCACGGAGGGTTCTGTGGCCTTATCAGTGAATGTGTCTTGAAAAAGTGATTAATAATGAAACAATAACAATATGCACCTTTTATTGAGTAGGCGGAAGTTAGACATAAAGTTTTTACATTGTCCTTGGTGATTTTTTAACTCAAAACTGTTTTGTAAACCTAGTCTGGCTCGACCTAAAAATACTGAACCCAAACCTACTAAGCTTATGGCTACTTACATTAGCCAAAGCATACAAATAATAAGCCTAAACCTAAGCTTAACGTAATAAACTGAGCATACTAAGCCTAAGCCGACTAATCTTAACTCTATGAAGCCTAAGCCTACAATTTGTAGCCTTTTTATGCTTTAAACAACTAAAATTGTTGAAACCTAAGCCTAATAAATAAAATTTTAAGTATACTAAGCCTAAGACTGCTAAGTCTAAGCCTACTAAGCCTAAGTCTACTTTCCTTAAGCCTAACTAAGCGTCAGTCTACTAAGCCTAAACCAAAGCCTAAAAAAAGTAACCATACTAAGCCTAAGCCGACTAACTAAGCCTAAGGCTAGTAAAACTAAGCCTACTAAGCCTAAGGCTACTAAGCCTAAGGCTACTAAGCCTAAGTTTACTAAGCCTAAGGCTAGTAAACTTAAGTTTTCTAAGCCTAAGCCTACTAAGCCTAAGCCTCATAAGCCTAACTCAACAAAGCTTAAATCTACCAAGCCTAAGCCTACTAAGACTCAACAACTAAACCAAAAACTACAAAGTGTAACACGCAACGGCTAAGTTTGAGCTTACTAAACTTATGCCTAAACTGTTAAAGCTGAATTTTATTATAATACGCCTACGACTACTAACGCTTCAATATTTTAATTCTTTTACCGTAATGTGATTGCTTATCGATGTACTGAATTAGCTACAAGTTGTGATTTTTTCCTAGAAATTACGTTTTATAGCATGCAATGATAAGCTTTTTTTTGTGTTTATGTAGTCAAAACAACAAAAAAATGTAGTCTTACACTTTTTTTCAGATTTGAACCGTTTTAACTATAATGTTTAATTACTAACACATATAAAACATTATGATTTAGCAGGTGTTTTCAAAAAAAAATAGTAATAAATCTGAATTATCATTTGGAAAGGTGTTGTTTCTAATTTTTATTTGACTGATAGTGTTAAATAGCATCCGGGTTTTATAGTTAAAATCACAAAGCTATAAACAGAGCCGCCCTACCCTACCCTACCCTACCCTACCCTACCCTACCCTACCCTACCCTACTCTACCCTACCCTACCCTACCCTACCCTAACTATTCTTAACCTGCTTACCCTACCATACTCTATGTCACCTTACTCCAACTTAGCTTCTGTGGGTATTGAAGTCGTTTCTGATGCATCGGGAGGACTTGTAGCGGCTTCTGGTTTATCAGACAAACTTGTCGTAACTTCTGATCTATAATAGGTTTTCCTATTCTACTGTTGCCATTTCCTAGCCTTATAATATAAAGTTTAAAAATAAGAAAAAATTTCCAGGTGATTTGAAATGATACACAATATAATAGTTAAATTTCAAACACCCAAAAGCTTGACTGTTTGACCATTATCAGTTGGATTGTAATAATAACATAAAAAACGGCTTAAAATTCATCTCCAGTCACAAGGAAATAGTATAATATGCCGTCCTGATAATGTAATTAAATTCTTTGTTTTTTTGCAAATTCGTCCGCTTTCAATTTGAATTTTGATCTATTAGTACTCAATGAAAATTCTATATAACAAAGTCATCAAAATTTTAATTTACCTTACCATATCAAACCTTACTTTGCCCTAGCTTGCCATACTTCACCCTGTCTTACCCTACCTTACCCTACCTTATTCTATCTTACCCTACCTTACTCTATTTTACCCTACTTTAGCAAACCTTACTCTACCTCGTTTTACCCTACTTTATCCAACCCTGCTGTTTGTTTGTTATACAAAAGTTTTGTGATATAGGATTTTGTTAAACAGAGGTTACAGTATAAATATATTTAAAAAATGTCAAATCTTAAAACTTTTTGTTAAACTTTATACCTAAAATCACCGGTTGTCCTAAAAATTTAAAAAAATCGGAAAATCGTTTCCCTTCCGCAATTTCTTTAAAAAAATAAAGAGCTACCTTCTGAGAACATGCTGTGAGCTATGATAATCTTTTTTTTAGAAGGCGATGACTAAAAACTCAAAACACAGTCTTATTTGAATCAAATATGATTGCAACAAAAGTAATTTTTTGATGCTTCTTAGTTTAAATCTACTTTGTTGTTCCGTGATGATAAGAGTTTGACTTAAGAAAAAATAGTGTTCTACGTTTTTAAAACTACGTCATTTCACAAAACACAGTTTATCGTTTTGTAACTTGAGGATAGAAATCAGAATTTTTATTTTTAAATTTTTTTAGCATATCCCTCCTTATACCTCTATCAAGAAAGAAGCTATATAACTTTTGATTTGCTTCTCTTGGTCAAAATTGTGCTTACACTGCTTTTTCTTACTCTACTTTACCCTACTTCATCCTACCTTACTTTACCTTTCCCTACCTTACCCTACTTTATCCTACCTTACTCTACCTTAGCTTACCTTTCTCTGCCTTACCCTACTTTACCCTACCTTGCTCTACTTTACCCTACCTTACTTTACCTTACTCTACCCTACTCTATCTTATCCTATCTTACTCTACCTTTCCCTACCTTACCCTACCTTACCTTACTTTATCCTACCTTACTCTACTTTATCTTACCTTACCCTACCTTTCCGTATCTTGCTTTAACATACGCTACATTTCTTTACCTTACCCTATTTTTCTCTGCCTCACTCTGCACTACTCGATCTTATTCTATCCGTCTCTACCTATTCTACCCTACCCAAGCCCTACCAATACTCTAGTTTTACACTTTCGTTAGAGTCACCGCAACCATTGTTTCACCCTTGATCTAGCCTTACTTCTCTTTTTGTTTTACACTTGAGATACTCTACAATCTTAAATTATTGGTTTTCTTACTGTAGTTTTACTAAAATCAAACTACAGCTAGTATTGGTTTTCTTACTGTAGTTTCACCAAACTAAAACTTCAGCTCTACCTTATTCTACTCTAACAATTAAGTCAAATCTCAAACCAATGCCATTTTAAAAAATACCTGCACTTTGATGTCTGTATCTTTACTTAACGTTGGGTCACTGTTCTGCTGGATTAATATGAAACGTGATGATTTACTTTCAAGTGCCTTAAGGGCATTATAATTGTTATCAGAAGGTTCTGCTTTGTTTTGACTTTATTTTTTGATCAGTAATAACTACAATGTTTTTTGTCAATGTTCAGTTTTAACATTAAAATATAAATTACAGTTAATGCTATGTCATCGTATGTGTTATTAGTTTTTTGTTTAGGGTGCCTTACCATAAGTTATATCTTGCTATAACTTGCTATATAGCATCGTATTTTAAGATATAGAATGTACTATGGCTTTATATTAGTTGCCGACATAAAGAATCCGCCATATTTTGTCTGTAATTTTCTGTAAAAAAATGGCGGGTTCTTTATGTCGGCACCTAATAGTTAACGCGTACTCTTTTGTATTTAATCTCATCATCGATAGTGCTATTTCTATGTTAGTAACATGTTTATTAGTAAATAAATTAAATTTTGTACAATAACATCACCGACGCTACCCACAAGCTAGCCAGATAGCTTCGTATATATAATAAGTTAAAGTTGTAATTGGTACCAATACTGTAGTACTATACAGTGCTACCTCAAATTAAAATATCATCGATAGTACCGTATGGTACTAAGTTAGCACGTTTAGTACTAAGTTAATACGTTTAGTACTAAGTCACAACCATCGTACTCTTTAAGGGCTGCTACCATAGCCAATAACGCCCAAGCCAGGTACTTCAATAGGTCTGTAGCCGCCCTGGAACTGGTTCAAGATAGTACCCATAGCGGCGGCACGGCTTGCATCAGCAACGCCAGTTGGCAGTTGTGGAGTGACAGCCGGTGCGACAGTTGGGAAACCGGCTGGTGGAGGCAGAGTGGGGAAGGTTGGTAGACTACCAGCTCCAGACAGGCCTGGTGCAGCTGGTCCACCAAGTCCTGGCAGTGGGCTGAAAGTTGGGAATGGAGCTACTGTAGCGCTCACAGTTGGCAGAGCTGGTAGGCCTGGCAATGAGCCGGCTGGGCCTTGTGGAAAGCCAGTTAAAGTTGATGGAGCAGCTGGTTGAGAACCGGCTGGTTGAGCAACTGGGCCAGTTTGAGAAGCACCAGACTGGTCAGCGCTGACTGGAGCAGCTTGACTTTGAAGACCTTGAGTCTGACCAGCTCCTGGACTAGACGAAGCCTGAAGAGCGTCAGTACCAACTGCTTGAGCATCAGCACCACTCAAAGTTGGAGCAGCGAAAGCACGAGCACCAGCTCCTTGACCAAATCCACCGCTAGTACCTTGAGCGAAAGCTGGAGCCGGCTGCACTGGAGCCTGATAGCCAGGGAACGCTGGCTGAGCTACTGGCGCTGGAGTCACGGCCAACGATGGGAACGTGAACGGCGCGAACGTTGGGAAGGTGTGAGGTGGGAGAGTGGGAAAAGTGGGGAAGGTATGAGTGGGCAAGGTCGGGAACAAGGTTGAGGCGGTTGGTGGAGCTTGAGTTGCGGCGGCTTGTTGCTGAGCAACTTGTTGATTGTACTCGGCCAGTTTGCGTTGGTACTCTTCTTGGGCACGTTGGTATTCAGCTTGAGCTTGTTGTTGAGCAGCAGCGTCTTGGTTCTGAGATTCTGGAGTTGGAAATTGTTGTGGTTGCTGAGGTTGCTGTGGTTGTTGATATTGTTGACCTTGTTGCTGGTACTGTTGACCTTGTTGTTGGTATTGTTGCCCTTGTTGCTGGTATTGTTGTCCCTGTTGCTGAAGTTGCTGGGATTGCTGAACTTGTTGTTGAGGAGCCAATGAAGCTTCACTGTTAACAGCGTTGTCAAGATGTTCGGTTGGAGCAGCGTTCTGCTTATTCTTCTTACCGTGCTTTCCTTCCTTCTTCTTTTGGTTCTTCTCGGCTGGAGTACCGGAGCCGGCAAGAATCTTGAGGACTTCAGATGGGACTTCGTTTTCAACTGAAATTAAGTTTTTGGGGTTTGATAGGATATTTTAAAAAACAAAAAAAAATTTTTAATTTTTGAATTGCCAAAAAGTTAAAAAATTAATTTTAAACCTACAATCAACCTCAGGCTCTGGAGGATCAGGCAGACAGTTCATTCTTCTCACGGTAACCTCATAGCTGACCTTCTGTGATCCACTTGACTTGACAATCTTCCTCACGTTGGCAATCACATCAAACGAGATTTGTCTTCCATTTCTCACAACCTCACCACCAGTAATAGCCTCACCAGGGCCCACGTTGGTGGTACCAACTTCTTGCGAGAACTTCAAAGCATCGTATGTACAACATTGTAGGATCAGAGGCTGACGAGGATGGTCGATATATTCGATACCACCAACAAACTGGTTTTTTCTAGGGCAGGACAGCTCGTTGAAAGATCCGGAACAGTTGGCTATAAGCTTTGGAGCATTGGCGTGACGATACCGCTTCAACGTGCGATCACCGTCTCTGAAGAAGCCGTCGGATTGACCATTTACGTCAGTCAAGAATTCTGAATCCTCAACTAATGGCTCTTCGGCCGCGGCTACACATGATGGCTGAGCACAGCCGAGGACTGGGGCTCCATTTGGTAGGACTTCAAAACTGTATGGCACGCCGGTCTTGCCACAGTACGATGCTGTGGCGGCGACTATTAGGGATATTAGGATTGCCACTGTCAAGCGCATTCTGAAAAAATAAAATTTTACATGTTTTAAGGTTGAGGGGATAACAAATAAAGTAAGCAGGACTTGAAACTATTTAAAATGGCAAACACGATTCTTGGGCAGGATAAATGAGGGCGGAAGGGGGGGGGGAGGGGGAGGGGGGGGGGAGGGGGGGAGAAGAAGGGAAAGAGGGAGGGGGGAGAGAGGAGACATTCCTCTATCCTATCACCCAAATATAAGTTTACCATATCCTCTACTGAAATATAATCAAAATCCCTACATAATACGTTTATTATACCATGTTCTACTTATATATTACTGTTTTTGTATTAAAAATCTAGCTGCCATCTACAAAGATGTGACCCACGCCTCTTCTGTATTCTTGTCCATGCCGCTGCCTTTACTATAACATATTACTCTTGTTATACTAAGATTCTTATCTAATTATATTGGTCGTATACAATAATAAGCCCCATGCTCTGTCCCTCCTATAATACAAGTCTTACACTACGCTTTCCAGCTCCCAATACCTCCACCATCTACTACAATATGACACATGCTTCTACTATAGTACTGCCTATGCATGTGTACTATCATACTCTTCTTATACATGTTAAACCTTCTAGCTCTTAATATTTTTATCATTTACAATAACATAGGCCGTTTCTCATTTCCCATGCCTCTTACAATATTAATCTACTAGTATTTCATTCTAGCTCCTAATATCTTGATCATCTACAATAATACGACCCACGCCTTCTTAGCATTATTACCCATGCGTTTGACTCTACTATTCTTTAGTACCATGTTTTCCAACTTTCCACATCTTTACCCTCTACTATAATATGAGCCACCCTCTAGTGCAATACACCACATTTGCCCAATTTTACCTTTCCCGCAGCCTCGTCTACTAAATAAAACATTACCCATGTTTCTTACAAACTATCACCCATGCTTCTTAAAATAATTTTACCAAAGCTTCTACTGCAGGATACATTTTAGATCAAAGCTCATAGTCTTCACAGCCAGATCTCTAACTACAATATCACCCACGCCTCATACAATAATATTACTCAAGCCTACAAACACCCCACTCATCACTCGAGATTACTCAAGCTTCTGAAGATGATCGTGAAGACGACGCCTGCATAACGCCACTACTGTTTACAATGCCATCGTCGGTGGAAAGGTTTTCAGGCTCCGCCTTCGCCATGCCCTCCGGCATCCATCGGCGAAAGTAAAAAGAAAGAGGAGAACTGGCTTGGGGTGGAACTGGAATCCCCCCTTACTTTCGGACGACCGGTCTCGACGCCCGATGCTTGCAATTACACTCATCCAAGAGGTTAGATCTTGTGAAATGAGTAATTGACAAGTAAAAGTTAGGGAAAAGCTATTCTTTTTTAATTTTATACGTTGCTTTCGAACATCTTCACAAATTATATTAATCTTTAAGATAGATTATCACAAAAACGATGAAAATAAGCGCTTCAGAGTAAAAAAGTAGTCAAAACTAGACGAAGTTAAGCAATTTTAGTTTGCTGAAATCACCTATCAAGTCTAATGAGTTTAAGCATAAAAATTAGGTCTAGTAAGAATATGTCTACCAAGCGTAAGCCTAACAAACCTACCTCTATTAAGCTGAAGCCCACTATAACTAATAAGTCTAGACTTTACTAAGAATAAGCCTACTAAGCCTAAGCTTACTAAGTTTGAACTTACTAAACCTAAAGATAATAAGCCTAAGCTTACTAAGCCTAAGCCTACTAAGCCTAAGCCTACAAAGCCTAAGCCTACTAAGCCTAAGCCTACTAAGCCTAAGCTTACTAAGCCTAAGCCTAGTAAACCTAAGCCTACTAAGACTAAAGCTACTGAAATTAAACCTGCTGAATTAAGCCTACTAAGCCTAAGCCTACTAACCTTAAACCTACTAAGCCTAAGCCTACTAACCTTAAGCCTACTAAGCCTAATCCTACTAAGCCTAAGCCTAGTAAGCCTAAGCCTACTAAAACTAATCCTACTAAACCTAAAGGTTATAAACGTAAGCTTCTTTACCCCAAGTATTACTGTCCCTAAGCTTACCAAGCAAAGCTAAGATACAAATCAAAAAAGCATCTGCCTAGTATCACCCTTAAAAACGTTTTTTAAAAAGCTAAAAAGAAAATTATTTTTTTCCTTTTGATATCCCCACATCCTTATAAGTTCGTTTTTAAAATCTTTCAAAATATTAAAATTAAATTTTGTTTTTCGAAGATTATTACTTCACAGCTAGAGATTTATTGCGTTTTCTAAACCCATAACCCAAAAAAAAGAATAAAAGTAATACAACAAAGAGAGGGAATGCAAATGCCATTTTCACTCCTTTTCTTCAACTGACCTAAATACGATTGGAAAAGCTCGCGCAGAGGTTGAAAGTAACCGCTGAATATTCCATAGTAAAAGTTGTTATTATAGGGATACGAAAGGATTTTTATAAGATACGGTAAAGAAGATGACATAAAACAGTAAAAATAGTGCCAAAATTCAACCTACCCTACCCTACCCTACCCTACCCTACCCTACCCTACCCTACCCTACCCTACCCTACCCTACCCTACCCTACCCTACCCTACGCTACCCTGCCCTACCCTACCCTACCCTACCCTACCCTACCCTACCCTACCCTACCCTACTCTGCCCTTCCCTACTATACCCTACTCTACCCTACCCTACCCAACTCAAGTATTAAAGGTCTGTTATATACAATATAGTTCAAAGAGTTCACCGTATGTCACATAATTCATCGATAACCTCCCCATGCTCCCAACCTGACATCTGTCACACATGACTGGCTTCTTCCTTCATCTACCCGTCATAAAAAACATTTTTGCTGTGTTTTGATGTTGATTTGATTAAACGATTCGAAAAAAGCGCAACTAATTCTTCTACAAACGGCACGGATTCAAGTAAAGTGAAACATTTATTTGGTTTGATGCGAACATCCGGATTTTTTTTTGCGATTGAAACGTGAAAAAAAAACTTGATATTTCACAAATAATTTTTGAAAAGTGAAAAACTACTAAACGCTGCTTTGCATGGCGTATTTTACAATGAAATAAATATGTAGTAAATCATAATCGGAATAACAAATGTTTTACCATCTACTATAGGTTACCTAGTTCTTAATATCTTAAATATCTACAATAATAAAACCGAAGCTACTACTGCAACAGACTTCTTATACTAAATATCATCATAACCACAGCCTTGTCTAGTAACTTCAATATTACGACGCCTCTTAAAAACTATCAATTGTGCCGTTACAATAGTATTACTCAAGCTTACAAACACGCTGCCTCATCACTCGAGATTACTCAAGCCTCTGAAGATGATCGTGAAGACGACGCCTGCATAACGCCGCTACTGTTTACAATCCTATCGTCGAAACGTGTCGTCTGAGAATCATCTCCCAAAGACACTTTCTTTTTCAAAAAATTGAACTTAATTATTCCTATTGATTATAAAAATATTTTTGTTAAATGATTACATGATCTGTATCAAATCATTAAGTTGTTGTTCGTATTTATGACAAAATATACAGTTATACAGTTTATTAACCTTTTCTATCGAAGTAAAATACAACTTATGAGTTGATCAGAATATATTGTATTCAATAGAACTGATGTAGGTTCTCATACCGGATTGCCATGTGTTAGGATCTTGCTTCTCCATCCAATTATGTCCAATTGTCTTTCTAAATTCGTCTGTCCATCGTAGTCTCGGTCTTCCAACGGGTCTCTTGCCTGGGGGGATCCACATTATGATCTTCTTTATCCATCGTTCATCTTGTGCTGTCAACATCTTCCAAGCACAGTTCCACTTCTTCTCAGTCGCTACAAGACTGGCGCTCTTGAGTCCCGTCCTTCTTCTGATCTCAGCACTTCTTCTTTTATCTCTCCATGTTATTCCCAACATCATTCTTTCCATCTTTCTGACCGTTCTAATCAACTTCCATCTGGCTTTCACTGTGAGACTCCAGCACTCGGCTCCATAAGTTATTGTAGGTAACAGGCAAGTCATGTAGAACTTCCGCTTGAGTCGTAGTCTGGTCCTTGGACTGGTTAGTACTTCTCTCCATCTTTAGAAAGTTGACCATGCCATTCTTGCTCGTGCTCCCACTTCGGATTCTGGATTCCTTGGGAAACTGATCTCTGAACCGAGGTATATAAAGGCAGCCACTCTTTCGATAGACTCACCTCCAAGACCTAGAGATTGGTCTCGGTCTATTCCTGTACTGCCCATCCATTTCGTCTTCTTTTTATTCAGTTCTAGTCCCATTTCTCTCAGTTTCTTCTCCACTTTCTCCAGGTTTGCTTCAGCCTCGGCTACATCATTTGGTGATTTAACCTCCTTCCTCCATCCTCCAGTTCGATACCTCCAGACCATACTATCTGGTTTAGAGCCATCTGCATCACTAAGTTGAAAATGGTGGGTGACATAACGTCTCCTTGACGTACTCCACGGTGAACTTTGTATTCAGCCTTCTCTTTTCCTATTTGTACATAGGACTTTGCGTTTTGGTACAGTATCCTAATCATTTTTATTGTTTTGTGATCAGCTCCAGCCTCTTCAAGCGCTTTCCAGATAGCTTCGTGCTCTACAGTGTCGAAGGCTTTTGTGCAGTCGATGAAAACTACTATCATCGGCCTTCTCTATTCGTTTGCCTTCTCTATCAGCAGGTTTATACTTGCTAAGTAATCAACGGTTGACCATCCCTTCCTGAATGCAGCTTGTTCTGAGCTGATGTACTGGCTGGTACTATTGATAAGCCTCCGATTGATAGCCTTAGAGATCAATTTGTAAATTGGTCCTAGCAGACTTATCGGCCTCAGATTGTCCAAAGTTCTGATGTTCTTCTTCTTCTTTAGCATGATGGTTTTCGCCACAACCACTTCTTACGGGAATTCTCCGGTGTTAAACATATTGTTGATGCTATCTCGGAGTTGTTTCACGATAACATCTGTTCCAAACTTCACAACTGCACTGTGAATTAGGTCATGTCCAGATGCTGCTCCGCTCCGTATCTTTGAGGCCGCCCATCTAACTTCCTCCTCTGTTATCCACTCTTCGTCAACTTCTGATTTAGCTTCTGGCTCAGCTGGCTTTCTCTCCGATCTCGATTTGTATATCATACCAAGATACTTTGCTATAACTTCAGCTTTTTCTTTGTCTAACCAGACTTCCCTTCCTTCCTCATCTATAATTCCTTCTTCTTCTTCCATCTTCGTCATGCTTCTGGCTCCTTTCTTCAACTTTCCTGTTTCCAAGGCTCTAATCAGTGTTTCCTCCCGTCTTCTTCTCATCTTTGCCTCCATCATCTCTCTAATTGACTTGCTAGCCTCTTTTAAGGCTTCAAGGGATTCATCTCCCCTGTTAAATCTCTCCTTAATCATTCTTCTTCTGAGTCTGGCTTCTCTGATCACTTGGCCTTCTGAATCTTCCCTCTCTTTTTCTTCCACTTTTGTAGCCGCTGTTACTTCTCTTAGCTTCAACGCCACATCTGTCCAGTTTCCTTCAGGTGGGTTTATTCGAAGTAGACTTTCAACCACATTCCGTTTTACTACAAAACTGGCCATCGTTCTTGGCTTGAAGTTTCTTCTACTGATGTTGATCCTCAGCTTGATTCTCAACATTTTGTGGTCAGACGGTGTGAAGTTTAGGGTTTCCAGTCTGGTAATGATTCTTCTAGCTGATTTTGTTCCCAGAATCCAGTCTATGTTCCTCCTGACTCCATTTGGACCCATGTGAGTCCATCTCCGTCCACTTCTTCTCTTGTAGAAGTTGTTTAACGGATCCAGCCGTCTTTCTACACAAAACTCATGGAGCGACTCGCCTCTTTCATTCCATAAACCATACCCATACCGGCCAATGTTCCTGTCTTCCGTTTCTTCTCCCATTGTAGCATTCCAATCTCCCATAAACACTTCAAAACTTCTTCTTCTCGTCGATTGACTAACATCTTCAAGAAAATTCGTGTAATCTTCCAGAGTTCTTCCACTGGAGTCTGGTGGGGCGTAGATCTGAGTGAAAGTCATCCGTCGGCCCTTTATAAAAGATAAATAAAAAATTTTAAAAAAAGTTGTAGGGAATAAAAAATGATTTTTTAGAAACAAAATCTAAAGCCGCGTCAAAATTTCAAAACTTCTCAACGGCAAATTCCCTGCTTATTTTGAAATTTGTTGACAAAAACATTGTTGTTTATCCGTTTCTTCATGTTTTCTGTTTTATTTTTTATGGCAACATTTTACAATCTTTTCCTTGCTTTTTTGAATGGTTAGTAGTTGCTGTGTTCCCCATGTAGTATCTCAAAAATGTTGTCTTATCTTTGTTTTTTGTATTGTTTTTATTATTATCCTTGATGTTTTAATCTTTCTTAAATTTCTTGTTTAATAACTGTATTTTAATTTAGTTTTCTATCTTGCAGACTATGTTACTGTAGCATCCATCCGACAACAAACCATACTCAAAGATGTTGTTTCAACTTATCGTCAACGAAAATGAACGTGTGCCAGGCGGCTAGCCTCGCTTAATAAAAACAGATACGAAAATGGACTTCTCCTTTGGTATTCTACAACTCCAAGACAACACGGAAGGCCACGAACGCGCCGGAGTGATGTTATCACGAAAATTGCAAGCTCTGCTTAGATTAACACTACTCAATCATTATGGAACGACCGTCGCACTATGTCCACCTCAGTATAGTCATTTGAGAGATACAGGAATACAATTTTGATTTGAATTCGATGTACACCGGCTATCTTAAAGGAAACTTTGTAGGAAATCAGCTACCAAATGGTTCGATTAGTCTTGCGCCTCTATACCAAAATCAGACAATTGGTTTTCACGGCGGAGCCATGTAGGTTCAGTACGCTATAACATTCTTAAGACTAGGTTTAGTAGACTAAAGCATTATACATTTAGGGTTAAATCTATCATGTTTAGGCTTACTTTGTTTTAAATATATTTTATTTCCGTAAAATTTTTTGTTTTACTGTCTACTATACTTAAACATTTTTTTCTATGTTAGTATGCTTGTCTACAAGCCCAATCTGAATTCGCACTATAAGCCATAAACAATATTATTGTACGATAAGGTTGTGGCTGCTTCACGAAAGTTCCGTCACCTATTAATTACGTGAGGTTCAGGTAGCCGAAGGAACAGTCAATTTTCCCGACGGTTTCGCGACAAGTACATAATTACTTTGCAAAGGGTTTCGTACAAAACAATATTTATTATTCCATCGGTTTCGTAAAACAATTAGTCAAATCGAGATCAGATCTGTGATGAGCTTATTTATGTTTCTGGATTTGAGGTTATTTTGTTGTTTTAGGGTAGGGTGGGGTTAGGTGGTGCGGACTTTTAAAAAGTTGAAAGAAGTTGGCTTGAGATTTGGTTTATTTAGGCTTGGCTTTGGTAGACTGAGGTGTGTTAGACTTAGTTGGCTCAGGCTTAGTAGGCTTAAAATTAGTATGTTTAAGCTTCTTAGGATCAAAATTAATAAAATTAGGTTTAGTTGGCCAAGGCTTAGTAAGCTGAGGCTTATTAGTCTTAGGGTTAATAGGCTTAGGATTTACAGAATTAGAGTTAATAGGCTTAGGCTTGATAGACTTAGGGTTAATAGGCTTATGCTTTATAGAATTAGCTTTAGTAAGCTTACTCATTCAATTTTTGGCATGCTTACTTTAAATAGGCTAAGTTTTGTAAACCTAAACCTAGTAAGTTTAGGCTTAGCCGGTTCAGGCTTTGTAGGCTTAACATGCGTAGGCCTAATAAGATTAGGTTTACAGGTCTTAATCTTTGTAGACTTCTTAAATTTATGTTTACTAGGCTTGGAGGCATAGACACAGTAAGCTTATGTTAAGTAGGTTTAAGGTTTAGTAGATTTAAGCTTAGATCAATTATGCGCGCTAGACTTATCTAGGTTTAGTAGGCTTAAGCAAATTAGTCTTACAAGTAAGCTTAGGGTTAATGGCAATAGGTTTGGGTTAATTAAGTTAAAGCTTAATACATGTAGGATCAAAGTTATCAAGTTTAGGCTTAACGAAGTCAGGCTTAAATTGAATAACATAAAATTTAAAAAAAATTTTAGTTTTTTGTTACTTTTTAATTTATAATTTATATAATTCCAGATGTATCACTTGTTATTGTTAATTTATTTATCATTTGTTATGGCGGCGCCGCCTGGTATAGCTCCAGACCCAACGCTAAGCAACGCTGCTCCACCAGGTCAACAGCCAATTGATAGAGGCGCGAGGACGTCGGATATGGGAGTTTCTATACCTAAACCTGAAGTAAGAAATTTTTTTTTATTTTTAAGTAGCTAGACTAAAAGTTTTTGTGTTAAGAATAATTTAGCTACCCAACCTATTAACTATCGTATTTTACCTTCAGGTCCAAACAGAAAACCCAAACGCAATGTTAAGAAGTGAACCAATGAGGCCAGATTCAGCTGATCCAGCCATTCCACCCAGTCCAAGAACTTTTTCAGATGACAGTCCACCTTCGATAGAATTTGTATCTCCAGCTAGTCCAGCTTTTGGTCCTGGAATAAATACTGAAAATCAAACTCCTAGTCCAGTTCAGAATTTACCTAGTCCAGTCCAGAACTCACCCAGTCCAACTCAAGATCAACTTTCAGTCCACGAACCATCACCAGTCCAAGACCAATCGCCAGTCCAAGATATTGCAGTAGAATCAGCCAGCCAAAGTGGGCCAATTTTACCAGTCCGACACCCAGATGCACCGCCAATACTACCAGTACGTCATCCTGATGCTCCACCTATACTGCCACTTAACCCCAGTGCTGTTTCAATAGGATCAGACGATTCAGCTGGACCAGAATCAGCACCAGTAGGACCACAATCAGCACCAGTAGGACCAGACGGACGAATGGAACATGTGGATCACCAAGATGATCAAAGGTCAGTCTTCGCTTCCGATGCAGCCAGTCCAAGCGGAGTAGTGGAGCAGCCGGTTGGTGCTCCAGCTGCACCTGTAGAAACTAGTCCAGATGAGAGCTTAAGACTGTCAAATCCGGTCGAAGCCGGGATTTCTGAATCAAGTCCAATGGGCATGTCTGGGCCAGAAACTCAGCCGCGTGATCAAGCGGGTAGAGGTGATAGTCAGCCGACTGGACCAGAAAATCAGCTACAAAGCCAGCCAGCTGGTCCTGAGTCAAATACTCCCGGTCCAGTTCAACGAGGAATGCAAGAGCCCAGAGGATTAGGTAGTGGACCTGGCGGATGGGGTATTGCTGATGCAGAAAGAGCTGGGTTGATTCAAGGAAAAGACCTAGATAATAGTAAAGAAGGGGCTTGTTCTACTTGTGGGTAAGGCTTTGTTTGTGCTAAACGTCTAAGCGAGTAGTAGGCTTAGCTTTAGTAGGCTTGGGCTTAATAGGTTTAACCTTTATAGGTTTAGACAGCTCAAGCTTATTATTGTAAGCTTACCTTTAGTAGGCTTGGTAAGCTTAGGCTTAATAGTCTTAGGCTTAGCATGCTTAACCTTAGTAGGCTTAGGTTTAATAAGCATAGGATTAGTAGACTTACGTTCAGTATACTTAGGCTTAGTAGGCTTGGGCTTGTTTGCTTAGTAATAGTAGGTTTAGTAGGCTTAGCTTAGTAGGCTTACTAAGCTTAGGCTTAGTAGGCTTAGGGTTAGTAGGCTTAAGGTTAGTAAGCTTAGGCTTAGGGGGCTTAGACTTAGTAGGCTTTGCTTTAATTGCGTTAGGCTTATTGGGCGTAGACTTAATAGGCTTACCTTAGTGTACGTATTCTAATATGAAAAACCATTTTTTAGGCCAAGAAATAACTTTGAAGAGCCTGTTCTTCAAAAGGCTAAAGAACAAGGAGTAACAACACCAGCTCCATCTGGACCAGAAATGCCTCCACGACGAAGTCAGTGGCCTAATGCTGAAGTACGTAACTTTTTACAGTTATATAAACCTATAGTAACCATGCTAAACCACTTTTTCAAAATAGTGTTTCATTTTTTAGCCCTGCGATGAGATTCTGGATCCTCATCCTCTACCTTCTTCTCCAGAGCTTATACTAAAGCCGGAGGTTCGTTTATCATCTTTTTTTATGTTTTATTGTCCTAGCTTTGCTTGTATAAAGAAAAACAGCTTTTTAGTCTAAGGGAAAGGCTAAAAAGCTATGTTTTTGCTAGTGTGCCTTCTTTTAGGTTTACATAGGTCATATATATAAAGTTTTTTTAAAATTTTTTTTTGAATTTTTATTTTTTATTTTTTTGAATTTTTATTTTTTTGAATTTTTTTTTGAATTTTAATTTTTAAAATTTTTTAAATCTCAAATATTTAATATTTTTTTTTAATTTTATTTTCCAGGGTTACCTCAAGCCAGTACCATACAAATCCCTTCCCCAATCTCCATCAAAATACTTTTATCGACCAAATCGGAAACCTAAATATGGTGAAATTACCATAGCTGCCAGGGACGCTATCATTGTGAGTTTTTTTTTCATTTCTGTAACTAAAATTCAATTTTTTTTTAAATTTTGGAAATTAAAAAATCTCTAGGAGACCTGCCGTCGAATCGACTGTCGCACAGAATCAGTAAAAGCGGTCGAAAAGTACAACGAAGTCCACCGTACCGAGACTGACATTCAACGTATCTTCAACCCATTCATAACCCCAGACCAGGTTCATCGTCGTTTAGCCAAGATTCAGAAGCTAAAAAGAAGTTTGCTGGATGCAGCTGGACTGGGTAGTGAAGTGGAGCCTCACAATGATGGTACTTTTCAAAATGACATATTATTGACGGAAAGCCAGACTGAGAGCATGATTTTGAGGTTGAGGCAGCAAGCTGAACGGAATCGGAACAAGAGAAGTGCTATTTATGTTGAGCAAATGCCTACGAATGTGTGGCCGCAAGGAGAACCGATTCCTGTCGCTTTTGATGGATCTTTGTGTAGGTTAACAGTTATTTTATCAGTATCTATTTAAAGGGCAAATAATTTTTAGGCTCAACAGGTCTAGACTAGGCTCAAGCCAAGACTTTGTTGTTTTAGGATTAGTAGGCATAGATTTAGTAAGCTGGGTTTGAAAATCTTAATATTATTAGGCTTACGTTTAGTTAGCTTAGGCTTAGAAGGCATAGGCTTAATAAACTTAATTTTAGTAAGCTTAGGCATAGTAGGCTTAGGCTTAGTAGGCTTAGGCTTGGTAGGTTTAGACTTAGTAGGTTTAGGTTTAGTAGGCTTAGGCTTAGTAGGCTTAGGCTTAGTAGACTTAGGCTTAGTAAGCTAAGTCGTATTAGGTAAATTCAAAAAAAAATTAATTTCAAAATCAAAAATAAATCCTTTTTTAGCCGAAAACGAGAAATTTGAAATTCAACAAGCCCTTCATGCAATAGAAACCTCGACTTGTATCCGGTTTCAGCCATATCCGGCAAGACCAGCCGGACATCACATTTACTTTGTCAAGGTGGCTACTCCAACTTTGTGAGTGATATAGTTTTTAAATTTAAAATATATGAATCAATTTACTTATTTAATTTTTTAGTTTTTAGTTTTTAGGCTTAAATGTTTGAGTTAAAGTTTAGGTTTTGGTCTAGACTTGGGCTTCTACGTATGTTTAAGCTTGGGCTTAAATGTAAGGTTTGACTTGGGCTTGAGCATAGACTTAAATTTAAGCTTTTCTTATGCTTCAGGCCTAATCGTGAGGTTAGGTTTAAGTTTAGACTCAAGCTTAATCTTAGTCTTAGGCTGAGTGTTAGGCTTGACTTTAAGCTTAGTTTTGGGATTAGGTTTACGTTTAGTTTAGTCGTAAGCTTTAGTATAATTTTAATTTTAAACTTATTCTTAGGCTTAGGCATACGCTTAATCTTATGTTATAGTTTCGGGCTTAGCTTTAGGCTAAAATTCAAATTTTATCTTGGGTTTTGGCTTAGATTTAAAATCTAATAAAGTTCACTTTTTTAGCTGTGGCTTATCATATATTGGCAAAGTCAGTCCAGCGAATCCGATCTACTTGAGTTTTATGTGTGGGGACGTAAGTTTTAAATAACCTTTAAATTTTTTTTAAATACGATTTTTTAAAATATTTTTGACTTTTTTTAAATTGTTGTTATATTTTTTGAAAATTCAATTTTTAGTCAGTTGGTGTTGCAATCCATGAAATTCTGCACGCCTTAGGCACTAATCACGAGCACTTACGCTTCGACCGTGACAGATATCTCCAAATGGAATGGGATAACATTAACCCTCAATTATACGACTATTTTGCCGTTTCAGACCAAACTTTGTACACAACTTATGGTATACCATTTGACTACTCTAGTATAATGTTGTACGGACCGTTTACTGGAGCCGTGGATCGAAGCCGACCTTCCATGAAGCCGATTAACGACGACGGAAGGAAGATTCAGATGATGGGACAGAGGAAGAGTTTGAGCGACAGGGATGTGTTGCTGCTTAATACTATGTATTGCAAGTCTAAAGGTGGGTTAGTCTTAGATTAGGTTTTAGGTTTAAAAGAATGGCTTTCTAAAGCTTGGAATGGTTTTTTAGGCTTACAAGAAATATCTTTAGGTTAAAAAAACCAATATACAAATAAAACGACATTTTTAAGATTGCATCGATCAAAACGTGTATTGTGGCCTATGGGCGCTCCGTAAGCTTTGTCACGATGAACCTCAATCGAAATGGATGCAAAAGCATTGTCGTCGTTCTTGTGGCTTGTGCTAACTGAATCTTGTATTGTATTATATGTGAATTATTCTTTTTCTTTACTTTTTTACTCAATAAATTACTTTCAACATGTTATGTGTTATCACTAGACTTGCAAAGGGACCGGGCTAAGCCTTAGTTTAAGTTTAACTCTTAGGTCTACAGCTGTCGGGTTGGCCCGGTTTCTTTAAATTTTTTTGGCTTGGCTTGGTCCCAAGTATTTATATGTAAGTAAATAGCTTTGGAATCAGGTTTGTTTTACACTTTTTGCAAGTCAAATTATTCGTTGCGGGACCTAAGCTGTGCCTCTAGAACCCTTTATTTAAACTCGACTTTGGAGCTTCATCTTAGGCCTAAACAAGCCTCTTAAGCCTAAACAATTTAGCTTTTTAAAACTTGTTTTGAGCCGAACTTAGTAGTTCCGTTTAAGCCGAACCCCAGGGAGCTGGTAAGCTCCTTTAAGCTAAGTTCCAAAGGCCTTATTTTGGGCTTTAGCTTTAGGACTAGATGGAGCGACTCAGCCCGGTTTAAAAACACGCCGACAAAATCTGTGCCGAGCCGATACCGGGCTGGACGTAGTGAGCCCTTTTTCTTGTCTACTCTTATCTAAACTTTTTTTTTGCGAAAAAAATCAAATTTTTTAGCAAAATTTAAAAAAAGCGCGAAATAAAAACTTGAACAAACAGTCGCACCTTGTCGTTAAAATTATATTTATCTTGCGTATCAGTTTAATTCATTTAGACATCAATTTATTTTTTTTTGGCGAGGTAGAAACAAAGGTAACTTTTTAGATATGAACTATTGCTGACATGCTCCAGCCAGTTGTATTCTTATTATGGCTTTACTCTAGCTTGCATTAGCGGAGCACTGTAGTTCTACTCTAGCCTTGTCTAACCCCAGCTATATTCTGACCATGCCTTACCCTACCCCTACCTTACCTTCCTCCTACCTCTGCCCTGGTCATTTTTTGTTCTAGTAATATTACAGGGTGCGTAAAAAGTGGTGTTACCAAACTTTACCGGTCGTTTTCTCTATGTTGCGGTTAAATTATTTAAAATTTTTAATTTTGTCTTGTTCTCCGTGGTTTTTTAATTGTATAACCATAAAAGTTAAGTCTTCATTGTCTACCGTCTGTCTGTATTTAGATGTCAAACATGAGGGCTACCGTCATCAAATTAAATAATGAAGGAAAAAGTAACCCCAAAATGGCGAAATTGTTGAATATTTCAAGAATGACAGTCCACAGAGCCGTAAAACGTTTTGAAGAGCTTAGACATGACTGTGACAGACCTAGAAGTGGGCGTCCAACATCTGTTAACACCGTGGCCGATCGTCAGATGATCATGAAGCGCTTCAAGCGAAATCCACGGACCTCAGTACGAAAAATGGCCCGGGAGACGGAAATCAAAGAATCTACTTTGAGGATAGTGGGAAAGAAACTTAAGATGAAGCCGTACAAACTCAAAAAAGTTCAGAAGCTAACTCAAGAAAACAAGACGGTACGTTTCAAAAGATGTAAACTGCTTCAGCAGCGGGCCGCTGGTCAAAAATGGGAATGAATTCTTTTTACTGATGAGAAGATATTTACCTTGTACAAAGGCCTAAAATCCCCAAAATGACAGATAATACTCAGCAGAGCCTCCTAAAGCTGAAGCCATCGTGGCAAATCGTCAACACCCTCGGGGCATTATGGTTTCGGCCGGTATCTGTGCTTCAGGCAAAATTCCTTTGATTTTTGTCGATGAAGGCGTGAAGATCAATAAAGAAGTGTATCAAAGGGACATTTTGGAAGCTGTGGTACTCCCTTGGGCTCGGAAGCTTCAAAGGTGCCGCATGGATCTTTCAGCAAGAGTCTGCACCGGCCTATAAAGCAAACTCAACGCAAGAGTGGTGTCGAACCCATTTCCCTGACTTCATTACATCTACTGAATGGGCCAAGCCGCAAAGGGGGGACACTTTGAAACCGATTGACTATGTTATAACTAGTACTACATTTTACTATTGTTAGTTGTTGTTTTAGTTATATTTGTTGTTAAAGTAAATATTTGATTAAAAAACCTGGTAACACTACTTTTCACGCACCCTGTATAGCAATGTCTTACTCTGGTCATATCCTTTTCATACCATACCCTATCTGTGCTTCCTTGCCCTAGCTTTGTCTTAACTTTGCTTTAGCTTTATTTTATTCATACTCTAGACATTCTATGCTTTATCCTAGTCTTATCTAAGCTTTTACCTAGCTAATTGTAAGTCTTACTCACTAAATGTGTTGATTATCCTCAAGTAACATAAACCTTCTAAAAAAGATAAGTAAACAGTACTATCAATCATTTCTGAAGTGACAATCTGAAAGTGATAGCGGCTTTGTGACTCACACTTAGAATGCTTATTTTGATGTCTTTCCTGCGGAAAGAGAATTCTTTGCGTATTCAGATAAAGTCTTGGCAGTAGGTTGACTAAGGTAATGCAGTAGGGCGGTAGGTAGGGTGTGGTAGGGCAGTAAAAAAGTGAGTAAATTATGGTAAAGCAGTAGGAAATTGGGAAGAAGGTATAGTATGGTATGGCAGAAATTAGACAGTGGTAAAACAAAAAAGCAGTATGTGATTCATAGTAGAAGTGTAAGACAGTAGAGAGTATGAGTAGGGCATTAGTTAGGTTGTGGTAGTGCAGTAGGTAAAATATGGTAAGACTATAAAGCAATAGCAAGATTATGATAAAACAGTAAAGCCGTAGGGCAATACGTAGATTACGGTAAAGAAATAGAGTAGTAGGTAGAATATGGTATAGAAGTAAGGCGGTAGTTAGGTTATGGTAGAGCAGTAGAGCTGTATTTAGAACATAGTAAAGCTAAATCAATATATAGTGTAAACAACTATACTTTTATGTAAGTAACAATAGGTAGCATGGCTGTAGTTACGTTATAGTAGGGCAGTAGAACAGTAAGTAAGCATGGTAGTAAGGGTTGTAGGGCAGAACGTAGTTCATGGTGAGCTTAACGTTATGTAGGGTTTATGCTATAAATTGTACGTTACGGGAGGGTAAAGTTTCGTGTATTTGGAGAAGAGTTTCAAGTATAGTATGAGCATAGAGTAGTCAGATTAAAATAAGGATAGGTAAGGGGAGGTAATAGTTGGTTACAATAAAAAAATAAATAGAGACGCGTCAGCAATGATTTAAGGTAGGCTAAGGCCTTATCTAAGATAGGGTATGATATAGTATTAAGGCACTTTTTTACATAGTTATATACCAATAATAGTAATTTGTATTAGTTGTCTACTACTAATAGTACTTGTAAGCTCAATTCCGCTTAATTTTCGAAATACGCTTTAGTGACTCAAATTTAGAATTCCGGTCTTATCAGGTAACCAAATTCCTTTTTTCAGTTTGTTTACCAAAGTGTAATCATAATAGCACATTTCAAGTTGTTTAGAAAGGACTTGGATAACATAATATATATTATACGTCATGTGCAACGTTAAGGTAAGTTTTTAAAATTTTTTACAAATTGTAAATTTCGAAAAAAAATTTTTTAATTGTTAAAATTTTTAAAAATTTCGATTTTTAAAATTTTTTTTTTTTTGAATAAAAATTTTTTTTCAGGTACTATTCGGAGTTGCAGTCTTTTTAAAAGGCTTATTATATGTAGCGACGGGGACGTTGGGCTTCTTTGCCAACCATGACTTACATATTATGATAGCCAGTGGTGTTTTGATCATAGTATCAATTGTTCAGCTAGCCACGGCGTGCTTTAAACACCCTGGAAGCATTGCGTTTGGCGCTATGTTGTTGGTAAGTAAACTTAAAAATAAATTTTAGTTTTTAGATTTTCTAGCCCAAGCCCTAGCTCAGGGCCCTAGTCCAGAATTTTAGTCCAGAGCCCTAGCCCAGAGCCTTATCCCAGAGCCCTAACCCAGAGCCCTAGCCCAGAGCCCTAGTCCAGAGCCCTAGCCCAGAGCCCTAGCCCATAGCCCTAGCCCATAGCCCTAGCCCATAGCCCTAGCCCTAGCCCTAGCCCTAGCCCAGAGCCCTAGCCCAGAGCCCTAGCCCAGAGCCCTAGCCCAGAGCCCTAGCCCAGAGCCCTAGCCCAGAGCCCTAGCCCAGAGCCCTAGCCCAGAGCCCTAGTCCAGAATTTTAGTCCAGAGCCCTAGCCCAGAGCCTTATCCCAGAGCCCTAACCCAGAGCCCTAGCCCAGAGCCCTAGTCCAGACCTTAGCCCAGAGCCCTGGCCCAGAGCTTTTGCCCAGAGCCCTAGCCCAAAGCCTTAGCCTAGAGCTCTAACCCGGAGTTTTAGCCTAGAGCCTTTAGCCCGGAGTTCTAACTCAGAGCCCTAGCGCAGAACACAATATTATTTTGTTTAAATAATTCTGTGCTCTTCATAAAGCAAATTTTAAAGTTAAAAGGCACAGAATTATTTGAACACTCTAATATTCGTTATCGTAGTATGTCTTATATCAACACTAGTCATGGTTGAAGCTAAATTTCGCTTAAATTTCAAAAAAAATTTTCATTTCAAAAATTTTTCAAAAGTAAATTTTTTTATTTCAGAGTTTAGAGACCTTATTATTGACTGCAGCTTTGGGTTTTTTGATTTACTGCATAATTGACCTGCCATCGTGGTGGAAGGGCTGGATTGACGATGAGTTCACAGAGTTGTGGGACGTTGATTGTAGGTTTTTGAACTACCTTTCTTACTTTTAACCGTCATTTTAATTTTGAAAAAAAATAAAATTTTTTTTGAAGTAGAGCACAGAATTAAATGAACGCTTTAAAAGTTTTTACTATGAACTTTACATTAATTAAAACTTTACAAGATAAAAACCCTAATTTCAGACCTAACCAACCACCAAGACATCACAATATACCTGGCTGCAGTAGTACTAGCTCTACTATTACTAGCACTGTTCAGTTTGATTACAGCCATTGCCAGTTTTATTCAAGCTCGTCGACATTTACGACGAACCTTGCCAATTCAAATCGCGGCCGAATTTGCTCAAATGCCTTACACGACGTTAGATGTGGAAGGCCCTGAGGTCGTCAAACTTTACAATGTCAAATTGTAAATTGTAATTTTAATAAATTTTTTTTGAAATTTAATTTTAAATTGATTTTTTTGTTTTTTACTAGGACTAAAGCTAGGGCTTTGGGCTAGGGATCTGGGCTAGGGCTTTGGGCTAAGGCTCTGCGCTAGGGCTCTGGGCTAGAGCTCTGGGCTAGGACTCTAGGCTAGGACTCTAGACTAGGAATCTAAGCTAGAGCTCTGGGCTAGGGCCCTAGGCTAGGACTCTAGACTAGGAATCTAAGCTAGGGCTATGGGCTAGGGCTTAGGTTAAGGCTAGGGCTAATTGTATTCTTCTTTCATCGTCATCAACCTAAGTGTTTCTTTTATACTATAGCTTAATATAAAGCATGTTTGACCTGTTGATAAGAACAAAACGAGGAATTATTGATCTATAACAACGTAAAAAAGGATGCGCAATTCACTGGATTAATAGCCTAATTATGGTATTCTTATCATCAAAATACATAGCTAATGTTATGTCACGGTATTAGAAGCTGTCACTTGTGCCAGGCCCTACCCTACCCTACCCTACCCTACCCTACCCTACCCTACCCTACCCTACCCTACCCTACCCTACCCTACCCTACCTTACCCTACCCTACCCTACCCTACTCTACCCAGCCTACCCTACTCTACCCTACCCTACCCTACCCTACCCTACCCTACCCTACCCTACCCTACCCTACCCTACCCTACCCTACCCTACCCTACCCTACTTTACCTTACCCTGCCCTACCCTGCATCTTCTTTCTTTGCCCTTACCATATCTTACCTATCTTAATGTAGTCTTATCATCATATCTTACCTCTAGTTTACTGTAGTCCTACTGTATTTTTGCTAAAACTTTCAATTAGTCCAGACAATCCGTATTTTACAAATTTAAATTATTCCCAACAACTGAACGCCAGGATCAATCAAACTACCGGTGTTGCGTCACACCGGCACTCTTCATATTGACTGTAAATACAAAAATAATAAAAGAAAATGTCGCCAGACACATTGTCGCTTGCTTTTTTGTGTAATCAAGCCACTGGTAAAGAAGACGTGTAGGAAGCTGGGTATTATACTCATCATTATGTTGAGGATGATACCTACACGATCGGTCATTGCTTTTTTGAATTGTACTTGTTTTTGAAGGTTTATGTATTGGAGATGTTGTTTATGTTATTCGTAGGTGAGAAGGAGGTAAATTGAAACTTAGTTGTTGCTATTTAGTTAAAAGGGGGATAAACCGAAACTTGCGGAGGAGGAGAGAGAAAGGGGTAGTTAAAAGTAAAGTAGATTTGTATGATAAGTAATGATATTGAGGTAAGGTAAGGTTAAGACTCTATAAAAACTTTTTTCTAGCTTTGTTAGGCTAGGTGAATATAAATTAGTGTTGTACCATAAGTACTATAGGTACAGTAAAAACTTTTTGTTTAACAAATTGCTTAAAGATTTGTTCTACAGAATTTTTTTAGTTGTAGGAGAGTTTTGCTGTAAATCAAAGTAGGCTATGTTATCAATGAATATTTTTTAGCGTATTTAAATCATAATTAGAATTGATAGGTTTTAATGGCTTGTTAACAATACTAATGGTTTTATAGTTCTGAGCAGTGGCGGGCGGAGACTTTTGGTCTGGGGGCGGGGGTCGAAAAAATTACAGGAGAGAGCACGTTCAACTTTTTTTTCTGGGGAGGAGGGAAAGAGAGTACCGACCCCCCCCTCAGCGCCCGGCCCTGGTTTTGAGATCAATCATATAGCCAGGAATTTTGAAGCCGCTCATTATACGGAATCTTCGTTATAGAGTAGTTTTTTATACGAGGGCTTGTTATAGAGGAGTTTCTTTACACAGAAGTTCGTTATAGAAAGGTTCAATATACAAGAGTTTATTATAGTAGTTTGTTATACACAATATCCACTGTGTATCCTTATAAAAATAAAAAATTAGCATGAGTGCCAAATTTTTATCTACGCATCACTTTTCTAATCTAAATTTCCGCCGGAACTGTTCCTTTTAGCATGAGATACCATTGCGCACAAATTTCGCACAAAAATCGGGGTTTTTTTGAAAACACAGGTACTTGCACCGGAACTCTGCTTTTTTCAGGTTTATCTATATTTGTGCAGAGCTGGGGAACTGATGCTTCTTTTTTTGATCTGTTGGCTAAATTTTATATTTTTGAAAGACTACCAAAACGTCTTTTCAAAAAGTTGAAGCCTATCAGTTTTAAGGCCCGGCTTGTTTTTTATTTTGCTCAAACCGAGCTCATGGGGCTAGACTGTAATTTTAGGCCCGGCATGTTTTTTATAATATTTAGCTCAAACCAAGTTTTTGGGACCGGACTGGATTTTAAGTTTGGCTATTTTGTTATTTTCCTCAAAAAGGGCTCGCGGGGCTAGACTAATTTTTAGGCTTAGCCCGTTTTTTTATTTAACTCAAACCGAGCTCTTGGGATTGGACTGAATTTTAAGCCTCGAATATGTGGGGGGGGGGAGGGGAGGAGGGGAAGGGGTATTCACTACATATGGTTCATCAACTAGCTATTACATAACTTTTTGACCAGTGCCGGTTTCCTTTTATATTTTTCAATTTGACCAATCAGCGTCTTGTTTGTGTTCGAAAAGAGGCGGAATACATAGACTGCTTGGTTTATTACTTGGAGTAATATGTAATTATTGAATCGGTAATTGATCAGTTGATAAGAAAGTGATTTTTCCGGAACGTGTAATTAGGTTCTTATGTTTAAGCCTAGAATTTTAGGCTTTAAAAATTAGTTTTGAAATTTTTTAGTATTGAATTAAGCCTTTTGGCTTTTGAGAAATGTGCTTTGTAAATTTTTAGGCTTAAATTGGAGCTTTTTGGCTTAAATTAAGGTTTTTAGGCTTAAACTAAGATTTATAAGATTTTAAGGTTTTTAGACATAAATTAAGATCCTTACGCTTAAGTTAAGGCTTTTAGGCTTAAGTTTAGATTTTTAGGCTTAAATTGAAATTTTAAGGCTTAAATTTAGATTTTTAAGCTTAAATTAAGCTTTTTAGGCTTCAATTAAGATTTTTAGGTTTAAATCAAAATTTTCAGACTACAATGAAGACTTATAGGCTTAAATTATAATTTTTTAAGCCTATGCTTTTCGCATATGTTTTTTGCGTTAATATAAGACATTTAGGCTTAAAAAATCTTTTTTTTTTGTTTTTTAGGTTAACCTATATATTTAGGTTTAAAAACGCATTTTCACAATTAGGAAATTATTTTTAGTCTTAAGGAGTATCTTTTAGGCTTAAAAATAGTTCTTAAATTTTAAAGTGATTTTTAGGCTTAAGAACTAATATTTAGGCCTTTTTTAGTCTAAAGCACTTTTTTATAGCTAAAACAACTACTTTGACCTAAATAAATTTCTTAGCCTAGTAACTTAAAGCAGTTTTCTTTAGCCTAAAAAACATTTTTTAGCCTAGACCTAAAACAACTTTCCCCTAACATTCTTTGACCAATTTAACTACCTAAACCAGCAAAAATTGTAAAACTGCTTGGTTCAGCTTGCTATTGCCGCCAAAATAAAATGGTCGAAAAACGGACGTTTCAGCAGTTTTGGGATCAGTGACCTGGCACTGATAAGCACAAAACCAAATTAATAGTTCAATACGACAATAATCAACAAAATGTTTTGACGGACCGTTTTCGAATTTAACAATTTTGCTCTTAGGCTTCTTTATTGTCTCTGATAGGTTTGTATATTTATGAATTTTTCTGGTTTAAATTTTTAGTGATAGGTATGGAATTAATTGTAAAATGTAGCTAAGAAACGTAAGAATTAAAAATATTTTGCGTCAACTTTCTTTTTTTTCGGGTCAAGTTTTTTCTTTTAAAATAAAATATTGAAAAATCAAAAATCTTTTCGAAATTTTGGTATATTGAGGTTTTTGGGCATTTTATTGGATTTCTTCTAAATTTTTGATAAATTTAGGTATTTAAAATGGTTTAATATTGTTTATAGTGTTATTTTGTTTTACTACAATGTTATTTTAGACAATTTTTTCCAAAATTTTTGAGCTTTTTCAGAATTTGTTACCTAAAATTTTTAGGTAACAAAATTTTAAAATCTTAAAGTTCCAGCTTCAAATCAATCATGTTATGCCATTTTTTGTAGACAGTAAAAATACTTTGTGTTTTGTGCTCTTATCAGTTGGTTTGAGTTACCTTCCTCATCATGATTCTATTTGCTCGGTAATTTTAACGACCATTTCTCTGCTGTCTCTCGTTTCTTCGTGATCTCTTCGCGTTTTGCAGGTTTGTCTCTTGTATTTGTAAAGTGTTTTGGTTTTTGGAACGATTTTTATGATGATTTCACATAGTTAATGAGGAAAGGAGATTAAAAATTATGGTTTTTTGGTATGGTCTAGACGATAAATGGCAGAGAGTTGGAAGGAAGGTTTGGTGAAATCTGGGTAAAAGTAGGGTTTTGTAGGGTAGTTTAGAGTTGGTGAAGTAAGGTAGGGTACGACAGGGTAGGACAGGACAAATCATGGCCATGTAGGATAGGGTAAGGCAAGATAGAGCAGGGTAGTGTAAGCTATGGCAGGGTGGGGTAGGGCACGGTAGGATTGCTTCATTTTAGCTGTACTTTCCGAATATTCTACTATATTTTAACTATATTTTATTTTGCCTTACCTTATTTTACTTTTTTTTCTCTCCACCATTCTTTACCCCACCTTACCTTCATCTAGCCTTACATTTATTACCCTACCGTATCCTATTCTACACTTCCCTAATTTACCCTACCTTACCTAGACATAAGGAACGGGCCAGCCGTGCCCATTTTTCCGGCCCGGACTGCTTTGGGTGTTAGGCCCGGTTTGATATAAATTTTTTAGGACCGGCCCGGCCCGATTTTGGTACTTGTAAATGGGCCGGGCTTTTTGGCCGGACCTTGATTTTCAGGCCGTTGGGTTAAGGCTGGACTGATTGTTATGTCTACCTTACTATACTCTACCTTCTCTACCTTGCTCTACTCCTGTTCCCTCTATCTTGCCATATTCTTGCGCTCCTCTCTACCTTTGCCATGTCCTACAACATCTTACATTACCTTACTCTATTATATTCCGTATCTTACACTACCCTACCTTATCTTAACTTATCTTACCCTGTCTTACATTACCCTATCTCACATACCTCTCCAAACAAATCCTAATCCCAACCTTCCAACCCCTCATGTTGACATTATATTATACTTGGTTTTTCGTTATCAGGTACCCCTCCAATTTCGCTCAACTTTAAGACAAACGGTACCGACCATTAATCTGTAAATAGCTTTCTCCTTATTTGCCAACTACCTGGACCCCCCCCTATCATGATAAGGGGGGGGTTTGGGTTAAATCGGTGGCTCCGAATTTATTATGTTCGTCGCCAAAACAACACTGTTTTGCGGCTAGCGACCATATTGCGGTCTTCTAAAAGTGTCGAAAAACAAAAATTTTATTTTAGAAATATTTTTTAAGTTTGTAGTGGAAAGAAAGTTATTGCGGTTTTTAAAACTTGTTATTTTTTGGAATTTTGAAATGGAAAGAAAGTTTTTGCGTTTTTTGTTGAAAATTGTGAAATGGAAAGAAAGTTTTTGCGTTTTTTGTTGAAAATTGTGAAATGGAAAGAAAGTTTTTGCGGATTTGTTTTTAAAGTTTTAATTTGTTTGAAACTTGAAATGTAAAGAAAGTTTTCGCGTTTTTTGCTTAAAATTTTTAAGTGGAAAGAAAGTTTTTGCGGTTTTGTAAAAAATTTCGAATTTTTTTTTATTTTTTAAAGTGGAATGAAAGTCTTTGCGTTTTTTTTGAAAAATTACAAATTTTCTTGAATTTTTACGTGTAAAGAAAGTTATTGCGGTTTTTTTTTTAAATTTCGATTTTTTTAATTTTCAAGTGTAAAGAAAGTTATTGCAATTTTTTTAAAATCTTTCGAATTTTTTAAGTTTTTGCGTGTAAAGAAAGTTATTGCGGTTTTTTCATTTCGCGAAATTTGTGTTTTTTTATAAAATACGAATTCTAATTTTCAAAAATTTTCAGCCAAACCCAATTCGACAATGCATCAATTCGACCAGCAACAACAGGTCAATAAGTACGAGCATTGGCCTGAGAGTCCAGAACGAAAGAGCTCACCAAGTTTGACTCCACCTTCCTATACCTACCCAACAGAAGCCTACGGTAACGGTGTTACTGTACCGTACTTTCCAGCTTCTCATACTGATTCAGCGACCAGCTCCGAACAGTCCCCACAGAATAACTATGGGTATGGCAATGTTGGTAATGGCAGTGGATTCGAGGGATGGTGAGTCGAGTTTTGATTTTTTAAGAGGATGGGGGGGGTGTAGGGCGGTTTTTTGTAAGGTACAGTAGGCAAGTTTAGAGTAGAGGGTAGGACAGGGTAATTTTAGTAGGGTAGGGTAGAGAGGGGGAGGGGTGGACAATTTTGGAATGGGTGAAGATTTGGTAGGGCATGGCTATGCAAGCATGGAGAAGTGTAAGGGTACGGCTGGGCGTGAAAAAATTTTAGAGGGTAGGGTAAGGTAGGGTAGGGTAGGTTGGAGTAAACTAGAATAAGGTAAGGCTTTTTTCAATTTTTTTGAGGCAGGGTAAATTGTAGAATTTTATAAATCTTATCATTGCAGGCCCCAAAACGCCCCACCAGAAGGCATGCTCTACGTTGACCAGGTGCCAAGCGTCTACATGGATGGCTACATGATTCCTTCCGTATCATCAGCTCAAGCTGGGTATAGTAATGTCTCTCCGCAACAATGGTAAGCTATTTTCTATTTTATTTAGCAGAATTTTAACTATAGCTGTCATTAATATGATATTTTAGGTAGAAAAACAGATTTTTATAACATTTGAAATTTTTTTCTATTTTTAAAAAATATTTTTATATTTAAAAAAAAATTTTTTATTTTATTTTATTAAAAATATATGAATAAATTTGAATTGAATATTTAATATTTTTTTATTTTTTTTATTTTTAAAAATTGTTATGTATAAAAAATTTTTTAATTTTTTTTTAATTTTTAAATTTTTTAAAATTATTTATTTATTATTTTTTTAATTTAAAATTTTTTTAGTTTAAATTTTTTTTATTTTTTTTTAATTTTAAATTTTTTTTTATTATTCTTAAGTTTTTTATTTAAATTACTTTTTTTATTTCAATTTTTTTTATTTAAAGTTTTTTTTATTAAAAAATACTTTCAGGGTATCCAGTTCATCACCACCCTCATCAATATACCCAGCTCCATCACCTCTCCAGACTAGCTATGCTGACTCAACAATCTACATGAATGATGTCATGTGTAACTTATCCCTACAACAACCCTCGACTTCGGCCGATAATTCCGTGTTTTTTGAGTTTTTCGACCAGTCGAAAGCATTGCCCAGCCTTAGGACATTTAATGTCTCGAATGTTGATGGTAATGGGCTAGAAGTTCAACGGAATGAGGCGGAAGGGCTTCGGAACGTTCAGATATTCGAAGATGGAGCCATGGCCAATGGCCATAATAATATGACAATGGTGATGAATGGGGCTCATGTATTCCAGAAGTCTTCGTATGGTAATGATATTAAGATGTATGGTAGTTTGGATGGAACAGTAAGGCAGGTTGATGGAACAGTAAGGCAGGTTAATGGAACAGTAAGGAACGCTGATGGAACAGCAAGGCACATTGATGAGACAGGACACCTAAACAAATTCTACAGTACTGACACAAACATCTACAGTCATGGTATCAAGGCATATGGCGATGAGACATATGGCAACAAAGAGTTCAATAGCAATGTAACACATGATGCAGTGACGAAAGAAGTGAAACCAAAACGAAAACCAACTCAGAATTGTCACAAGTTCTCGATTTGTTCGAACTGCAAGACGGATACGACAACATTGTGGAGGAGGAAGGCAAACGGGGATATCGAGTGCAAGTAAGTGACTTAAATAAAGACAGGGTAGAGCTAGGGGTACGGTATGAGTTGCGTGGGATTTTGGCTAGACTGGGCGTAGAATGGGATAAGTTAGGCTTGAATAGGGGTAAGATAGGCTTTGAGTGGGGCACGGTAGGCTTGCATAGGGGTACGGTAGGGTCGGATAGACGTAAGACAGGCTTGGACATGGGTAAAGTAGGTTTGGATAGGGGTAAGGCAGGCTCCGATAAAGGTACAGTAGGCTTGGATAAGGGTTAGATAGGCCTGGATAGGGGTGTTGAGATAACGTAGGGCCGGGTAGGGGCAAGCAAGGCTTAAATAAGGGTAAGATAGACAAGAATAGGTAGGCGTAGGCTAGGCTTTTGGATGAGGTAGAAAAAGATATGATTGTTAGGGTAGGGTAGGGCAGGGTAGGGTAGGGTAGGGTAGGGTAGGGTAGGGTAGGGTAGGGTAGGGTAGGGTAGGGTAGGGTAGGGTAGGGTAGGGTAGGGTAGGGTAGGGTAGGGTAGGGTAGGGTAGGGCAGGGTAGGGTAGGGTAGGGTAGGGTAGGGTAGGGTAGGGTAGGGTAGGGTAGGGTAGGGTAGGGTAGGGTAGGGTAGGGTAGGGTAGGGTAACTAATAGTAGAATAGGATAAAGTATATGAATGTACAATAAATTAAGGCATGGTAAATGCTAAAATTTTAATCATTATGTTTACAGCGCCTGCAACTTATACTTTCGCAAGAACAACTGCCCCCGCCCACTAAAGTTACAAAAGAGAGGAATCATGAAAAGGGCTAGGAACCCGAGACAACCTCAACATCGTGGCTTTTAACAACCCACTAAAACTCAGAATCTTACTGTAGCATAAGACAATGAACCTGCAGTAACTAACTTACTGTAATTTAATGACTTTAACTTAATGTAACTCTTTACTACGTTAAGAGATAGTCTATATCTACGGTAACTTTGTTTTAGCTTACTTTATCATACTGTAGCTTTACATTAGTTTTATTTCTTACTGTAACTTCAATTTTGTTGTTTTTTTTTATTTTTTTCAAAAAAAAATTGTAAAAGGAAAAAAAAATTTTTTTGTATTTAATGACAAGCCAATAGGATTTTTAATTATAATAACCTTGTATAACCTTAATGTTTGTTAATATGTTGACGATTTTTGTATATATGATTGTGAACTCTTACTGTTTTGATAACACCATTGTAACCTAGTATTTATTTTTATATTTTATTTATTATTTTTGTGCATTTTTTGATCAAAATTTGCATAATAAACTTATATGGAAAAGAACATTGGTTTTTAAAATTTCAAAGTGTAAAAATATATATTACCCTCCCCTATCCTACATTACCCCGTTCTATCCTACCCTACTTTAACCTGCCCTACCCTACTTTACCCTACCCTACCTTACTCTACCCTACCCTACCCTACACTACCCTATTATACCCTACCCTACCCTACTTACTTTGACAAAACTTAAGCTGCGTTCAATACCTACCTTTATTTTATCTTTACTTTGGCTTCACAGTTACTCTACCCATCAGCATGAAAGACACCATTTGTTACTATAAAAATTTATTTTTCAAAAAAGAGAAATATAGATGGAGTTGTTGTAATCAGTAGTACTTCAGTTATGTGCAGCTTTTTTTTCTTTGTCATCCAACTCTTTACAGATACCCACTAACGTAAACGGCTTTTCTTTTGCGGTTTGGTTCTTGTTAGTCTTTGCACTCTTCTTTGACTTCGCTGTTTTGAAGGAAAATAGCCGACCTGTCTTGGTGGAGACAGAACCATCGCATGTCTTTTCTTCTAGTTCTTTTTCATCACCACCCTTTTTGGTTTTTAACTGGCATTCATTGAATTGCACATGTTTGCAAAAAACTGGTTTCCGCTTCTTTTCTTTTTCTTGTACTCTCTTCTACATAAGCCGAAGAAGATCATCGTTGACAAAAAAAGGATACACGCCAGAACAGTTGGGATCCAAAATGACCACCTAAAATACGTTGATTAGAGTTGATATTGCTCAAGAGACTAGCCAAATATTACCAAAACGGCAGTGATAAACCTACACATTGTTCCACGGTGAGGGTTCCACACAGACATCGCTCGACACTTCTGAGGCTTCAGTCGGTAGCAGTGTCCTAAAATGAGGGGTAGAATTAATTTATGTAAAAAAATAATTGAAGGAGAGAGGGGGTGGGGGGGGAAGGGGGGGGCTTTTGAGCTAAAAATCCACCTGAGCCAATTTTTTGCAAAAAAAAACTTTTTAAAAATCCGCAGGGGGGGGGGCCACGTTCAACTTTTTTTTAAAAAAATTTTTTTGGGGAGAGGGGTGGGGGGGGGGAGGGGGAGAGGGGAGAGGATACCCAAGCTAGAAAAAAGACCTGATTACTAAACTCACGTTTCCAAATAAGCCTCATCCAACGGAATATCTTCCTCAGTGACCGGACTCAAGGTAGTTTCACTGCCAGCGATCGTGGTCTTCGTGTCAACTTTCTTCGTGACTGGGGCTTTCCTAAAACCCTTGATTTACAAAAATCACAACAAAATTGCATATTTTATGTAAAAATTTTAAAAATTAATTTAAAGAACAAAAAATTAAAAACCGTAAAAACCACTTACTCGTAATAAAGCAAGGCAAAAAAGTTGCTCACTGCTTCATCATCAGCCAAACCGGCATCCAATCTTTTTAGAGCAGACTGAAATTAAAATTTTGTAAAATATAGCACAAACAAGTAAAAAACTTACTATACTCTACTTAAACTTTCTCTACTTTATTCAACATAAATCTACCCCACCCTATTCGACACAAGCCTACCCTACCCTACACTACACAAGCCTAACCTACTTCCCACAAACTTACCTTACCCTGTCCCACTATGACCTACCTTATACTAATCTACGTTACCCCTGCAGTTTAAATTTAAATTGACTTACGAATGAAAGAAGCAACTTTTCCGGTTTTGGACACTTCTCAACGACAATATTGTATTCCGTTCCAGTTTGTTTCATGTGTCGACAAGTGTGATTCGGAAGCCACAAGTCGCCACTCTCGGTACTGCCAACAACTAGAGCATTTATCAAGTCAAAGACACCAGTGTCAATACTATGCGAACGTCCGTCAAGAGCGAAGAATAGAATTTCGTCCGGAGTTTTTTGGTACAAAACGTAATCACGTACCAGCCAAGCTTTTCCTTTCTTGTAATCCTGGTACGACTTTAACTTTTTATGAGTACTGTCCAGCTTTAACAAGTAATGCCTGAAAAATTTAAAGTCAAAAAAGGAAACTAATTCTGTGGACTTTTAACATCATATATCACAATTAACAACAATCGAATAGTTTGAATATTATACTGTATAAACATTTGCTGATTGATAATAAAACAACATCGAATTACAAACTTCAGGTCATAAAATTGCCGCAGGTTATCCGTTAACATAGTATAAATATAATATCTAAAAATCGTAGGCCCGAGCATATTAGTTGAATAATTTAAATAAACTTTTAACAATAAAAGAGGTCCAAATTAAAACAATAAAAGCAATGCGCGAGAACTTCAGCCACAAGCTCATGATATTATATATTATAATATTGCATTGAAATTGACACATTGAAAACAAAATGACATGAAATTGCACAGTCCAGATCAAAAGATGCCTCAAGAGCATCCGCTGATCTGGTATAAGTATATTATTTTTAAGCTAAAGATACAACTTTGTTAAAAAACATACTTTTCTTTCCATTTTCCTTCAACATATAAAATGTTGAGATTCTTTGGAGTGAAAATGAAGCGAAGTTGTTCCAGAGCATCACCTTCAATCGTGTACTTTCTAAATAAAAAATAAGCAAGTGTAGTGCATAACAAAACTTCGATTTTCACATACCAAACTTAGTTAGGTCTCTATAACCAAACTCTTCTCATCACCCTTTTTCCAAACAAAAAGTCTATCGCACAAAATCAGTAAAACAACACAGTAAAAACCTACGTCTCAATGATACTTTCACTTGAATGTGGGCAAACTTTCGCAGAATGGCGAGTGACGGTGTTTTGACTGTGGGCGAAGCTGATAAATTCCGCACAAATCACTTGACCGTGTTTCTCAGGCAGCACCTTGGCATCGAGCACTTTCTTCAGCAGATCCGCGTTGAACTTCATCTTGCAGAGGGTCGACCGGCCCAGAGCAGCGCAAGGAGAAGAATGAGCAAACGAATGAGATTCTTTCCGAATGCCAAAACTGATGAAATCTGTGAAAGTTCGTTTTGTTTTTATGCAAATTTCAAAGTTTATGAAATTAAAAAATTTCATTTTTTTAATGCAAATTTTATATAGGGTCTGGTTTGGGTCTAGTTGGACCTAATTGTAAGCATTAGATAGGTCTTCCGCTCGGAAGACCTAGAACAAGATGGGAAGATGCTATTCGAAAAGTTGCCGGCTCTCAATGGATGTCAAAAACCAACACAACAGCTTGGACTCGCCAATTGCTCACACAATTCTCCTCATTATAAATTTTTTGAGTGTTACAAGAATAAAGAAAGAATGAAAGATGGCCAGCCTGACACTGGAAACATCTACTACTGTCCGCTCCGTTCCCTTCTACCCTACCCTACCCTACCCTACCCTACCCTACCCTACCCTACCCTACTCTACCTTCCCCTCCCCTACCCTACTTTACCCTACCCTGCCCTACCCTACCCTACCCTACCCTACTCTACCCTACCCTACCCTACCCTACCCTACCCTACCCTACCCTACCCTACCCTACCCTACCCTACCCTACCCTACCCTACCCTACCCTACCCTACCCTACCCTGCCCTACCCTACCCTACCCTACCCTACCCTACCCTACCCTACCCTACCCTACTCTACCTTCCCCTCCCCTACCCTACTTTACCCTACCCTGCCCTACCCTACCCTACCCTACCCTACCCTACCCCTACCCCTACCCTACTCTACCTTCCCCTCCCCAACCCTACTTTACCCTACCCTACCCTACCCTACCCTACTCTATCCTCCCCCCTCCCCCCTACCCTACCCTACCCTACCCTACCCTACCCTACTCCCTACCCTACCCTACCCTACCCTACCCTACCCTACCCTACCCTACCCTACCCTACCCTACCCTACCCTACTCTACCCTACCCTACCCTACCCTACCCTACCCTACCCTACCCTACTCTACCCTCCCCCTCCCCCTACCCTACTTTACCCTAACCTACCGTACCCTTTAAACTTTGCATTTCTAAAATAATAAACTGAAAAATGACGCAATATTGCACAACGTTACTTACCGTACCCTACTCTATTCTACTCTACCTACATTACTCTACCTTATCTACCTTAGTCTACCGCACCCTATTTTATCCTACCGTACCTTATCCACTCAAGCTTTCATATTTTTCTGCTGTTGTCTTTTCTTACCTTTGACAACATCTTAAGCAGCTATCATTATTTGCCCTAGCCTTATTTTCTATCTTGTGGTTTTACAATTGCCCAGCATAAAAGATACCTTTTGTTACTATAAAGGTTTATTTTACAAAAGCGACAAATATAGATGGAGCTGTTGTAGACAGTAATTGCTGGAACCCACAACGTGACAAGGTACCGAAGAGCTGGATAAGGCCAAGAAGTGTAGACATCATTGGCTTTCCTTCTTTCCTTCTAGGCCTTTTTATATCTGGCTCGGCGCATTTGTTCTAGGGTTACAGCTTGGGACGGTTGTTTGTCAGCGGCCTTTCTTTTACATTTGTAAATTCCAAAGCCTGCAGCAGCAGCTAGAACCAAACCGGCTATGACACCGCTGAAACAAATAGATTAAAGCCAATAATATACCATAAATAGGCCAAAAACATCAATATTGTACATGAAACTTGTAAAAAACTAAAAGCAAAAACCTGACCAGATCTTTGGGGAAAAAAAGTTAATCTTACATGATCCACCAGTATGAAAAGCTTTCGGGAGGACTCGCAGTTGTCGTAGTAGTTTTCATGGTAGGCATTACTGTGAATAAACTAAAAATACTGACATAGTGACTAAGTCATTTAAACCCAATTTTCTTTTGGGGGGGGGGAAGGGGGGAGGAATAGGGTAGGGAAGGGTAAGATAAGAAGGCAAGGTAGAGTAAGACAGGATAAGGCAGAGTAGTTTAGGATAGGATACGGCATGGCAAAAACTGAAGAATTGTCAGAAAAAGAGGATAAAGGCTAAACTCACTATATCCATTCCGGAAAAACGTATTCATAAAAGTCTTCTGTTGTACTAACCTTAGTCGTAGTGGTTGGAGCTTGCCTACAAGTTTCTGATTAAGGAAGTGTTTAAAAGTTAATAAAAATTGAAAAACTTAAAAATTTTAGTGAACAAGTATATCAAACTATTTACTCACCCGTAATAAAGCATGGCAAAGTAATTGGGGATCGCTTCGTCATTCGCCAAAGTAGCATTCAAATTTTTCAGAGCAGCCTAAAATTTAAATTCTGTAAAATATGAACTTACAAGTAAAAAACACCCTACCCTACACAAACCTATCCTACCCTACTCAACACAATTTTCCCTTCCCTATGCTACTCTACCCTACTCTCCCCTAGTTCTACGTTACCGCTGCCCATTAAATTTTAAAAATAAACTTACGAATGAAAGAAGCAGCTTTTTTGGTTCTGAACACTTTTCAACGACAATATTGTATTCCTTTCCAGTTTGTTTGATGTGTCGGCAAGTGTGGTCAGGAAGCCACAGGTCCCCACTATCGGTACTGCCAACAACTGGAGCATTCATCAAGTCAAAGACACCATTAGTTATAAAATGATTATGTCCGCCACTGTCAAGGAAATCCATCTCTGCCGGAAGTTTTTGATACAAAACTTTATTTCGTACCAGCCACTGTTTCCGTTTTTTGTACTCTTGTTTTGGCTCTAGCTTTTGATGAGTATCGTCCAGCTTTAACAAATTATGCCTAAAATTTAATGGTTAAAGTTAAAAAGGCAAGACAATTCTATTCATTTTTAACCTTAGAAGTCAAAATTGGCGCGCGAAAATCGCAAGCCCGAGGCGATTTGTTTGCATATTATGTTAAGCTTGACAAAATATGTTGTATGTGTCCTATTATTTCTATTAATGGTACAAACTCCTATTAATAGTTAGGCACTTTACTTGTAAGACACATTTTTATTAAAATACATACCCTCCGCCCGATACTCCTTCTACATATAAAATGTTGAGATTCTTCGGAGTGAACAGGAAGCGAAGTTCTGTCAGGACATCACCTTCAATCGTGTAATTTCTAAATATGTAATAAATAATAAAAATTGAAGCAATTACATAAAAAAAATTCTGCGATGTTACACAGACCAAAAGTAGGTCTCTATTAACAAACATCTTCAAAGCAACCCGTTTTCAACCAAAAAGTTTCTTCCATACCCAAAAATCAACAAAAAAAAACACAGCAACTTACGTCTGAACGACAGTTTCGGTCGAATGTGGGCAAACCTTCGCAGAATGGCGAGTGACGGTGTTTTGACTGTGGGCGAAGCTGATAAATTCTGCACAGATTACTTGACCGTGTTTCTCTGGCAGCACCTTGGCATCGAGCACCTTCTTCAACAGATCCGCGTTGAACTTCATCTTGGTGAGAGTCGACCGGCCGACAGGAAAGCAAAGAGAAGAGTAAGCAAACAAGTGAGATTCTTTCCGAATTTCAAAACTGATGAAATTTATCAAAGTTCGTTTTGTTTTTATGCAAATTTCAAAGTTTGAGAAATTAAAAAATTTCATTTTTTATTGCAAATTTTAACTTTTAAAATTCAAAAAAAAATATTTTGCTTTATGCAAATTTCAGTGGAATAGAAAAAGATACTTTTTTGACCTGAATTTAGGTCTAGTTGAACCTAATTGTAAGCATTAGATAGCCAGCCTGACACTGGAAACATCTACTACCGTCCGCTCCGTTCCCTTCTACCCTACCCTACTTTACCCTACCCTACCCTACCCTACCCTACCCTACCCTACCCTATCCTACAAGTGAAAAAAAGTTGGGGGCTAGCCGGTCTGGGGTAAAAATGAAAACGGGAATGGTCTTAACATTAGGCCCACCCTGGCCCGATTCTTATCCTTATCACCAACAAAGACGTATCGTTTTAATGATTTATTCATAATATACATATTATCTTTTATACTGAATGTGGCTAGCCTTTTCACCCAAATAGAACCTGACCCAGTTGTGATGACCATCCACAACTCGACGTTTGGTCTCACCAGCAAAGACATGTTCAAAGCCACTACTAACAAAAGGTGCGTGACATCTACTGTAGACTCCAAACCATAACGAGAAGAGATGGTCCATGAACTAGTCATGTTTAGCTGGACCATGAACACTTTTTTCTTGTAGGTACTCCTGTGCCGCTTTGAAGATGGTATGGTTTGTTATATGACATAAAGTTTGAAAGAAGCGTTGTAAAACAAAAAAAAAATCGACCATTGGTGAATAAGTTTATTAATCAACCAAAAAAGGGAATTTTCTCATTGTTTTCACTCCATTGATAATACTCTTGGTTTGGCATGGCACCTTATGAAGAATACAGTATAAGGTTACGGTAGCTGGTCGACGCTGACTCGCCAAAAAATTGTTGTCTCTTCGGTCTCCGCACATCCGTCGCTTACGAAAAATACAAGTTAAGATGGAGAAAACTACAGTATGACTACAGTAACCAAGAATTAACTAACTTGATAAAAAAGTTACTATTAAGTTGTTTCAAAAAGAATGGCCGATTTCAGCGTTGATTTGTCCGCCAAAATCGCCCGTTCGTTTTGGAACAGCCTAAGATTACTGTAATTTTGATACAGTAAGATGACGAAAATATTTTACAAACTAATCAAAAATATTCTTCCGGTCTAGATTGGCAGTTGTTGTAGCATCAAACTACATCTAATCTTACTGTAACTGTCTATAAAATAAAGCACAGTATAGGCTACCGTAATTTCTAAATTACAGTATCTACTAGTCTTATATATACAAAATACGGTTAAAAAGACGTTGTGAACGCTTTGAAAGACCTTATCATTATTTATATAGTACTATTTGAGTACACTTATATTTTCCTGATATTACTGTAGAAAATACAGTACCTTAAGTACAATATAAGTGTGTATGATTGAAAGACTGAACATTATAGTAAAACGAAAGCCCTGTTTAGGTATAAAGAAAGCTGTTATGAGGTTGTGAAAGCACGTGGTTATTCGACCGGTCGATTATTTTTACAATTTTGTAAGAAACTTTGGTTACTGTAGAGTGTACTGTAGTTTTACCGAGATTCTAAACAATTTAAGGCTAAGTAAGTAGAGAGTTACTGCAAGATAAGTTTGATGTTACTGTAAGTTAAAAGAAACTTACAGTAACAACCAACTTTGACTACAGTAACTCATACAGTAGACTACAGTATGAACTATGACAATATATAAGTTACATTTAAAAAACTAAAATACGGAATGCGGAGCCGTCGAGTTGAAAGACACGGTACGGGCAGCGCTTCGTTGGGTTTACTGTAGTTTTTAAGGCAGTTATATATGTCGTCAGTTTGATTGAAGGGTACTGTAGATCACTTTCTAAAACTCAATATACTGTAGAATCTATAAGGCTAGGCTAGGGTTCTGGGCTAGGGCTCTGGGCTAGGGCTCTGGGCTAGGGCTCTGGGCTAGGACTCTGGGCTAGAGCTCTGGACTGGGGCTAGCTAAATAATAACTTACACAAAGGCCTCCACATTGTGCTGCTGTAACATAAGTGAACACTGTAACTTCATCTTTCTGTTGAAATTTTTTAAACATCAGCCATCTTATCATAGGGTTTTAACACGGTTTAACATGAGGATTCAAGAGCCATCAAGAGTGAATCTGAAGAGAATCAGGCTTCGGCGCTGGAACCCAAGTCATCCTCGATGATAACATGATCTTACTGGTAGGGTGTTACATCTAAAAATTCCAAAATTAGATAATATAAGTAGTTTCGAATTCAAACGACTAAGCGGCGTATTTTACAGTAAAATTACAGTAAATTGTATATGAAGATGTGATTGTAAAGTCAAAGTAAAAAAATTTAAAAAAAGTCAAAGTTACTTCATAAAATCCGCGCCAAATCGTGCCAAAACATAAAAATTAATTCCTAGGGTCATATAAGCTTTGATATCCATGTCTAAGCCAACTTAAACAAAAAATTACGTCTAGCCTAAGCTAAAGTTTGAAAATCACGCCTGAGCCAGCCGAAGCTTAAAACTGCATTAGTTCAATTAAAGCCTAAAAGTCATGCCCATTTATAGTCCCTTTTAAAATTCTATGCCCAATACAAAAAAATTCATGCCTAGTCTATCTAGCGTGCCTCCCTTATGAAAAACACATGCCTGGACCAATACACACCTAAAAACTAGTCTGCCAACAGCACAGCCTATGCCAAGCCTATGCCAATTATAAAAAACCATTTTTAGTCTAAACAAAGAATAACAGCCCGAGATCAGCACACTCAAAACAAGGAAAATCCATGCCCAATACAAATGAAGCAAAAAATCGCTGCCTAACCCAACTCAAGACAAAAAACCCAGACCCAATCCAAATCAAACAAACTGCCTAGTCAATTGTAAGAAAAAAAAATCCATGCCAGTTCACTCTAAGCCAAAAAAATAGTCATTTTTCGCAATTTAAGCCTAAAACAATGCCTATTTTATGTTAAGCCATGCCAAACCTATTACAAGCTTAAAAAGCCATGCCTAGTCCAATTCAAATCTGAAACCCATGCCCCGTTCACTGTACACCAAAAAATCCACGCCAACTCTATTATAAGCTTAAAAACCCATGCCCATCTTATTCTAAGTTTAAAAACCAATGCCCACCTTAAACAACCCTTCGAAACACCCAACCATTCCCAGTCCAACCTCAGTCCACCCTACAATATGCGAATCTGAAGCCGAGCATAGTCATTGCATAACCGTTCCAGCCCCGCCCCGAATCGCCGACCCCGTTCCCTCCTGACCCCGGCTGGCACTGACCGGCTGGCGCTAACGCTCGTCCGTTCCCTCCGTGCGTCCTCGTTCCTCGCCCCTTGCCTGCGACGGGGAATGACCAGCCTCGGTTCTTTTTTCGTGCAAGGCTTTTGCACTTTAAAAATTGAGAGAAAAGTCTGCGGGGGGAATTAGAGAGGAAACATGTTATCATGTATTGTTATAGGTAAAAAGCCTGCAGGGGTTTTTTTTTAAATTTATAGTAAAAATGCAAAAAAACATTTTTAATTTGAAAAAATAAAAAATATTTAAAATTAATAAAAATCCAAAAAAAATTGAAAAATTTTTAAATATTAAAAAAAATTTTTGAAATATTTTAAAATTTTAAAATTTCAAAAATAAAAAAATGTATAAAAAGATATAGTTACAGTATTTTCTTTGTTACAGTATTATAAAATGAAGAATTTGTGTAAGTGTCAATCCCTAGCCGTAGCTGTAGTCATAGCCTTCCCTATAGCGTTAGTTCGAGCTTTAGCCTTAGCCCTAGTTCTAGTCCAGCCTTCGCCCACCTTTAACCGTGCTTTCGCCCAGCATCAGCCTAGCCTTACTCCTAGCTTTAGCCTAGCCTTAGCCTAGCCTAAGCCCAACCTTAGCATAGCTTTAACCCTGCCCTCGTCTTAGATTTAGTTCTAGCCTTAGCCCAGCCTCAGCCTAGTCTTAGCCCAACCTTAGCATAGCTTTAGTCCTGGCCTCAGCCTTAGTCCTAGCCTTAGGTCAACTTTAGCCCGTCATTAGCACAGTCATAGCCATAGACAAGCATTCATCAACCCTTAGCCCAGCCTCAGGTCAACTTTAGCCCAGCCTTAGCACAGTCTTAGCCTTAGGCTTCGTCCAGCCTTATCATAGTCAGTCTTAGCTTCGCTTTAGACTAGTCATAGCCCTAGCTCAGCATTAGCCTTATCCTAGCCTTAGCCCAGCCTTAGCTCAGCCTTAGTTCAGCTTTAGCTCAGCTTTAGCCCAGCCCTAGTTCAACATTGACCGAGACTTAACCGTAGCTTTAATTATAGCCCTAGCCCAGACTGAGAACAGTTTCAGCCCTAGCGTAACCTTAGCTTTGCTTTACTCCAGCAATTTATTATCTTGCTACCGACAGTGAGGTAGCTTTAACTAAGCCTTATATAAACTTTGCCCTAGCCAAATTTAGCATCGTTCTCAAATAACTATTTTCTAGGCCATTCCAACACAATGTATTGAAACCAGTTCAAAAGCCCTGAACTAATCCGAGCCAAGGTCACTGTTCCAATTTCCCACTGACCTAATTGTTACTCGGCGTTCTCTTTTTCGCAGCCATTTCGAAGTGACCGCCGTGAGGAATGACGTTCTTTTTTAAAGTGTTTTTAACTTTTAGGTTTGGTTCCTGTCTGCCAATGAGAATATTGGGAAATTGAGAGAAAAATTAACTATAACTACAGTAAAAAACTTTTAAAATATTAAATTTAAAAAAAGCGTAAAAAAATTTTTGTCGTCAAATTGCATTAATTTTGTTGCCAAAAAACGACATTACTTTTTTGATACCTTATTCTTAATAAAATAAATTTATATGTATTTTTTGTAGACTTTGCTATCACAATTTTACGTTACATTAACATATCTTATAGCTTTACAGCAATACCAAACCGGAGAAAGATAAAAAAACCTAAGCGCTAACTAAGCTCTACCCTAGACCACAGTTTAAAACCTAGCCTAAGCTGTAGCTCTAGTTCTAGTTCTAGACTTAGCTTTAGTTTTAGCTTTAGCTTTAGCTTTAGCTTTAGCTCTAGCTCTAGCTCTAGCTCTAGCTCTAGCTCTAGCTCTAGCTCTCGTCTAAATCCTAGCCTATGCTCTAGCCTAAGGTCTGGCCCATGCCTTCTTCTTAGCTTTAGCCACACTTCTAACATTAAAACTATACAAGCTAAAAAACCCATGCCCAAAAACAATACACATTTAAAAAGCCATGCCTCAGTTGTGCCTAATATAGGCTTTTGTCACAATTTTATTTAACCCATGCCCTGATTAATAGCATTTTAAATTCCATGCGGAATGCAACACACCAAGCCTTAGGCTTACCCGTATTTAGCCTTCTAGTTTCAAACCCTTCTTCCCCTTTGCTCTAACAAAATTTGCAAAAATTACCCCCCCCTCCCTTGTCTTCCAACAAAATTTACAAAAATTACTCCCCCTCTAACAAAACTTGCAAAAATTTTCCCCCTCTCTAACAAAATTTGCAAGAATTACCCCCCCCTTCCTCTAACAAAAATTGAAAAAAATTACCCCACCCTTCTAACAAAATTTGCAAAACTTACACTGTTATGGTTATAACCCAGTATACTGTACATTATTTTTTACATTTTTGTTTTCCTACACCCCCTACCGCTGTATAAACAAGCCCTAAACCCGAAGTTCCGCCTTTCTATTATATTTTCCGCCCCGCCAACAACAAAAAACAAGAAGAAAGCGTTATTTTTATTTACTTGTGTGTCCCAATTTCATATATATATACAGTCGAAATACGAATGGCGGTCAGCACGACACCGCACGATACGGAACGCCGCAATTCGTATCAACCCGAATGGACGGCGGAAGGGGAGGGAAGCTGTTAACAAAAAAAAATTAAAAGCAAACGATGTTTTCGTAATGACCGTTTGTACTTTTAACACAAAATAGAGAGGGGGGGGGGGAAGAACGGGTGGAACAGAGAGAGAAAAAATGAGTAGGGGGTAGATAAAAAAAGGGGAGGGGGGGAGGGGTAGGGGTAAAGGTAGGGGTAAAGGTAGGGGTAGGGGTAGGGGTACGGTGCCAAACAAAAAAATAAAATTTTTTGTTTTGGGCGGGGTAATTTTTAAGTTAAAATTGTTGTTTTGGGCGGGGTGCTTTTTTATAAAAACATTTTTAGCGGTTCAAAAAATGATGACCACAAGCAATCAAAAGAACCTCAAAAGACAACAAAAAACGAAGAGAACGGTCACTTGGCGCTGCGGTTTTTTTGCAAATCGGAAACGAAATATGCGTCGGACATTAAAAGAAACAAAGAAAAATTGCGAACAGGAACGAGCCGGCACGATGGCACGAAATAGTGCAAAAGCGTTGGGTGTTAGAGTACAAGAAGTCAATAACTTTTATCTATGATGTTAAAAATGGCTTTATACTCGTATTTAAAAGTTTTTGAGAATCGTACCGTACCGTAATGTACTCTACTCTACCGTACTGTACCCTATCCTACTTTACCCTGCTCTACTCTACGCACCCTCCTCCGTCCTCTGTCCTACTTATACCCAACCAAACCAACATTAGCCATACCATACCCTAGCCCAATAGTACCCTTGCCATAAATTTGTCTACATTATATCCAAACACCAAAAAAAATTTATAAATGTAACATTTTAAAGAGCAAAAGTAGGTAATTACCGCGTAGATACGACTAATTGCATAGAGACGCATCTTCAAGTTACTAGGTTTAGTTTACGAGAAGGTACAATTCTTTTTTGCATTTCAAAATGAATTTCAATAAAAAAAAGTTGATTTTAAAAATTTAAATTTAATTTTTTTTTAATTTCATGAAACTTCAAAAAAAATTTAATTTTTAAAGTTTTTTAAAATAAATTTTCAAAAAAAAATATTTACAAACTTTTACCCAAAATGAGTACCGGTCGACTTCTATTCTTTTCATACGTGTTGTTTATAGCCGTATACGTAGACGGATTACATTTGAAAACTTTTGAAATAGATTTCACCGACGATTCTCACGATATTATCCATGGTCAGTTTACTTTTTTGGTGCTATCTGATTATCCGGGCCTACTGTAGCATGTTTTACTCTATCTTACTCTGCTCTACTCTACCCTAGACTATCCTACCCTAGACTACCCCGCCCTGCCCTATTCTGCCTTACCCCACCAAATTCTACCCTACCCTAACCTTCCATGGAGCTACCATACGCCACATCCTAGCTCCACATTACTTTTTGAAAAAAAGTACCCTACCCAGCCTTATCTTCTTGTAGTCACAAAAAAAAACTTATAATTTTAACCTCCCCCTCCCTCCCTCGCCCCCCCCAATAATTTTTAAATTTTTTAAATTTCGCATTTTTTCAGCCGACTGTGGCCAATTCAAGGACATCGTATGCACAATAAGATGCGGTTTTCGCGACGGTTTGGCGGACAAATACAACGAATGCGCATGTGTATGTAGCGATCGGAATGTCGAAGACATGAAGAAGGTCGAGCAATACCGGAAACGCTACAAAAATGTCGCACGTTATGGCGAGAAAGGCTACTGAATTGTAATTATTGATTGTGAATTTTGAATGTAAAATAAACTTTTTTGAAGAAAGTTACGGTATTTCAAAAAATCAAGTTTTTAGAACAAAAAGAGATACAGTACTCCTTACCGTAACAACTCGAGCCCGCTTTTTTAAACCCCATACCAGCCCGTTTTTAGAATTCCAAGTTGAACTGCCCAACCCTTCCCAAAAAAACAATTTTTCAAGCCAAAAACATCCCTTAAAAACAATTTTTATTGCTAACAAGATAATAACTAACAATTAAAACAAAATAACTAATACAAAAGCTACAAAAATGAAAAAGTTATAAAATCTGATAACGATTTTTCAAATTAACACAAGATTCCAATTGGTTCGTCCTCGATTCCGCACGAATTTTCGCCTCTGGCCATGTAAACGTAGCCATCTTCGATGCCGTACTTTTGTCCCCACGAGTTCTTGACGATCCAATACTTTTGGCCGTCTTCCCAGGTGCCATAGCCGACAATATTGAGAGCGTGGGTACCGAGGATCTGGAAGATTTTAAAATTGTTAAAAAATTTTAAAAAAGTGATGAAAATTTGAAATTTTGGTCAAAAAATTATGAAAACAAAAATTTTAAGTCTAAATTTTGGCCTGAAATGCTCTTATTTAAGCCCATAAGTTTAAGATTGTACCTAAAATAAAAGCTTTACCTAAAGCAACAAATAAAAAAGTCTGGTCGCCAATTTACCTTGACATGCATAACAAAAAACGACAAGACTTTTTTAAACCTTAAAAAACAAAACAAATCTATAATTCTTGATATGCCAATTGAAACCCTCAAAAATTCCTTTCCAAATTCAATAAGATATCTCTCAAAAACATTACATTATTCTGGCAATCCCAAGCCGAAGGTGTATATACACCACCCTTGTACAACTTCATGTCTGGAGGAACGTTAATGCCAATGTTCACTGGGCCAAAGTTCACCACCCATTCCATAATGGCATTCTCATCCGGGGCAAGATAGTAGGCTAGTTCCAGTTTCGTCGTGGTGCCATTAAAGTCATTCAGAAGACAGGTGTTTTGACGTTGGGCTAGGTATGGGTAGTCAGATTCTAACATGAGGCCGTTTTCGTGAATGAATCTGAAGAAGACGGTGAACATGGGGTTCGAAATGGCAGCAAATTTAACTTTTTAGTATTAAAAAATAGAAATGTTCTCAAAACTAAAATTTTGGGTAACAAAACTCTAATCTTCCGTTAAAAACCCACTTAAAAGCCTTGTCATCATCCCCGCCATTACAAGCATTGTTGCTAAAATCACAATCCAGAAGCTCCTGTTCACTCAAATTCCTCAATTCACCGTGAGCAATGGCATACGACGTCTCCACGGTAGCTGTAGCCGCAAATGCCCAACAAGATCCACAATTCTTCTGAGCTTTCACTGGAGTGACTACTCCCTTCTCACGCCAATCGAAATGCTCTGGGAATGGGGAAACACTGTCGAATTGCATCTTGTGTTGTCTTCTTGGCTTTTCATGCATCAGAAAATGACTGTACGGCTTGATGAACGAGCTACGACGGCGGAGATTAGTGTAGAAGTCTTTTGGCATCAACATCTTAAACATAACAATCAGTTACTTTACATTTTACGTTGAAAAATATCAAAAACTAGTTTTAAAATCAAAGACTTCCCGATTTTTCAATATTATCCATGCTTCCCCACCAACTTGAAAAAAATAAACCAAAAGTGCTTGTGGTCTTTTCAAAACTAACTATAAGAGTTTATAACTAACCTCCTGAAACTCTTCATCACTCAAATCAGCAAATTCATTGATGCCAAATTCGGTATTATCTTCCAATTTTTCGAAATCTTCAACTTTCTCCAATGACTTTCTGAACAGCTGGAATCGCTTCAACTCTTCCTCAATATCGTTGTAGACCTTGTTGAATCTAAAGACATTAATCTCTACTACATTCTGTTAAAACATCAGCTGAACACATTAAGTTAGTCATGAGTTTATGACGCCATAAAAAGGTCACATCAACAAACTATCATAACATAGACAAAACATAAAATTTTGACAAGAAGTTCATCCTTTTAAATCAAACTTTACTTGTATTAGATAATAGAGACCCTAAAAAAACTAAACAGAAAAAAAAACTATAAACTTACTGCTCTTTGAACTTGCTGAATTCATCATAATGTCTGTCGAAGCTGTGATCATTGGGTTGACGGTCAAAAATCTCTCTTAAATCCTCCTTGTAGAAGAGTGATGCATAACTAAAACAAAAAAGCAATATTAGTACTCATAAAACAATAAATAATATTAAAAAACACCAACAAAAACCATTCAATAACAAGTTATATTAACAATAAGTTACATCAAGGTGTATATAAACTTACATAAATGGCCCCAATGTAAGAAGAGTAACGATCAATGAAATAACAGCAACTTTGAATAGAAGGTCACTTGCTGTTACAACTTTCCTGAAACAAAAACTTGTAATTTACATTCTTTTTAAATAATTTTAAACAAAAAGTCGAAAAACAAATACCAATACCTATTGTGACACTTCATACGATCCTAAAAACGCAAACAATACTGTGAAATAAAATAAAAAGCATTTACCTGATCTCCCGGTCCAAAACCAATGGCTCAATGTCCTTTTCAAACTCGTCTAGTTGTTTTACAACCATTTTGGCCAAGTAACCTACAACAATATCGCATATTCCTTTTTACAAAATTAGTATAATAAGATTAACACGAAAATATATATTGAATCACGTTACAATACTACAACAAAATTAATTTACAATTACTTTCTTGTTGTGTTTTAACAACAGTAACATTGCCTCAATAATTACCTAAAATAACATATGTTCAACTCTAAATACAACAGGAAAAGTAAGAAAAACCAAAGATTTAAAATTTAAAAACCATTCCTCGTTTTTTTCAGAAATATCAGACAACTACAATCAGCGATTATCAGTTCTTATCAGTGCTAAAGGGTCAGTTTCTTCAACTTTTCTCGTATTTCATAAAAATTGAAAACTTTTCACAAAACAAATTTGAAAAAAATGTTAAAAAAATCAAATTCATTTTTATCAGATGTATTTTACAACTTTACAGCTAATAGTCAACCTATTACAACTAAAATTAGACAGTAATCAAAAACTTGTACAACTGCTGCAAGTGCTGAAACGAAAACAAACTAAGGAAGAATTTCTTGGCGTTTCGCATTAAGTTAATTCGGAATAAAAAATAAAGCAAAAATAAGGCAAATTAGCTTGAAATACTGATTTACTATGCTGATACTCATGGTTTAAGTATATGAATATATTAAAAATATAAAATGAAGTTGTCTAAATTTTATCAGCCGGTGATCAATGTGATTACGTCTGATTTGAGGGTTCAGGTGAATATTTTAGCTTATTTTTATTTTTTCTTTGAGAATTTGTCTTTATGCTTGAATATTTTAGTATTCCAGACCTGTGGGAGGCTTGATAGCAGACAGAATTACAAAAAGATGGGCTAAACAGAATGAACCGTTGGTTAGAAAGGTCGTGGAGGAGTTGAAGATCAAACCAGGTATGTTTTTGCTTTTATTGTTTGAATTTTAGGTAAAATAGTTTGAAGGTCGGATGCAGAACTTATAATCATGTTCTTGAGATGCTGTTTAGAATGGTTTTTTTTATTTTTTGACAGTTTTTATTGTTCTATATGAGCTGTGACACCCTTTTTTACTCTTTAACTTTAGGGTAATATAAGTGGATTCATTATGTTCTAATGTTGTAATACACAATTAATTTGGTTTTTAAGATCTATTTGTAATATATTGACGCAGTTTAGTGTAATTGGGTTTCTGTAAAGCCAGGCACACAACTTTTTCTCTCTTCGACTCTTATGAGTAATATAAATTTATGTATTTTAGAAAATAAACTGTTAGAATTTGGATATGGCTGTGGCGTTGGCATAGAATTAGCGTTAGAACATTTAGGGCCACGTGGTACTTTTTATGGAATAGAAGCAAGCGAGAGAATGCATAAAATGGCTGAAAACAAGTATGCATTTGAGGTTGCTGAAGAAGGTAGAGTTGTGTTGGAAAAAGTAAGCGTTATCTTTGTGCTTTTGTTGTTTTTAAGTACATTGGGATCTGTTTCATCTGTTAAAAGTTATTTTACGTGCAATTTAAAGTTATGCTTATCAAAAAACAATTTTATATCATGTTACCCATGACGTTTGATGCTCTAATGAATAATTTCAGTTACCAATGATAATAGATCTCCCATTTCCTAATAACTTTTTTGATGCTGTGTATCATATTGACGTTTTTTACTTCTGGGGACGTGCTAGCATGAAAACCATTTTAAAAGAAATTATGAGGGTTATCAAGCCCAATGGTTTATTGCTATGCGGAATGAACTTTAAAAGGTAATTTTTTAAATGATTTGTTGTTTTTTTGCACTTTTATTATTATAAAATGATGGTATGTACTTTAATAGTGATAACGTTTTGTTTACAAGATTTTTTGTCATGTTTTAACATAGGTATATATGATTTTAGGTTGGAAGGGTTGGAAAAATGGGGAGTAATAGGCAAGGAGAAGTGGGACCCAATGAATTATATGGTGCATTTGGAGCCGGTTGGGTTTTTGGATGTTAATGTAAGTCTATAAAAGTTAAAAAGAAAATATCTTTTTTTGGGCGGGGTAAAAATTTTTTCGGGGTGTGGTTAAAAATTTTTTTGTTAGATTGGATTTTTTAATATAAAAATAATGTTGTGGAGTGCTATTTTACATTTATTTTTATAAAAATAATTTTTTCTTTATTTTTGAAATTGATTTAAAATTTGAGATTTTCAGATAAAATATCACAAACTGCCTACAGGAGAAGAAGTCCAGCTGATTTATGCTAGAAAGCCAAGTGAAGAAGAGGACAGTACGTATGAGAGTAAGATGGCAAGTTTGGAGAAAGACATAAAAGAATTTATGGCAATGGAAAGTTTGATGAAAAGCAATCAAAGAGATGCCAGTTTAGTAGAAGAAGCGGGCATGAACAAGCAAAAACGAGGTATTACATGGAAGGAAGAGACGATAAAGAAGACTGAGGCATTAAAAAAGGCTGCAGAAGATGTAAATGAAGAAAAGAACACAGAAAATGAAGAGAAGTCAAAGAAACAAGCTGTAAATCAATAAAATATCTGTGATTTCGAGGACTAAACCTACAAGATCATTGAATTTTAAGTTGATTTACATGAAATATGAGCCGATTTTAATATTATAAGATGAAGAATCTTGTATAAGATCTATTAGGACAGTTGTTTTGTTTAATATGTTGTTGTAGGTTTCGTAATAAAGACTTTTGATTGTTGATATAGGAGGTCAAGTTGAAGGTAACGTCCGAAAAACGTACTGAAACAAAGTCAGTGTACGTGTAATTATTGTGAGTGTGTTGTGAGGAGTTGGCTAATGGTTTGGGGCATCTGAAAATTGATTTTTCGTTAAAATGTCTTTTAAAAAATGGCAGTTATGAAGTGATTTTGTCAATTTTTGGGGTTTTTAACGTGTTTTTTGTTCAATTTTCATGGGTTTCAGCGAGTTTTTAAGGGAAAATGCCATTTTTAATTAGAGTTTTTTTTTGTTTTTTGATATTTTTTATGAAGTTATTGTACTGTAAGATATTATAGTGTGTTGTAATAAAAGATTTTATGTTACTTTAGATGTTAAAAACCTTGATAAGGCCGTCTTTGATCAGTAGAAGATGGAAACATTACATTACAGCTCCCATGTTTTATGTTAATGGAGGTAAGACAACTTTTACATTTTATTCCTACACCTATTTCTACCCTTACTTTCCTTCTGAAGCACTACTATAATTTACAGTATTGTTTACATAGCATTAACACACCGTAACCTTCAGAACCCCACATTGGTCACCTCTACTCGGCCCTCCTAGCCGACGCCAACCATCGTTGGACGCTGTACAAACAGAACGCATCCGAAGCCAAAGATCATCAGTTCGTAGTGGGCACGGATGAACATGGCATAAAAGTGCAAACGGCCGCGAAGAACTGTGGCAAGTCTCCGAAGGAACATTGCGACTTTTATGCGGAACGATTCACTCAAATGTTTCATGAGTTTGACATTTCTTTTACGAAAAGTGTCAGAACTACGGATCCGGTTCATGAGGAGGCGGTTAAGGGTAGGCATACGTTTGGGTGGGGTAATTTTTTTTTGTTAAGGGCGGGGGGCATGGGGAGAGGTTAAAGGAGGATGAAAAATAAGTTTACATAGATCACAGGAGAAAAAAATTGAAAAAAAAATTTTTTTGGGCGGGGTAAAAATTTTTTTTTGTTAGAGGAAGGGATGGGATGGGGAGAGAGTAAAGCATGATGAAAAATTAAATTTGAGCATAGGAAAAAAATGAAAAAAAATTTTCTTTGGGCGGGGTAAAATTTTTTTAGGGGGGGTGGGTCAAAAAATATTACATTTTTTTAAATACACGTTTTAAAAAAGGCGTAAAAACAAAAAAAAATTTGGGCAGGGTAAATTTTTTGCAGGGGTGGGGAGTCTAAATTTTTTTCAAAATTTTGGGTAATCAGCAAAAAAGATTTTTAAATTTGGTAATTTAACATTTTGTAGAACTATGGAACCGCATAAAAAGCAATGGCCACATATACAAAGCCAAGTATGAAGGATGGTACTCTACAATAGACGAGCGATTCTACACTGACGATGAAGTGGAGGAGAAGAACGTTAGAGGAGAGGTAATGAAAGTAGCGAAAGAAAGTTTGAGCAAAGTGGAATGGGTAGATGAAGAGAATTACATGTTCAACTTGGAGAAGTTTAAAAGTCAGATTCACGATTGGTTGACTCAGGAAGGTAAGAGAATATTCGCTTGTTAGACCTGCCTTGCTTGTCATGCATGTGCCTTGTCCCGTGCCTTGCCTGTGCCCTGCTGTGCCTTGCCTGCGCCTTGCCTGTGCTGTGCCTTGCCTGTGCCTTGCCTTGCCTGTGCCTTGCCTGTGCCTTGTTCCGTGCCTTGCCCCGTGCCTTGCTTGTGCCTTGCCTGTGCCTTGCCTGTGCCTTGCCCCGTGCCTTGCCTGTGCCTTGCCTACTCTGCTTTGTATTTTCCTGCTTTTTCACCTTATACTGTTAGGTTAGATCTACTTTAGCTCTATCGTTTTCTATTCTTGAAGTGCTTACTTATAAACAAAGCCTTCTTAATATAATATAATGTTTTTATTTTTGCAGATCCAATAGCACCAGCCAGTCAATTACCACACATCCTACAGTCGTTAAAGGTGCAAAAAGATCTCTCAGTGTCTAGGGATTCGAAACGATTACAGTGGGGCATAAGAGTGCCTGGTGATGATGGGCAGACGGTAGGATTTCGATTTTTTTATTTTGCGAACTTTCCATTTTAGACTTAAGGAATACCTTTGATTACTTTTACGTCGTCTTTTAGGCTTAATTTTCGGTTTTTAGGCTTAAATATGCAAATTGATGGAATGCTTGATGTTGATGATTTACTTATTGTATTTTACTAAAAAAAATTATGAGTTTTAGTTCTACGTATGGCTGGACGCCCTTTGCAGTTACTTAACGGCAACCGGCTTTCCTAACAATCGAGATTGGACAAACTTATGGCCAGCTGATGTTCACTTCATTGGAAAAGACATTCGAACGTGGGTTTTTGTAAAATACGCGCATCATACTAAGATTGATACTAAGTTAGTAAACGTGGGTTTTTTTAAAGTACGCGGCATGGTACTATGATTGATATCAAGCTAGTAAGCGTGGGTTTTTGAAAAATAACTTGCATAGTTCTATATAAAAAATGGTACTAATAGGCATTAAAGGTGGTTCAGAAGGTCCGGCCTACGCCATTTTACAGGTTTAGATACTAAAGTAGGAAAGATATGATTAAAAATGGCATATTTGATGGAAAAATCTGTTTTTTTTTTTGCGTCAACAGGGTCCCCCTGTGTATTTTTTTTCAAAAATTGAAATTTTTTTTGAAAATTTTGAAAAAATGACATTTTTAAGCTTGTGGGAGAATTAAAAAAAATTTTTTTTTATGTTTTTTTTGCGGTCATCTGATTAAAAATGGCAGTTTTGGAGTGAAAACCCCTATTTTTTGGCCAACAGGGTCCGCCCTGTGGATATTTTTCTCAAAAGTAAAAAATTTTTTTTTGAAATTTTTGAAAGAATGACACTTATAGGCCTACACGACCATGATCTTCATTTAAAAAAAATTTACATTTTTTATAAATCGTAATTCTTCAACCTCAAAATATTTTTAATTCCAGATTCCATGCCATTTTCTGGCCCGCCTTCCTACTGGCCGCTGGCATTGAATTGCCCAAAAAGATCTATGTTCACTCGCATTGGCTGGTGGACGGACGTAAAATGTCGAAAAGTGTTGGAAATGTGGTAAATCCGTTCTTAATGAAAGACCTACTAACGTCGGATGGACTACGGTACTTTTTGCTGAAACAGTCTACTCAACACAATGATGCTAGTAGGTTTATATTTTGGAATTTTTTTTAATTTTGGGGGGTTTTGAGGCTTTGAGGGTAAAAAAAGTCGTTTTTTGAGGTCAAAAAGTTGTTAGAATACAAGGTTTTTGAGCGAGAAATGGGCAATAAATAGGTTTTTTTTGGTCGAAAAGTAGGAAGAATACGAGTTTTCTGATTAAAAATTGTCTTAAAAGCATCATTTTTGGGCTTGCTTCAATATTTTTGGGCTACTTTTTAAATTTTTGATATTAAAATTGATTTTTTTTATCAATATGATAACGTAAAATACGATAACAGCTATGTCTTGCGAAAAAATCGTGATTAGGTTAAAAAACACGTATATAACAATATGTTTATTCAAGAAACAAACAATAATAATCATAAATATGATAAATGCAACTTTCATAATCATGTACAAATGATGATAAATCAAGTACAACATGTCATGTACAAAAAACCTGAGATTCGAAGGGGTAAAACCAGTCATGATTTGACAAAGAAAAGAAGCAATATAACACACAAAATAAGGTATTTATGAACAAGACGAATAATTTTAAAATTTCAAACACCACCGTGAATCGACCAGTAAAGAGGCCGGGCTTAATGGGCCTTCTTTGAGGTCTAATCGTGAGGCTTTGTCAATTTGCTTGAGAAAAAAAGGTTATATTGGGCTGAGGGTTAAGAGCGGCTTTAGCTCAAAAAAAGGTTGGGCATGGCCTGAGAGCTGGGCTTGGCCTAGCTTTTTTTTCACCTTTTGACATAAAGGAAAGTATGCTCAGCGACCTAGTAAAAGCTATTGAGTAAAAAATAGAAATAATCAGTCACTTCTGAGACTGGATGTCAAAAATGTAGTTTGCGTATAAGTGAAGATACGAGCGTTGTAGGATATGTTGGTGAGTAAAATAAAACAAAATATATGTCAGACAGACAATGCTACGTAATGAGGGTAGTATGATATCTGTACTATAGTAAGGTTTTTCAGAATTTACAGTACACGTATGCTGAGGTGGAGTTCTTAGTAGGATAGTCTATGTAAGTTCTTAGTAGGATATACGAACTCAATTATGTATGTACAATAGGTCAGCTACTGGTCGGCAAAAATAACATTGATGACTAGAAAATAGTTTTGTCGACCTTAAAAACTAATTTTGTTGACCAGTACATATTAAAAATGGAGTACATTTCCATCTCAAACAATATGAAAGTCCCTAGTACTAGTAGGCAAACTCATATGTCGTGGAACTTCTCCAGTGAAAAATACTGGCCGTTCTTTCACAACCGTATTTGACACGCCATTCTTACGATGACAGTCTAAATGCGGTTCAGAATCTTCTTGCTGAATCTGATGTAGAGAGTTTGATATCGAAACCAAAGAAAACTTGGGGATTTGTTGGTTGCCTTGACCACCACTTTCGCCATTTTCTATATCAATATCTTTATCGTCACTCTTCATAAAATCTTTTCTAGCTTCAGTAGATAGTTTAGAAGGGGTTAGTTCAGAAATTTTGTGAGCAGAACGGTTGCCGAAGTAGTTAATGATACTCGTACGTCCCTCGATTTGGGGTGAAGCAACCTTATTGAGTGACGATTTTGGCAACTGTTTTTTTGGGAAGGTGTGCTCATCGGATTCTGACGTCCGGGGCGATTGACAAGATCTGGGAGAGTTGGTGGAGACTGTATTTTGATTGGATTTCTGAAAAAGTGGAGAGTTATGTTACGTTTTGCATTAGTAAATGGGTGTTTTTGGGTAAAAAGTTGGATTTTCGGCTTATTTTTGGATTTTTACAGCTTATTCTGCGAAAATTAAGATAAACAGATCTGCCTATATTGTGCATTCTGGGTCTTAGAAATTATATTACTATAAAAAAAACAAAATCTGTTTTCAAAAACCCCAAAAACAACTTTGGAGGTAAGGGGGTTTGAACCCCTGACTTCCCGCATGCAAAGCGGGCGCTCTACCACTGAGCTATACCCCCACACACTTCGCCGCGCTTATTTCCGTCCAAATAAGGCACCTACCATGTCAATAACGAACGGGCGAATCTTCTTCGGTCTAACCGGCGATACGGTAATACTATTGCGTAGTGTGGTATGTTTTCGATTGTCATGGACGGCGCCACGTAGAAATGAGAAAAATTTCGCGATTCTACGATAAATCCAGCTGAAAATGGAGGATTAGAGAGAAAAATTGGCATTTTAAAGGCTTTTAAAACTTTTTTTGCAACTTTTTAAATGGCAAGCTTTTGTAAAAATATTCTGGGTAAGTTAAGTCTATTTATTACTTCTAAACTTACTAGGGGAGTCTTCCACCACAGCAGAAACAACAACAGCATCCAAAACCAAATGATAGAGCGAATACTCCAAGTATTTGTAGGAGGATCTCTTGTTGATAGTCCTTTAAAATTGGTTGGTCATATTCGTCTTTCAATTCTAACATCATTCGTAAGCCTATTAGGATTAGAACGTTTGCTACGCATATCTAAAAATACGGGTTGTTGAAGGGCTTTGGCTTTATGAATGGCTATAAACAGGGATGTCGCCCAGGGGGGGGGGAGGGTGGATGTACATCTTCCCCCCTTCTTCATTGAAAAAATTTCTAGCTAAGTCTCTGGATGTAAACCAAAGAAAAAATTTCTTTTTTTTGAATTTTTTAGCTATCTAAAAATGGCTGTTCGTTTTTTTAGGTATAAATGATTTTTTAGATATAAAATGACATTTTTGTATCAAAACTTTTTAAAATTAAACAGCATAAGCTGTTTTATTAGGTGCCGACATAAAGAACCCCCACCCCTTTTTTTACAGGAAATTACAGGCGTTCTTTATATCGGCACCTAATAACAAAGAAAATTGAAATTGATACCTGACTTACTAAAAAAATCTAAAAAAAGACTTACAAAAACGATGAAGCAGATAGTAAAGCCCCAATTCAAGGGTTGGCCGCCAACTTCGTCAAACAACCTTACACTGTTCTTATGCCTTGGGTATTCAATTCTTTGCATTTTCTGAAAATCATGACTATAAGGCTTTGTTTTAGAAATAAAAATTTTTTACGCGGCCAAAATTTTTTTTAATAAAAAAATTTTAATTTAAAAGTTTATTTTAAAAATTATTGACGCGCAATACCATCACAGTTATAATGAGTTGTGTCTTGTGCTTATTAAAGTCTGATTAGTCATGAAAGGTAGTATAAACACAATGACAAATGTTTGATTTATCAAACGGTTACTATTAAAAGCTTGGGCAAAGTAGTGGAACATAGAGTTTAAACTTTTTGGTTTCATTTTCGGCTACTTTAGTTTATAAAAAAAAGGTGTGATAGGAGTAAAAATTACGTGTGATGGGGGTGTTATTGGCAAGGTAACGTTTGAAACGTCGCTTGAAATAGAGTGGGGTAGGGCAGGCTAGGTAAAACAATATAAGTATTGAATAAGGTGGGCATACTAGACAAGCAATTATTTAAATTTTATTTGAAAAAAAATAGTATGGCCAAAAGAAAATCAAAAACCCACAAAATATCGATTAAAAATGTCCTGTTGAGGCTATGGCACGCGATATAAAGCAAACCCACTCGCGCTAGAAACGTACATTGTAGATACAAGGAAGAGGAAGGTGAATTAAGGTCACTACAGGCCTTTGGACTAAAAGAAAATACGTTTGGACATGCGCAAGTGGGTCAAACTCGCTTAAAAATAGTGTCTTACATAGATCTTTGGAAAATGTTTTTTGATTTATAAATGTATAGGCTTAGGCTCAGGCTGAGATTTAGGTTAAGGCTTAGATTTAGGCTTACTAGGCTTAGGCTTAGATTTATTAAAACTAAGGCTTTGGTTTTAGTTCAGATTAAAACTAGAATCAAGCTGAGGCTTAGCCTTATTCTCTGACTCCGGTAGAATTTAAATTAGGTTTAGACTTAGCTGTAGGCTTTTTCTAACCTTAGGATTTATACGATTAGGCTCGACAAACTTATATTGATATCTTTACTGCCATCAAGCTATGAAGCCTTCATGCTTTAACAAAAATCCCAAAATTTTATTTACCGATTTGTTCAAAGATACAACTCCTATTGTCATCTTCAAATATATTCTTTTTTTATAAAAAAACTTTTTCCTAACAAAGATTCCCCACTGAAGAAAAAGTCGAAAAACCGGCAAAATTTTGTGAGAAAACCGCCCACCAAATACGTTTATAGCAAAATAGTTGAAGCGCCGCGAAGATTCTCTCAAATAGTTTAAAAATGACGGTAAAATTAATGTGGATTAGAGACGGGAAGTCGGTTTAACTTCATTAAGCGAGCTCCATTTGCTTTCGTACTTTGAAATTTGATTAGACAGTAGTTGGTCTGGCTCTCTGGGGTCTAGTTGATAGTACGTTCCCATATATGATTTCTAGTTGATAGTGTTTTTCTGCGTTGTCTGCGGTCTAGTTGTTGGATTAGGATGTTCAAGTAATTTTACGCCCTTTATAAAGCAATTTTTGGGGTTATGGGGCATAGAATTACTTGAACGACCTAATACCTTCTTTCTTTATAACTATTTTTTCCATTTGAACTAACTAACCCCTCTTAATTTAAGAATACTAAAAAAATCAAATTAAAAACACAAAAACATGAAGAGGAACTTGTAAATGATTATCCCGCACAATGTTTACGAAGATGTGAAACTATTTTTGAGACGATATTGTATGGTATTGTTAACGGTTCATAAAGAAGGTGTGGTAAAAAAAGGATTTATGTTTACTTTGAACGATACTGGATAAAAAACATCGAGAGAATGCAAGAATTTAACTGCTCTTTGAGATTTAGGTTAGACTTGGCTTTTGGAAGATTGGCCCGGCCAGTTTTAATTTTTCTTCGACGAACCAGGTCTAATTTAGGTATATAGAGGAAATAAAACAGTGGAAAGAAGTGGTTCTCTGAACAACTTAAGGTTGCTAGGCTTATGTATTTTCTCACTAGGCTTATTTTTAGTTTAGCTAGGCTTAGGCTTCAGTAGGCTCAGAGTTTGTAGACTGACTCTTAGACTTAGTAGGCTTAGGCTTAGTAGGCTTAGGCTTAGTAGGCTCAGAGTTTGTAGACTGACTCTTAGACTTAGTAGGCTTAGGAGGCTTAGGCTTAGGCTTAGTAGGCTTAGGCTTAGTAGGCTTAGGCTTAGTAGGCTTAGGCTTAGTAGGCTTAGGCTTAGTAGGCTTAGGCTTAGTAGGCTTAGGCTTAGTAGGCTTAGGCTTAGTAGGTTTAGGCTTAGTAGGCTTAGGCTTAGTAGGCTTAGGCTTAGTAGGCTTAGGTTTAGTAGGCTTAGGCTTAGTAGGCTTAGTAGGCTTAGACTTAGTAGACTTAGGCTTAGTAGGCTTAGACTTAGTGGGCTCAACTTTAGTAGGTTTGGCTTACTATTATAGACTACTACTTGCTTTGGAGACTAAAGCTTAGTAGGTTTAGGTTTTGTAGGCTTAGGCTTACAGTGTCGAAGGTCACAAAAAAGTTTAAAAACTTTAAAGGCGGAAGCAAAGTTCTAGACCGTTTACAACATGCACTTCACAACGTTAATCGTGAAAAACTAAGTGAACTGTAACAAAAAACTTTTAAATGTTTATATATTTATAATAACATTTTCTAGTGTTTTCTCTAACTAATATATAACAAGAAGTTAAATTATGTAACCTATAACAAGAACTCAAATAATATAAATACTGTGTCATTATATCCATACCGCTGATCTATGAAACGCTAAATAGTTATGGTGCCTTAACCGCACGACAAACGAATGTCATAATAAACTGTCTCTTATAATAAACATTAATAGCGCAAGGCAATGTTATAATAAACCTTACTAAAACGTGTAAATAACTATTGTTATCTCTTGTGCTGATTTAACTTTGAACTTGAATAAGGTTTGTTACACAAACAGTTATTGTGTAGTGACAGAATCATTGGAATAATGGCTAAAATGCTTTTTTAGTAGATTGTAGTTTGGTATTTTGCACAAGTATTTGGGCAAACAATGGTTACCTTTTGTCGTATCTTGAGAAAAAGTGTGGATTTTAAAGACTTTTGAATAGTTCTTGATAGTTTAGGCTTTGTAGGATTAGGCTTAACAGATTTTGGATTGTTAGACTTAGGCTTGGTAGGGTTTTGCTTAGTAATCTTAGACATATTAAATTTGAGCTTCATTGTTTTGGGATTAGCAGGCCAAGATTTATCAGGTTTAGGCTTAGTAGATTCAGCCTTATGAGGTTAAACTCAAAAACTTTTGGCTTAGTAATCTTAGACTTATTACGTTTAGGTTTAGTACCGTTAGCTTCAGTACGCGTGCTCTATTCTTGCTTATTATACTTAAGTTAGGCAGGGTTTGGCTTACACTTGTTAGCAGCTCAGGCTTATAGTTACAAGACTATGCCTAAGATTTGGTAGAGCTTGGTAGACTAAAAGAATTTTTTTTTCAATTTAAAAACAAACTTTACGAAACTAGTGTTAACTTACAAATCGAAGGTGAGTAATATAACCTACTTCTTTAAATCAACGCGTAGCAATATGGGAAGTTATAACATGACGCGCATAAAAAATTGTTTTTATTACAACTTTTATAAAATTTAAACAAAATTTTTTAAGTTTAACTAAGTGGAGGAGCATGTTGTAAACGGTCTAGAAGCTGTTTTTGTTTTATAATATTTGGCTGTTTAGCAAGGTGTGGCTTAATAGGCTTAGGTTTAGTAGACATAGCCTGTTGGCTTAGGCTTAGTAGGCTTGGACTTAGTAGTTTCAGGTTTACTAGATGTATAATTTTTAGAATAAAAGACAGTTCACGCTTAATTACATTAATACAGTCTCGACATATCACGTTATCAATAGATCAATACGCAACAATCTGGTGTGTTTTAAAAAAGATGAAACATTCGTCTGCTGACAAGTTTTAAACTGTTCAAAGTAGTAGGGAACGTACAAGTGTTTGTCACAAAATTGAATAGAAAAACGGTCTCGTTGGTTCAGAAGGATAAAATTGAATTAAACATGAATAAAATAACAATACAATAGGTTTAAAAGGCTAAAAACGTTGAAAAATTACTTTTTAAAATACGGAAAAAAAACTATTTTAAATTTTTGAAATTTTGAAATTAAAAGTCGAAATTTATGGCAAAAAAATTAAATTATGACCCCTACCCTAAAACTACAAGCCTAAAGGCGCATAATAATAACCCAAAGAAGCAAGTAAAGTTGCATGAAGATACTACAAACAAGGTCAAAAAGCAAAGTCGGACCATTTCAAAACCACCCACAAATAGCCGGCTCAAAGCGATTACAAAACCTAAAATAGATTATTTTACAAAGGCAGTAAAGTAACCGACAAAAAACAGTGTAAGGCATTTTGAAAGAAACTATAAAGTAATTGAAAAAGAAGGAAAACCATCGGTCATAATGAGCATGTGAGTAATTGATTGTTTCTTGGAAAGTTACAGTAGAAAACGCTTGAAAATTTAGAAGAGACAAACTCTTGAAGGCTTAGCTTTGCGGTAGTAGCATTAAGATTGGGTTATGAGGCTTAGGTCTATTTTAGTCTTAGCTTAGGCTTAGCTTAGGCTTAGCTTAGGCTTAGCTTAGGCTTAGCTTAGGCTTAGCTTAGGCTTAGCTTAGGCTTAGCTTAGGCTTAGCTTAGGCTTAGCTTAGGCTTAGCTTAGACTTAGCTTAGGCTTAGCTTAGGCTTAGCTTGCTTAATAAGCCTAGTATTAGTCGGCTGAGGCGTAGGCTTGGTGAGGCTGGCCTTCTGCTCAGATAATTAGGCTCAGGCGTAGGCAGTTTTGTTTTGTAGGCTTTTGTACTGCTAAAGTAACTATTGAAAACAAAAAAAAACTAATTTTTATAACAAAGAAAACGCTTGTTTTGTAAGTAGCGGCTTTAAATAAGACTTTTGTTGCGTATGCTTTCACTAAACCGCCTTTTATTTCAACAGGAGCGAAAGTAATTTTACTACAACGATGAGCTGCAAGCATGAGCTATTCGTGATTTATCAAACCTCTCCTCACAGCACATTGTAGATAATTACTTGAATTGATAAGTTGGTCTTTGTAGGTTAGTAACATAGGTCTATATATATGGCTATAGGGTAGAGATATAGAATGATACTGGTACTGTACAGGCTGTGACAGAGGAGCGGTTAAGATAGATGTAAAATGGAAATATTAACAATAAAATTTGTGATATAAACCTTGTAGTAGCATAGTATAAAGATACTCGAAGTAAGATTGATAAAATATAGTGGAACAAATTAGAAAAAATATTTTACTGTACTGGGAAAACCCTTAACGTAGTACATGCTCAACACAATATCAAGGTTACCCGCTTTTGTTTACTATGCGAGAAATCTTTAAAGACGTTTGTTTTCTACGGTAACAAAAAAAGTTTTTTGTTGAACTTACCACGTCACAGTCAAAATATCAACATCGTACGGCGGTTAATTATATTTTTAAATTTTTAACAATTGACATAAACAAGTAATGGGGTTGCCCTTATTTTGAACAGATAATTACTATAAAAAACGTTGTGAAAGATGGGGGTGGTAAATACAGGTGCCTTTGGCGAACTGTGATTAGGACTGATTAGTGGCGAAATAGGGTTGCCAGGCTTTGTTTTAGGTTTAGGCATAGGCACGGTTTTTATTTAATAGGTTTGAGCTTAATGGAATTGGGCAGATTGAGGCTTAGCAAACTGAGGCTTAGTAGGCTTATGTTTGGTAAGCCTAGGATTAGTAGAGTTGGGCCAGTAGGCTTATATTTAGTAAGCAGAATTTAAGCAGACTTAGTCTTATGCTTAGAGACTGTGGCTGCGCTATGTTGATTTCAAAGATCAAGTTCATTTTAAAATTACCGCCAATTTCTTGTAAACACTTGAGAAAAAAGACGTGAACAATTTTGTAACAGTTCAATTTGAAAACAAATATACAACTTCAAGCTTTGCTAATGGCTTTTTGAGCACTTATACCACACACATGTTCTAAGCGTTTTGCTTGTAAAACGATCTTTACAATAAAATTTAAAAACTTATTACCTACAAACTGTTAAACATTAAAATACTAAGATAATTTTGTAAATATCTTAATTCAAATCAGAAAGACGAAAACAGTGTCTTCTTCTGATTATCAAAAAACGATTTTTTTCAAATGAAGTCAAAACTGTTAATTGACGAATAAAACCCGTTATCATTTGAATAATAAACTTTTTGATGGATTTGTTTAGATCAAAGTTTGTTTGTCTTGTGAATTTGGTCTTATCAGTTCATCGTTGCACGATCATAGTTTACTCAACTGATCAATGGCATTATGACTTGGTTCTCGGATGACGGTAGTAATAAGGTGTGATCATGTGGGGTGGGTTTGTTTGAGGTTGTCTGGCCGTTTTTTAGAATAGAGAAATATAATTAATTATGCATGAGGCTTCGGCTTTGGATGATCAAAACTTAGCCTTCGGTTTAGGTTGGCGTAATGATTGTAGGCTTATTTTTAGGTATAGGCTGAGACTTGTGCGTGGGCTTCTACTTGGGCTTATGTTTAGTTTTAGGCTTATGCAGGGACGTCGTTTGGGGGTTCGGGGTGACTCCCTCTCCCCCCCAGAGCCGATCCGAAAAAAATCCAGAGGTAAGGTACCTGTACGTGAAAAAACGAAAAAAAAACATTTTTTTGAGTCTCCACCCCCAGAGAAAAACCGTAGCGACGTCCTTGGGCTTATGCTTAGATTTGTGTTTAGGCTTATTCTGTGGCTTATGCTTGGGCTCATAGTCAGGCTTAGGTTGAGGCTTAGGCCTAGGATTAGGCTTTGGCTTAAACTTATGTTTACATTACTCAAGCGTAAGCTCATGACTAGCTTTTCCTGTACGATGGTGCTTGGGAGGCTGACTTTATTAAAGGGGAGCCTTAATAAATCCCAGTCTTCTAGACCTTGGTTGTGGTTTTGACCTTTCGATCAGGCTTAGCTCTCTTAGTCTTAGCGGGCTAAACGTTTTTAAAATTCATTTTATTTTTAGTTTTTTTGTCATCACATTTGAGCTTTAAACTTTGAGTTTTGACGTAAATACCAAATCTAAGGCTCTAAGCCTAAATCTACTAAGCATGTGTCTACTAAACCAAGTCTAAAACCTTGACGGCTTTATAGGGCGACCCATATTAAGCTTTACACTAATCCTAACTAAGACTAAAATTTTAACATTTATATTGCCTTTAGCTATTTTAAGACGATATTTAGTTCTTTTACGTCATTATATTTTTTTCCACCCTTTAATTTTTTTTAAATTCTCAAACTGATTATCAGAAAAGCGATATCTTTGAAAAAATTGACCTATTGTTATCGTTAAACATTTGTTAAATAATTTTAATGTCTCCTGTTTTTGATGACGCTTTAAGTGCACACCATTTTATGCCGGTTATAAAACTTATCGTGCAAAAGAATTGTCAACAAGACCATTTTTGATTGAATTGAGCTCTCATGAGCCCGATCAATAACACTGTTACACCCTCACCTGCCTACAACCTATTTTCACAACCAATCCATCATTCTGAACGTTCCTGAACAGTGAAGAATGCGCAGAGTTTTGCCAAACGTTCTACAGTAATCACTGTAAAAGTTTTAAGAGATTCATGATTTGTCCATCTTTAGGTTTAAAAGGGATGTAAGACCCCCTTCCGCTTATAAATTTTAAGGCCTAACCTAAATTATAAAAAAAACTGGGCCTGTCCAACTTTTTCTATCAAGCCTAGTCGCTTTAAAATTTGCTTCGTCTCGGCCAGAGTAGTTTAATATAGACAAGTGCGATCGTAAAACGCTAAACCAGGAAAAACATATTGTACTTTCTACGTCATCAGCTAACAATAACAGCAAAAAACAACTCATGAACGTCGCTCAGAAATTCCCTAACAATTTCAAAGTATTTAGAAATCGTGAAGTTATTTCAATATATATTTACCTATGATTCTAGTTTTAAATAGGCATAAAATAAATTTGAACTTTTCAAAGGAGCCTATTATACTAAGAACTGTCTCAAATATAGTTCTTTATAATAATATTAGGCGTGTTTTAGCTTGTTTTGTAGTTCTAATGCGATGAAGAACAAAAAAATTGCATTTTAACAATGAAATACAGCAAAATCATACAGATATGACAATGAAAAAAACATAAAATGAATTTAAAAATGGAAAAAAGATTTTAAAAAATTTTTTGAAAATTAACATGTTAAAAAATCTTCAAAAAATCATGATTTAGCACCTTGAACCATAAATTACAGTTTGAATTGTTGATGTCCGTTACATTTTCTGGGTTTGTCGTGGTTTGAGTGGCGTTTTTCATTGACAATCTTATTGCAAATTTGTCGTCGCCAGCCTTGTTAACTCGATTATTGGAAAAAGAAGTCGAAACGATGGAACCTGATCTCTCGTTTTAATGGTTTTACTGTAGTTTTATTAGACATAGGTTAGTTGTTCCTAGTAGTTTTATGCTTAGTAGGTTATGGCTTTGTATTATTAGGTTTAGTAACTATAGGCTTAGTGTTAGGCTAAGTAAGCTTAGGTTCATCAGGATTATGCTTATTAATCGCATGCCTACTATGCTCCGACTTAGTAGACTTAGGCTTCCCGGGCTTCGGCTTAGAATTAGCATTTTTGGTCTGAAATATAGTACTAATTACATTAGTGGGTTATACTAGCATTGGAGACTTAACCTAAAAGCTAAGTTTAGTTGTGTTAGGATTTTGTTTAATTAGCAGCGTTACAGTATAATCTTTGGTTTTGTGTTGATTGCAGTATTCAAAACAATAATTTATACACAAAAGTAAAACAAAAATACACTGTATAATAGCATCAAAAATACACACTTGTATCAATACAAAGGTCTATATTATTATCATACACTACTATCAGAAGCCTTCTTTTCACCGAAAGCAATAGCAGCACTAGTGCACGGTGAATCACAGTAAAACATGGCATGTTGTTCATTCACATTTTCAATTTTTTCGTTTTGAAGCACGGTAGCCGTTTCTGCTGTTTTCTTGGCCGATTCATCGATGGCTTCAGTCTTGGCCACAAACTTTGGGTCGATTATGGCCACGGCGGTTGGTGTGACTAAAGATACCGGTATCTCATAGTAGTCGACGTTCTTCACTCCAACCGAAGTCTTTGTAGCTTCCCCTGGATGTAGAGATGGTCGTTTGAGTTCCATCCATTGGGTGGAACGACGACCCGGCTCCATTCGTCGTGAGGTTGTGGGTGAGAGCGGAGGTTCGTCCTCGGATATGTTGAACTTGACTTGTTGGCGAGAAGAGGGATTCTGAAGATTACATAATGGCTTTTGTTTTTTCTATGCTTTTGTAAGGTCTAGGTAGGGTTCTAGAAGCTATTGTAAGGTCTAGCGATCATTTCAGAACGTTGCATAAGGTCTAATGAGGAGCCGAGGAGGTATTATCAGGCTTATCGAGGATTTTAGGTAGTCAGGATATAGCTCAATGTTTCTTACTACTTACCGGTTGAGTTCTTTTCGGAGTTTGATATTCCACGTCGGATTCAGAGAAGTTTTCGTTGGAATAGGCTGATTTCCATCTTTTACTGATCTTTCTGATATCTGTTGCAACTGTATCCTTTTTTTCTAAAAGTTTTTAAGGTAGGGTAGAGTCAGATAGGGTAGGGTAGGATAGAATTCATAAACATTATAGTACGCTCACTTACGTCTTGTTTTGTTGACAATCTCACTTTTATGTCGTATGAGTCGAGCCCACCATTGGGTCATGGTTGGTCGATTTTCGGTTTTAAAGCAGAAAATAATGCATTCCAAACAATTTCCGGCACAACAAAAACAACACCAGCAACCGAAACAAAATGATAAAGCGAAAAAACCCAAAAAATGCTTGGAGGTTCTGACGAGTGTCTCCTGAAAAAAACACTGTAGTTTTTCTTACTGTATTTAAATTTTTTTTAAATTTTTTTTTATTTTAGAATTAAAAAAAAATATTTTATTTGAAATTTTAAGGTTTCTGAAAAATGATGAAAATATGGTAGGGCAGGGTAAATTATAGGCAGATATAAATAAAAATTTTTACCTTGAAACAACGGTTCACCAAATTCATCACTAGCGTCCAATAAGACTCTTAATACTATGAAGATGCACAAGTTCAGGCTACAAATCTAAAAAAAAATGTAAAATACGTCATATGGAATTTTACGCAAATTAACAGGGCAAGAAGTGTATAGAAAGTAAACTTTTTAGTTTTATTTGGTAGGTTAGGGTAAGGTACTGTAAGGTAAGGGAGAATAGAGTAGGACAGGGAGGATAGGATTGTGTAGGGTATGGAGGAGTAGGGGTATGATAGGACATGGCATAACAAGGCAAGGCAAGAAAAGGCAAGGCACAGGCAAGGCGAGGTAGAAAAAATTAGGGCGGGATAGAAAAACTTACAGTAATGATAATGCCAATAGTCCATCCCCAATCCTTGGGCTTTCCTGGCTCGGATTCATCAAACATTGATGAAATCGGGCAGGGTAAAATACGGCACCTAAACAGTGGAGGAAATTAAAGTAAATTACATGAATATTAGAATTTAGTTTAGAAATACAATTTCTGGTACTATATAGTAGTGAAGTAGCACTAGTATCAAGGTCTTGTAGAAAATTTTTAATAATTTTAAGTATGGTGCAGTACGATATAGTAATAACGCAAAAAAGATGATTGCAGTATTATTTATATAATACTCACTTCAGTACAATACAACTCAGCACCTCTGTAAAACTAGCTCGAAAAGTCAAAATTAAACAAAAAATGATCCAAAAGCAAGATAAAACGAAAATATTTAAAAATCCAAGTGGAATTATTAGTGATATTACTGGTTTTGAGCAGTTTAAACAAGCCACGATAATTTTATGCAAAACCCGGTCGTTTGGTTTCTGCTTTTCCCAAGTGGCCTCAACTCACATTTGGCTGTCTTTACGACGAAAAAACAAAGCAAAACTTGAAAAATTACGTGAGATTAGGGCGGCCAAGGTAAAAGGGGAAAGCTTGAGGAGAAAATTTAGTCTTAGGTTTAGGCTTAGGCTATGGCTTAAGCTTTGGCTTAGGTTCAGGCCTAGGTTCAGGCTTAGGTTTAGCTTTAGTCTCAGGCTTTGCCTTGGGCTAAAGGTTAAGATTTAGAATTAAACTGAAAATTATGTTTTTGTTTTGGCTTCAGTTTAGGCGCAAGTTTAGTTCTAGGCTTCATCTCTTGCTTCGTCTTAATTTTAGGTTCAAGCTTAACCTTTTGCTTAGTCTAATGCATAGACTGGGGCTGTGGCTTAAGCATATGCTGTGGTTTTAAATGTTTGCTATCATTTTGGACTAGGTTTTGGCAAAGGTTTGATTAGGCCAACAGTAGGCATACAACTAAAAAAATAAAAAAAATATTATTTTTGGAACAAAAAAGGCTGAAAAACTCAAGCTTGGCATAGAATTTACATTTTACATAAAGTATAACATAAAACATAAGCACAAAAACAATATAAAAATTATTTATTTTATGTTCTTTTTGATCAACTTGAAATTTTTAAATTTTTTTTTTAATTTTATGTGCTATTTTTGCAGACTTCACAGTAATGAAAGCAGTGAACACGGTGAATACGGATCTGGTCAACAACTTGGGTAATTTACTGTCAAGATCAACAGCAAATTCATTGAATCCGAAGCAAAGGTACCCCAGTTTTGATATTGAAGTAATGGAACATGAACTCAAAGCTACCGGAGAGAAAATGGCAATGCAGCTGAAGACGTTGAGGGGTATGTTTACTACATTTTATTTCAAAACTTTATTGTTTCTGGCTTTAAATCTGAAAGAAATAGCTAATTGTTAGATTTGATGGAGATTTGAGGAAAAAACTGTTTTTTACTGGTTTTTGATCAAACTTTAGTGGAATATAGTGTAAAATGGATTTAAAAATAGTTTTAAAATGTTTTTTTTGTTATAAAAAGATATAAAAATAAAGTTATATTACAAGAAAATAGGTAAAAACATCAAAAAAAGGTTCTGGAGGTATGGGGAATTGAACCCCAGCCCTCTCGCATGCTAAGCGAGCGCTCTACCCCTGAGCTATACCCCCGCACGTTCTTTCTCCCTTCTTTTTCGGATTTGTTCTTTCGAGTGATTTTTATCGCTATTTCGCTGGTTTTTGAACATTTTTTCGTGTATTTACGTTGTTTTAGGTAATAAAATTAATTAAAAATGGTTTTTATATTATCCACGATATATAAAATTATAGGTGTTGTCAAAAATTCTTGGCTTTTTAAGGTTTTTGAGCGGTTTTTAGTGATTTTTTGACCATTTTTTAGTAATTTTGTAGTGTTTTTACCTTATTTAGGTAATAAAAAGTTACGAAAATTCTTTTTATATTATCTACATTATCTAAATTTAAACAGACTATAAAAAAATGTTTAAAAATTAATTTCTAGACCGTGTATCAGAGAACTACGACAAAATGAGGTTCTACAAAGGCCTCGAACTGATTGCTGAAGCAGGTAATAATGCGAATGTCTTCTTCCAACTTCACAAACCATGGTTAATGAAAGGCTTGGAACTTCAGACGGTTTTGTATTTGATTTACGAGACTTCAAGGATCTGTAGTTTGATGTTACAGCCAATTGTGCCTGGTTATGCTGATCGGAGTTTGAAGCGGTAAGGAGTGATGACTTTATGAGATTTTCTGTGGTAAAAGTGTGGCGTTTTGGATTGTGTATGGCATTTTAAGATTTTCTATGGCGTTTTGTATTGTTATTGACCGAATTATTTGAAAAAAAAAATTTATGAATTTTAGTTTTTTTTTTTAAATTTTTTTTTGAAATTTAAAATTTTGTTTTGAAATTTTGAATTTTTTTTTTGAAATTTTAAAATTTTTTTTGAATTTTTATTAAATTTTAAATTTTTTTCAAAATTTTGAATTTTTTTTAAAATGTTAACTTTTGCCATTTCCATTGATACCTAACCCTCTCTTTTTTCAGTCTAGGAATACCTAAAGAAGAACGAAGCTTAGAGACTGCCATTTTGGGCGGTGGACCGAATATGAAGCTGGTTGGAAGACAAATGGGCGATCAAAAGATCAAAAGCATGCAGAGAATTGAGTATAACTCACCTAAATCATAATGTTTTGACAAACTTTGTTATTCTTAGGATATTTTTGGGTAGGAAGTTAGCTTTGTTATTTGTTAATAAAGGGATATTTTGAAAAAATTTAATTTTTGAAAATTTAAAAGTGCATGAAATTATCAATTTTATTGTACAGTATATGGTAGGTTTCGAGGCTGAAAAAGGCAGGATAGGGTAAAGGTACAATAATAATATTTTTTGGCTGGGGTAAGACAAATATAAGATTAAGAAACCTTTGGGTAGGAGATGGCTGATGTAAAGTATAAAAATTTTGAATTTTAAGCTAGGGCAGGAGTTGGACCTAGCACGAGCGCACCATTATGGTCTCGCCACGACAACGAACAGATCCGAATCAGGGTAGGTTTGAGCATACCGGTCTGAGGTAGGATAGGGATACTAGAGTGGGGAACGTAAGGTAGAGAAATAAGGCTAGACTGGATCTGGGTAGACCAGCGTATGCGTATGGTAGGGTAGGGTAGGGTAGAGTAGGGTAGAGTAGGGTAGGGTAGGGTAGGGTAGGGTAGGGTAGGGTAGGGTAGGGTAGGGTAGGGTAGGGTAGGGTAGGGTAGGGTAGGGTAGGGTAAGGTAGGATTTTTTTATTGTTCACCTAGACTTACGTTAGACAATAGATCAAAATCAGGTGAGAAATGAAGATTGGGAACGCGTAAAAAATGGACACAGCTGATGCGATGGATAATATCTAGGCGGGTGATCTGGAGGTTTTCGAGACAACTTTTGGAACAATTTAATGTTTTCTTGGTTTATTTTGGGTCAAAAATAAGGTTTTTGGGGTTTTTCTATGAAAAATGGAAGCTTTGGAGAATTTTGAAAAATCGACCGGTAGAACTTTTTTAAAAAGTTTAGGCAAAGTTTTGGGTAAAATATGGTTTTAGTAGATTGGATAAGCCTAAAAAACTGTTTTTATTTTTAATTTTGTACGTAACTTGAATATAAAATTATCGACCGGTCGAAATATTACTTCTTGATTTTTAGGTAAAATTTTGATAAAATATGGTTTTAAATAGTGAGATAAACCTAAAAAATTGTTTTTTAATTACCTTGTTTAGCAAAAATTGAATATAAAATTATCGACCGGTCGAAATTTTTTTTTGTGTTTTAGGTAACATTTTAGATAAAATATAGTTTTAGATAGTTAGATAAACCTAAAAAATTATTTTTTGTTACTTTTTATACACAAATTGAATATAAAATTATCGACTGGTCGAAATTCTTTTTTGATTTTTAAATAATATTTTTGTCATATGTCCTAGAACATGTCATCTGACCCTCACTGGTCACTTGTGTTTGTGTTACAATTGCGTAATTGTTGTCTCCACCATTAATTGCACTCCAATGTAAACACAACGGGTTGGTGGTCGCAAAAACGTCTGCGGAACACCGCTTTTGGTTTTGTATCAATCTGATCGATATAAGCAATTGGTTTTTCGTTCGTTTTTGTTAAGTTTGGCTAATGGTTTGGGGAAAAAAATTTTTAAGCAATATTTTAAGAAGGGGTAGGGAAAAAAAGAGGGGGGGGGGAGAGGGGAGAAAGAAAAGAGAGGAGGGGAAAATGGGAAGGGGGGGGAGGGAGAAAGTAAGAGGGAAGCGAGGGGGGGGGGAGAAGAAAAGGTTTAAATAGGAGTAAAAAAAATTTTTAAAAAAGAAAGATTTGAGCTTTTTTGTTTTAAAAGGCTATGTTTATATAAACAAATAATTGATTTTAATTGAAAACGTTTGAACTAAGCTTAATCTAGGTCAGAAATTTTATTTATATTGACTTAGCTAAATATTTTAATTTTTGTTTTTTCGAATAAAATTTTTTACTTTTCAGAAGACTAACTAAAGTAGGCTTAAAAATTTTTTTTTATTTTAAAAATTTTTTGATGGCTTAAGCGTTTTCCTTAGCCTAATTTGTAAGTCTAAGAACTAGCTTTAACATTAACTTGAAACTTAGCTCTAGCTCTGTTTTCAGCGTAAGCTTTAGTTCTAGCCCTAGCCTTAGCTTCAGCCCTAGCTTTAGCCCTAGCCCTAAAACTAGTTCTAACTGTAGCCCTAGGATAAGCCTTACTTTTAGCCTTAGCTTGTTTTTTTTTTATTTATAGTCTTAGCGGTGACCTAGTTTTAGCTCTAACTTAACCCTTGATTTTAGTCTTAGCTCTAGCCGACGTTTTAGCTGTAATTTAAGTTTTAATTTGGCATTATCTTAACTTTTTTTGTCATGCCTATGAAATTGCAATTATGAATGTAACCATTAATTAATTAATCCTTTTATCAAAGCGTTAAGCCTTCAAAACTTTGAAGTGCATTATTGTCTGCATTTTAAAATAATCCAACAATTGAAATGGCTAATTTTGTCGCGGAAAAGTGGCGGATTAGGAAAGAAAAAAGATAATTTAAGAAAGGTTCTGCATTTCAGCAAGTTTGTGATAAGAGTATTTGCATAGTCGAAGGAATGTTTTTATAATAGTGGCAACAATGTGTAGGGGTTATATAAGGAAATTAGCTTTGTTACTTTAACAAAGTTTCGTTCATTTTACGGCGGCTGCTTTTTACATTTTAGTTTTTTTTATTTTCATTTAGTATTGTAGCTAAATAATTCAAGAAAATTGATTGATAAGGCTGAGGCGGAACTTAAACCTAAGGCTAGGGGCTATGTGTAGAGCTAAGACTAAGGACTACGTCTATGATAGCAGAAGTAAAAAATTTAACTGATAAGCAAACAATGGCTTGTAGTTTGTATTTTAGAAACACTTTTGAAGAGTTGGGAGGGGTACTGTTACAAATATATTTTTATGGGTAGGGGGAGGGGGGAGGAAGGCAAGTATGATTCAATTTCTATACATATATCAAGTATGTTCTATACTGTTTTGGGGTTTAAAAAAACAAAAAAACCATGAAAACAATAGGGTTCAATAATGACTTGACCTTTTATATTGTACTGCGTTTTATGAATAATCTGGTCAAATTTCAACATTTTTGTCTTTTTATTTTCATTTTTTAACCAAAATTTTAATTTTTTTGTTTTTTTCCTTGTAATTGATTGCTAATTCTTAGCTTAACCTTACTTAGTACTATCTGTACTATATGAATCTTAGTCTTTTTAGGCCTAGCTTAGTACTACTATAGTAGTAGATACCTTAGTTTAACTAAGGCTAAGATTTAGTACTATTTCTTGAAGTCCTATCATACACTTACTAAGCCTATTTTAGTCCTATCCAGATAGTCTTGCCTTAGTTTTGCAAGTTTTACTCTAGTACTTGCTTAGTAGTCTTACTTTAGTCTAACTAGGCCTATCTTAGTACGACCCTATTAGTTCTGCTTTAGTCTTACTAGGCTTATCTTAGTATTACTATAAAGGGCGCAAACTCCCAGAAAAACATTTTCGAAAAAGTTGAGTGTGTCCCCCCTCCCCCGCCCCGATGGATTTTTTTGACTTCCGCTCCCAGACCAAAAGTTTCTGCCCGGCCCTGACTATAACAGTCTTACTTCAGGTTTACTAGGCCTAGCATCTATTTTTTTTAAATAACTGATTTTTCAACACAATTTATTTTATATACCTTGTGACATTCGAAGCATAATTGCTTTTTGTGTTTGGAAAAAATGTGAGTGACAAGAACTTAATTTTATAATAAGGTTGATATGCTTATCAATATAAATAACAATATTCTTAGTTTAACCGTTGTGATAATAGGCTTTAATTTTGCAATTCTTAGAAACAAAAGGGCTGTCAAAAAGGCTAAATTTTAGAAGAAAACTCTATATTATGTTAAGTTTAAGGGCTTCAAAATAAAATTTATTAACTTTTTTTGAAACTTTATGGTAACATCTACCTAGCACGATATAATCAGTAGATTTTACTTTACGAAAACAGCTTTTACAACATAGTTTGACCCTAAACAACGGTCGATAAAAAGGCATTTTGCCAAACCTTACCATAAAAAGCTGTTTTTTAGTAATGTGTATAACTATATCATAGTAAAATACTCTTTTACTTTTTACATTTGTACAACAACAACTATATAAACGTGTTTCGTATCTTATTTTCTATAACATAATTTAATTTCAGGTCCCCTTAAACTTGCAAAAGCATCAAAAATGAGGTGGATATGGCTGCCATTGTTGGCAGTAGTTGGCTTGGCGGCTAAACTAGATGGAAGGTACGATGTATTTCTGACTGATTTATATAAATCTGACCAGAATGCAGCTAGAAGTCTGAATATTGTAGATTCAAAGAACTTTATCGTCAACGAACTGCCTCTGGAAACAACTTCAAGCAGCTACGTGGCTTTGGAGAACTTGATGGTAAGGGTACTGTAGTTTTTTTAGAGTAATTTTTTGGGAAAAAGTTTAGTAAAATGGCATTTCAGGAATCCAGAAACTTCAACGGCTACTTTGACTTTTTGAAAAATACTGATTTATACGAAAAAATGGTGAATGAACTCATGAAGACCAAGAACTTGACCCCCGGAAACATTCAAAAAATGGTTAAAAACATGTGGAGTGACTATTTTAGAAACGGTAAGTATTCTACTCTATCCTACCCTATTCTACCCTACCTTACCCTACTCTACCCTACCTTATCCTACCCTACCCTACCCTACCCTACCCTACCCTACCCTACCCTACCCTACCCTACCCTACCCTACCCTACCCTACCCTACCCTACCCTACCCTACCCTACCCTACCCTACCCTACCCTACCCTACCCTACCCTACCCTACCCTACCCTACCCTACCCTACCCTACCCTACCCTACCCTATCCTATCCTACCCTACCCTACCCTACCCTACTTTACCCTACCCTACCCAAACCTTCTTTTACTCTACTGTTCTTTGCTCTATTGTACCTACCTTATTCTTATTTGACCTTATTCTTGCCTTGCTTCAAGCTTATATTTCTTTACTGTATTCTTCTCTACCCTTACTGTATCTTCATTTATCTTCACCATATCTTGTTCTATCTTACTTTTTCCTGATTTACCTACAATTTTAACACTATCTCTGCCTTTCGTCTTTTAAAATTACATTTTAATTTTGCTTTAACTTATCATGGCCTACTGTATTTTTATATAAAATTTATTTTAACTTACAAGTTTTAAAAATTTATTTTTAATTTAATTTTAAATAATTTAGAATCCAACGCTTTCAAGAACTGGTATGGTGTATATCTGGAACAGAAAAATGGAAATTTGGTTGAAACTGTAAACAAAGTGGTTGATCAGGTAAAAAATTTTTTAATTTATAAGATTCCTTTCCTGTTTGATTGTCACTTAAGTGATTTTTAAATTTTGTAAAAACTACAATAAATTGCTAGTTAAATTTTTGTTTTTACTTTTGTTACAGTAGTTTTAACATAATATTTTGTTTTCTATGATGTTACAGTAATCCTACAGCTCTAAAATAAGTTACAGTAATCAAACCGCTCAAAAACTTCAGTATCTTAAGCTTCAAATTCTTTTAGAACGGTGTCTACGCTGGCTGGTTCAAAACCTCTGAGGGTACAATTGTAAAGCGCACTTTCTTCCACGGTACGAGCCCTGAGTTCGACATCATTGCCTTCACCATGTGCGCGCTAGAAACAAAGCGCGGCCAAGAAAACAAACGATGTGGATTCGCGATTGACGGTGCGCCAGTAGCTGTATTTGTATCTACTAAACACGTTCGTGATGTAGTTACTGTGGTTACGGCCGAACCAAGACGCGTTTTTCAGCTACAGGCTGAGAAGGATGAAAGTAAGATCATGAAGACCAAGAAGCCAAATAAGGATGACTCTTTCCAAAAGTTTGTGGACAGAATGTGGGCTGCTGATGTTGATAGAGCCAAGCCTACGGATGTAAGTCTGAATTGGCAGCAAAAGGTTGGGAAGAACCATGGAAACTTGAAACCGTAAGTTTAGATTACTTGTGTAGCTCTAGCTCTAGCTCTAGCTTTAGCTCTAGCTCTAGCTCTAGCTCTAGCTCTAGCTCTAGCTCTAGCTCTAGCTCTAGCTTTAGCTCTAGCTCTAGCTTTAGCTCTAGCTCTAGTTCTAGCTCTAGCTCTAGCTCTAGCTCTAGTTCTAGCTCTAGCTCTTATTGTAGCACTTGCGTTAGCAATGGTTCAGGTTCTAGCTCTTTCGCTAGCTCCTACTGTAGCACTTGCGTTAGCAATGGTTCAGGTTCTAGCTCTTTCGCTAGCCTTAGATCTAGCTCTAACTAAAGTTCAAGCTCAATACCTAGCCTAGCTTTAGATTTATCTTATTGTTAAGCCTTTGCTTTAGCCTTAGTCTGACGTTTAGCTCTTGCTTAATTTTAAAACGAGCCTTGCCTTGCTATGCCTTACTCATGTCTAGAAATTTACATTACGTCCATATAGAATTGATTTTTTTGTTTTTTGTACTTTTTAACTTTATCTGCTTTAACTACTATGGCCATACGTCTTAGGTTTACAATAATTCTATCTGATCTTTTTTTGGTTTATTTTTAAGCTTCAATACATTCAACTAAATAAATTAACCTCATTTCAGTTTGTTTAACTACGTAAACGAAACAATCTTTAACGCTCCAGTTTACCAAGCCCTGTTCAATGTTTGGAACCACAAAATTTTTGAGCCAGCCGTCTGTAAAGAAGAACTACCAGTTGAAGGCCAAAAGAAGGCAGTGCTACAACGTTTTTTCCAAACTATGACAAACCACACCATCTTTAAAGTAGCACTAGAATACCTACAAGAAAAGGGTGTCTACAGTCCAGCCAAGCATGATCAGTTCATGGACCATCTCTTCTCTTTATGGTTCGGAGTCTACAGTAGATGTCACGCACCTTTGGGTAGTAGTGGCTTTGAACATGTCTTTGCTGGTGAGACCAAAGGTCGAGTTGTGGATGGTCACCACAACTGGGTCAGGTTCTATTTGGGCGAAAAGGCTGGTGACATTCAATACAAAGGATATTATGTATACGATGAAGGAATCATTGGTACGATACAGTACGACTGGCAAGGAGCTCACAAGCAAAAAGGCGGATTCTTCTTTTACACGTCTCCTGGTAGGTTTTGAAGAGGTAGAGGGGGGAAGGGAGTGAAAGGTAGAGGGTATAGTAGTGTAAAGTAAAGAACGGTAACTTTGGACAGACCAGCATGATGTAATGTAGTATAAGTAGGTTAATGTACATATTAGTAGGATAGCGTACTGTAGGTAAAGAAGGATAAGGTACGGTAGCGGGAAGTAGGTTAGGGTAGGGTAGGGTAGGGTAAAAAAATTTAATTTTTTTAATTTTTTAAAGCGGACGATTTACTGTAACTAATATTCAACTTTTCAGCCTTTGACTTCGCGGTCTACTCAAGTTGTGTCCTAACCCACACTGGCAATGAAGGTTGTCGCTTCAAGATCAACAACTATGATCTGTTTGTAACTTCATTCCAACAACGATGCAATAGCGGTTCATGCATATCAACATCGTATGCTGGAATCGTCGAATAAGCTTTTACTGTATACTGTAATTTAAGAAAAGTGCCATATTTAAAATAAACTCATGTTTTTTACATGAATAACCATTGTTTACTTCTTTTTACTGTGTTATACTTTTCAAAACTTTAGTTATTTACACATTTACGATCGTTGTTGCTTGGAACGATCGTCAAAAAGGTATAATGCATCTTCTTTTCTCACTTTTGTCACTTTCTTTTGAGCGGTTTTACTTAGAAAGAGGAGTTTTTTAGTTATAACATTTGTTTTTCAGCCCTACCCTACCCTACCCTACCCTACCCTACCCTACCCTACCCTACCCTACCCTACCCTACCCTACCCTACCCTACTCTACCCTACCCTACCCTACCCTATCTTGCTTTATCTTTCCCAACTTTCTATCTTACCTTACACTGCCTTATTTACTCTACCTTACACTAGCCCATACTTGAAAACAGACTCACTCACCCCAATCGGGCTCCGTGGCTGTGTCGTTCTAAAGCAAATTTAAAAATAGTCCGGAGTTTAGTCTAAATGGGATCGAAGCTTAATTAAACAAGGTCGTTCTGAAATATTTTGGCTTGAAGGTCAGTTTAATTCAAAAAATTTAAATCGGCGGGATGTTTTTACACGTATACCAAAACCTTACCGTTAGTTTCACTCTGGCCCCGTAGCGGTTAATATACCATTTACCTTAACTTTATGCTCTTCTACCTTACCGCACGCTACCAAAAATTTTACACGGTTCTATCATAATATATTTTACTCTCTTTATCATTCTTAAAAAATTTTAGAAAATGAAATTCATATCAATTCTACTACTCATATCACTTTTGATAACAATATCAACTGCGCTTCCAAATGTCAGAAACCTAGTCTACTTTAGCTCCGGAATTCGACCAACTCCAGACGCTTTGGATACTGTGTTTAGAGAGAAACGTCAACATGGCTTTGGAGGATTTGAGAATAGATTCAACGACAATCGACAGGAACGTGAGCACGGCCGAGTCAAGGCATTGAACCGAGAACATGAACTCGACTTTGTGCCTTTTCATCCATCTGGATAATGTGTCGATTAGTTTGTAATTTTTTGGTGTTTGATGATAGTTTTGTATATTTTAATAAATTTTTATAATGTTAGTGGTTAAATTAGTTATAGACTAGCCTTGACATTTTACATTAGTTATAGTCTTTTTGAATTATACTGGTAAATTAGCTCTACATTAACCGCAAGAGAGTCCTAAATAGGTCCTAAACTTCTTCATTTTTTGCCAACCTTATACATAGCCTAGCACTTTCCTAGCCTTTTCTTAGCTTTACCTTGATCTGTCCCTTGCGTTACTTTAAATTACCTTATTCTACGCTACATCAACCCTACTTTAATGTAATCTTAAGCCAGTCTCACCCTATTTCAAAAAACTTTATGAAGCTTACTGTAGCTTTCTTATGCTCTATCCTAGCTGCCCCTTTCCTAACTCAATCTTATTTTTCTTTTACCTCTTTTTTGGTTTAGCTCTATCCTTTTTTTATCCTAGGTCAACGTTTTCTCTTCTTTATTCTAACTTTACCCTTCCTCCACCTCAGCTCAATTCAAGCTTTACTTCTCTCAAGGCTCAGCTCTACTTTAGCTCTACCCTACTCCCAACTTAACACCTCCAGTCCCAATTTTTAGTGTTTAGTTCTAATCTAACCCTACCCTTCTTTTATACTAGCTCTACTTTCTCCAGCTAAGCCTTTCCCTAGACCAACCTTTTTTTCAACTCATATTATAATTATATATGCCCTAGTCTTACTTCTTCCTCAGCTAAGCTCAGCTCTTTCTTAACCCTACTGATGAGTCACTACTCTTTTAACATGTTTTTTGTAGCCGATCGTATTAGTCCTTTTTGCAAAAAACGTGGTGAATTTCAAAATAACTGTCAATGTTTATAAGCCATAACATGACATTTCGTATCCACATTTTTAATATACGAGGAAATTTTTAAAATACGAGGGTTTGTTTATATACTTTGGCCGTTGTATATAAACGCAGAGTGGCTATCAGACTAATGAGAATTCCAAAAACAACGTGATTTTTCTATTTTTGTTAAATTATCTACTATTATATTACTGTATTTAAAAGTTTAATTGTATACATTGTATTACTGTAAGCTATAAAATAAACTTTTAAAAATTTCAAAAAATCTTCAAAAACTTAAGTTGCTATGAAGTTGAATAGTGTTTTATTGATGACATTATTGATTGGATATATCACAGTAATATTAGCAGTGCCTCCACCGGCCGGCTTACTACGCCATGGCGGACGAGGCAACAGAGGAAGAGGAAAAAGAAGTCTGGACCAAATAATGTAAGATTTTTTAAACATATTATTTTTTTTATTTGTAGCCATTCTCATCTTGCCCTAGTTTTAGCTTTAGCATTTTGTTAATAATACTATAATCTATTCATGAATATAACTATAAACGTTAGAATATACTTACCTGATTTTAGTCAACCGCACATTATACCATTATCCAATTCTAAATAAATATCGACAGTGCTTACTTACAACATCATATTCCTAGTCATTCCAAAAACACTTCAACATATCGACATCAATTCACCCAACTGTTACAATACATACAATGTAGGCATTTATCCGTAGCCTCAACCTTTCTACTCTTCCCTACACTTCCCTCCCCTAAACGATTTCACATTTTTCTAAAATTACACTATATTTTGTTGTATATAAGGCAATTCACAATAAACAATGTATAAAACAAATTCGTTATTACCAGAGTTCTCAAATGTCAAGTATTTTCAGCTTCGGCTCCAGCTCCGGCTCCGTCTATTTTTAAATTTCAGCTCCGGCTCCAGCTCCGGAGCCCGTGAGAACGCTCGCCATTACATTTGTTAGACCAAAGCTAACTCAAAAAAAGACTTATTTGAACGTATAATATATTTTGTTATCTATAACCCAAACTTACAAAAAGTACTGTCGTTTACGTTGAGAAACTTGAAGATGATCTAGGTTTAAAACTAGGGTAACATAAATACCTCTAATGTCTTTTTTTATTATGTTTTAGCTCACGTAACAAAAGTCAGTACTACCCAAAGTACTCTGCTCCAATTGCAAGACTTTAGGTTCCTCACCACACTGTTACTCTTATCAACATACTAAGAATAGCCTCAGATATTAGGTGCCGACGTAAAGAACCAGCCATTTTTTACAGGAAATTACAGGCAAAGTATGGCGGGTTCTTTATGTCGGCACCTAATATTAAAAAAACTAGTAATCTATCTCTTGTCACGTTCTGTCATATTGTAGACGTATACAATAATAAAGCTAAATCACGATTCTATTAGAGTAAATCAGGTCGTCGCCAAGTAATATGTGTTGTATTTTGTAACTTGTGACCATTGCGCACTATTTTATCACTATTGCGTGGTGTTTTATCACTAAATAAAGGATCGAATTCGTTAAACACATTCATCGAACTTCCTTTGGCGTTAAAAATATAAGTATAAAAATCAGAAAGGTTTGGTCATAACGTAGATTTTCAACAGCATTAATATTGTAAAGTTAACTTTTTACTACAGTTTTTGTGATTTTTAGCGTTATTTAGTTAAAATTTCAGTTTGTTATACTAAACCAGAAGGTGTAAAATGAAACTTCTGACCGTGCTACTATGTTTGGTACTTGTCATTGCTTCGTCTGCTGAGTTACAGTAAGTTTTTTGTATTTTACTGCGTTTGAAGTATACTTATGTTTTTAAGTATACTGTACTGAAGTACTACTGACAAACTCAGAGACTGAAGCTATTTATATATAATATAAGAGAACTAGAACTAGAGCTAGAGCTAAGAAATAATTTTTTGTCTGAAAATTGTCATATTTTCAGCCTACGCTACAAACGCCAATACTACTACCCTCGCAGTAGTGTAGCCGTGAGCAAAACCTTCTACGGTCCTCGTCGTGACTTTACCGTTACTCGTTATGGATACTACGGGCGGTGATCAACAATACTAATGTCTTTCAAATATATTATAACTTACTGCCTGGTAACATTAACATATATCAAATAAAGACTGTACTTCAAAAGGTTGTATTTTTTACCCTACCCTACCCTACCCTACTTTACCCTACCCTGCCCTACCCTACCTTACCCTACCCTACCCTACCCTACCCTACCCTACCCTACCCTACCCTACCCTACCCTACCCTACCCTACCCTACCCTACCCTACCCTACCCTACCCTACCCCTACCCTACCCTACCCTACCCTACCCTACCCTACCCTACCCTACCCTACCCCTACCCAACCCTACCCTACCCTACCCTACCCTACCCTACCCTACCCTACCCTACCCTACCCTACCCTACCCTACCTTACCCTACCCTACCCTACCCTACCCTACCCTACCTTACTCTACCCTACTGCAAGATTCAAATTTCATATAAAATAGTTGAAATGCCTTAACTTGGTCGTCAAAGACTAATTTGTAGACAAAAGTTAAGTCGATTGTGAGGTCTGATTTACTTTACATTTAACCTTTAGCAATTGAAATGCACTTTTAAAAAAAACCTCATAAAAAGTTGATTTTTACAGCGGCTATAAAAGCAAAATTAACATTTCAATTGGCAGGTTAAGGTTAAGTTATCGTACTTTGATGGTAGGGTGTAAATGTTCAAATTGTGTTATGGTATTCACTATCAGTACTAGGCGGGGTAATTTTGTGTGCCTTGGGTAAGACAAAAGAAAGGGGGGGGGAGGAGGGAGGAAGAGGGAAGAGGAGGAAGAAAAAAAAAATTTTTTTAAATATTTTTAGGTATGACTGCTGTTAGGTTAGTTATTTTTAAAAACTTTTAAGTTAGTTGGGGGGGGGGGAAAAAAATTTTAAAGTAGGGATGGAAAAACTAAAACGTTTAACCGTATTTGGGTATGGCTGCTGACAGGCTAATAACTTTTTTCAAAAAAAAGTTTTTTTTGGGGTTGGGCGGGGTAAAAATTTTAATTTTGTAGGGGGGGGGTAGATAAGAAAAAAAACGCGTTAAATTTTTTAAACGCGGTAAAAAAAATTTCATAATGAGGGGGTGGAGTGGGTGAATTGGATTTGCTTTCTAAGGTAATATACTTTAAAATTTTTAAAAATTTTTATATTTTAGTTTTAAAAACCTTTTCAAAATTATGAATTAGCCCCAATACTGCCACCTTCTTCTATCGTTCATATTATACTACAGCTTTTGTAGCACTTGCTTTTCCCATTTTTGCTAAATATATTAAGATTCTCAAGTGTTTCTTGTTTTTCTAAAACACCAAGGACCATTCACACCAATTTTTGTAAATTTAACGCCTTAATTGCATGTTGAACCCAACGGTTTCAATTTGAGTTCAACCGTGTTACAATACTTTACTACTGGCTCTTACTATACTTAACTAATTGTTTAAAGAATTAACTGTTATCTATTGCCATAGCTAACTCTTGGCTAGTTCAATACGTAAAAATTCTATATAAAGATCAATTTTTTTGTACTAGTTTGCAGTAGTTTATCTATATTACAGCAGTTAAATATGGACTGCTTCCCTGCTGATGCAGATGGCAAAATCAGTGTCAAATGCCTGAGGTTTTATGAAACTGGAGAACCAAAAAAGGTAAAATTGTTTTAAAATTTACATTTCATACCTTTTAACTCATAGCTAGCCTTAACTTTTTCTTAGTTTTACCCTAGCTCTACCTCTTTGCTCTAGCCTTACTTTGTTAGACCTAGCTTTATCTGTAGCTCTAGCTCTAATTTCTTAGTCCTTACCTTAGTTTTGATCCCAGGCTTAGCCTCAGCTTATCCCCAGCTCTACCCTATCCCTAACACTAGCTCTGACCTTAGCATAAGCCCTAGCCTAATTTCTAGCGGTAGCGTTAGTGCTAGCAAAGACTAAGCTTCAACATTAGCTCAATTTCTGGTCCTAGCTTTAGCCCCAGCCTATATCTAGCCTAGCTTTACCTTAGAATTGATTTGCATTAATTTTGGTTTTTGCTTCAGCGCTTACATGTTATTTTTCTAGCCAAAATTTAATTTTTTATCGAATACATATTTTTATTCCAGGTCCTTCGTCTTGATCATGTAATGCTAAAAACCAGCTTGGAACCGAATGAAGTGTTGATAAAATACCAAGCAGCTACTATTCTACCAGCTCACATCAACATAATCGAAGGAACTTACGCTATAAAGCCGGTTTTGCCAGCGATTCCAGGCAATGAGGCTGTTGGAATTGTGGAAAAGGTAAGAATTTTAATTGAAACTTACATTACTGTGCCGAAAAAAACTTTTTTAATAGTACCAGTAGCCCTATTGACGTCCTATTTCAGTACAAAGTTATTTTTAGGCTAAACATTAGCCATTTTGGGTATATATCAGCCATTGGTATCTAATTACACTTTTTCAACTAATCCCTACCCTACCTACAAAAAAAATTCTAGATAGGATCATCAGTAAAAACCTTAGCACCATGCGACAAAGTGGTACCATTAAGCTCAAAAGGCGCTTGGACAGAGTATGAAGTTCAAAGAGAAGATAACTGTTTCAAAATCGACCCGTCGATTGATATTGGCACGGCTGCGACGTTCTTAAGTAATCCTATCACGGCTTGGAAAATGCTTCAAAACTATATAAAACTGGAGAAAGGAGACCTTGTCGTGCAGAACTTGGCCAATTCACATTGCGGACAGTCGGTGATTCAGATTGCTAAGGGTAAGGTAGGATAGGGTAGAGCTGGGATTGGGTAGGGTAGGGCTTGAGTTGGGCTGGGATGAGGTGTAGCATGTCAATCAGTATAATATGGATAACCAGGTAAAAGCAATTTACTTTATTGAGCACGGTAATGTATGTACGAGGTGTGATACTCTAGGGTAGAGTAGATTACAGTAAGACAGGGTAGATTACAGTAGGATAGGGTAGGGTAGGGTAGGGTAAGGTAGGGTAGGGTAGGGCAGGGTAGAGCACTTTATCAATTTTAAATCAAATTTTCCCCCTTTCAGCCCTAGGCTACAAAACTATAAACATAGTGCGAAATCGACCGCAAATCGACCAGTTGAAACGCGAACTTCGACAAATGGGTGCAGATTACGTTTATACGGAGGAAGAATTTGTCAATGTATCAAAGAATTTTCAAAAATATTTCAAAAGTCAACCTAAATTGGCATTAAATGGCACTGGAGGCAAGAGTTCGCTAGCTTTGGCTGGGTGTTTGGCCGAAAGTGGCCTTATGTTGGTTTATGGTAATTTTCATTCTATCATAAGGTTGAATTTTGTCATAAATACCATAAAAATAGTGTTTTAATCATAAAAAAAATTGATTTTAAAATTTTTTGCGATTTTGTTACCTAAAATCTTATTTTTTCAAATTTTAAGGTTTGTAAACAAAGTTTCTGCAATATTTTTCAAAAAAATGAAAGAATAGGTAATACCTTTCATAAATCACCAAATTTCAGGAGGAATGTCCAAACAACCTCACCAAATCCCAACCGCCGCTCTCCTATTCAAGAATATCCGGGTAGTTGGAGTGCCAGCCGGCTACTATTTAAGGCCTGAAAATAAAAAAGAACGGTTGGAAATCCTGGCCAAAATCCACGATCTGGCCATAAAAAGACAGTTGACTGGACCAAAGATGGAATTTGTGCCAATTGAACGGTTTATGGACGCAATTGATAAGACAATGTCCGGACGGAACTTGAAACAACTCTTGATTCTGGACCCGGTTATTGGGTCTAGACTGTAAATATTGGGTCTAGACTTTAAATTATGGTGTATATTAACCGTGGCTACTTGTCCTAGATTGTATTTTATCTTAATTATAAGTTAGAGCTATATAATTTGCCTTTTTTGGGAGTTTAATGCAGTATAAATATTATCCATGACAGTTTTTTCCAATTTTTTTGAAGAAAAAAGCTACTTTTGCAAACCTTTAATAAAATTAATGTTCTGAAAAATAGTATTATTAGTTTACTATCGTTTTTAGAACAATTTAAAAAAATAATGGCATCAAAATCTTCAAGGTATCAAATGTTTCGGCCACTTGAACCTTATAACAGAAAAAATAAAATTTGAAAATTTTTAGACAAAATTTCACCAATTTAAAATAACACAATTTTAAGTAATGTCAACAAAAGCATATTTTTAAAATTTCTCGTTTTTAGCATTCCCAGTTTTAAAGTTACTACAATTCAAAATTTTTGCGCGCGATATTATAGTAGATAACTTCTTTTAATCATAACTTTATGTTCTCCTGCTTTAATTATTTCAACCTTTGGTAAAATACGTAGAGACTTAATAACTAGTTATGACTAGTTTTGCAAATATTAGGTTCAAAAACAAATTAAAACTGCTTTTGCCTATATCAATATGTTGTTATAGAATGAAGTTGAGACCGCCATAACTTTGTTGAAAATGGAGATTTTGATGCCATTTTTGGTGAGGGCTTTATAATTGTATTTTATTTAATTTTGTGTTTTATTTCAAATCAATTTTTAAAAAAAAATTTGACCTTTGAAATATATTCGAAACGCGATTTTTAGCTTCCTCATCGGCCAAAATTGCCATTTTCAGTTGATTATCACCTTTATTTAATGCAAAAAAATACTTTTCTCAAATAGAAGAATATCTGCTCAAGTTGAAAACTGCAATTTCTTATCAGAAACCTTTCGTTTAACCCAATTTCGAAGTGATTTCGTTCCAAAAAATGTGGAAAATCTCGGTCAAAGCGAGAAAACCGACTCGCCAACCGTTTTTTAAGCCTTGAAATCGACGGAAAAGTGCGCATTTTGTCAAAAATGCTCTTCGGAAGCCATGGTGCCGTTTACACGGCATCAATCTGCTCCACTTTTTGCCTATTGGCTACAATTGTGGTGCTACCAATGGTGCACTTGAGTATGCAAAAGAAGATCAGCATCATGCTGGCTGACGTGGAGTTGTGCAAAGTGAGCTGGTTTTAGGGGTTTGGGTAGCTTTTTTGATTTGAAATAACATTTTTTTTAATTTTTAAAATTTTTAAAAAATTTTTTAATTATGCCATTTTAGCTGGAATCTCGTGACATTTGGAAGCAAATGACCTTTGCCCAACCCAAGTCGAAACAACGTCAACGCCGTGCCTATGACTCCAACCCCTACGGTACAGAAGCCTCTGGCGGCGCTGGAGCCTGCTGTGCCTGTACCCAGGGCCAGCCAGGACCACGTGGACCATCAGGAAACGATGGTAAACCTGGAAAGGACGGCCAACCAGGCCAAGACGGTCAACCAGGTCGACCAGGCAAATATCTACCAGCTCCACCAGCCGGCCAAAACGCGTGCCAAAAATGCCCTCCAGGACCAAACGGACCACCTGGTCTGCCCGGAGCTAAAGGAGCGCGTGGTCCAGCTGGTACTCCTGGAAGACCAGGCAAACCGGGAGAGAACAACCGACCAGGCCCTCCAGGACCACCGGGACCACGTGGAGAACCCGGACCACCAGGACCAAAGGGAATTCCAGGCGACCGAGGAAAGGTACTTAATGGTGCACCACCAGGCCCACCTGGACCAGCCGGAAGAGTGGGACCCCGCGGTCAACCCGGAGGCAGAGGTCATGACGGTAAGCCTGGTCTTTCCGGTCCAAACGGAATTCGTGGTCCAGTTGGAGATCGTGGAGCACCAGGAAATCCAGGTCTGCCTGGGCCACAAGGACCACCTGGAGAGCCAGGAATGCCCGGTTCTTGCAGTCATTGTGAGGGTAATCAACAAAGTGGTGCTGGTGGAGCTTCTGGTGGGGATAGCGGTGGTTATACTGACAATCAACGGTCACCTGGACCTAACGCACCAGCCGCTGGACCTTACGAATCACAACCAGCTCGACCTCAAGTCAGTAGCTCAAGTTACGCTGGGGAATCACAAGGAGCTGCTGGAGGAAATGAAAAGGGAACGGAATACCTTTGGATGAATTAAAAACAGCATAACTTGACAATTTTAATAATAATAAAGGTATGACGATTCAGAATACAACATCAATATGTAACCGAAAATTCGTTTTCATACAGTAACCCATATCATTTTTAAAGCCCAAATCTTTGAAATGTAGTTTATTTACAGTCATAAATAGCTCCAATTACATAATCTTTTTTTTCAGCACGATATGTTTATAAAAAAGGTATAAAATACGATTGGATCGTAAATGCTAATTACAAAATAAGTATTGAGATAATGGCTGAGATCATCTAAGCGTTAAATCGCGTGCTGGAGAGTGGATGCCCGGCGTACCCTAAGTGGTTGGTAACGGCTGTGAAGTCCTTCAATGGCCCTAAGCCAGCGGCGACCTTCCTCTTGATTTCATGATCTTCTGGCAGGAGGTTGTAGGCTTTGTAGATGTCGTTTCCTCTCTTGGCGAGTTCGTGAGCCATGTAAACAGGCAATGGCAATGAGGTTGGGCAAGCACAGACTTGATGCATCGAAGACAAGATCTGCATCAAACCTTGGAGTTGGTCGTTAGTCAACTGCAATTCATTGGCGATGTTGCAGTATTGGGTCATCTTTGGTACTCCCTGGAAATAAAAATTGTTATCATAAAGCACATAAATTAATCAAATGTCATAACCTTCACGTAAAGTAAGGGAAAAGATATAAACAAAATTATTACGCCATAAAAACTCAAAATATTCAAAAACCCACCTTCAGAGGATGATGAGATTGCAGGTAGAACTCGGTAATGTCGGTTCTGACCACCTTCGAATCAATGACATCACCAACTTTGGTGTTCTGGATCTGCCCATTGACAAACTCATAGAATCTCTTGTTGTGCATCTTGGTGGCCACAACAAAGGTGAACTTGATGTTGGATTGAGGGCCAAAGGCGTCACTGAAAGCCTTCTTGATGGCTGGCAGTTCATTCTTGACGGCGTATTCCAATTGCCCTTCCGAGATACCATCTCTTACTATCAAAACCCGTTTGATTTGGCGACCAACCTTCTTTGCTCGCTCAGCAAAGAAGGAAACGTGCTTGCGCAGCTTGTCGTTCTCAACGTTCTCTCTTCTAGACTCCTATAAATATATGGTAATTATAAATATTAATATAAAGATGACTTTAAACCTTTTTTCGATATTGGTCAATACCAACTAAGAATAAAATATAAACTTACTTGGTAGAAGAAATCACCACCAAAGATCAACGGGTTTGGCCCAGCATTGGCACAAAGCCCAACAACAGACGGAGTCAACGACTTCAAAGGTCCTCGTTCACATTCAGCATCAAATGGATTCAATGATTTCTCTTTGGCCGCGTTCTTTTTCTCCTGAGGCGAGGCTGGTGCTGGATGGGCAACATCGTAACCAATAACCATGAGATCCTTGTTCAAATTGAGATCATAAGCCTTCAGGGTAGCTGGGAACACTGGCATGTAGTTGACACCAAACGTTTTGGCATTGATCTTCATGACCACATTCTTCAACGTCTGTGGTTTGTTTTCCAGGTTCTTGGTGATGACTTGCTGAGTCAGAACCTTGTAGTAGGCTTCAAACAGCTTCAGTTTGGAGTGAGACTTAGTACGGCTTTCATCAATGTAGAAGATATACAAGACACCCTGAGCGGCCGCTTTTTGGAAGACAACTTCCAATTGGTCAAACTCGATCAGTTGTACCAACGCTGGTTGTGGCAAGTTCAATCCAGCAGCTGCTGCAGTTTTCATCAAGTAACCCATGTATTCTCTGAAAAACAAAATTAAGTTGTCTTATCTTTGTCATCCTCAAAAAAAACTTAAGAAAACAAAAACTCATTACAAACTTACTTTACTTGCCGGTCATTCGTAGCCCGTATGTCACCAATGACCCACCACTTCGTCAACTTGTTTGCAGTTTGGTACAACTTCATGCCAGTAGCATCATTCATGAAAGAACCATTTGGCATAGGTCTGATGGTTCTGTTTGCGCCAGCCATGAGCGTTAAACCTTGTCGTTGGAAAATGTCAATGTCATTGCTTGATGTATTCACAGTGACGCCGAAATCGTTCAAGAACTTGCCTCCATTTCCATTGGCAATTTCGTTGACTTGCTTCAAGACAAATTGGTAACGGATGTCTGGGTTGACAGAGTTCTCCTAAAACAACAAGTCTTTAGTTTGAGACATAAAACCGCAAGTTTTGTATACTCAAAAAAATAAAAAAGTCAGAAACAAAAACGTTTCAACAAATACTACTACAGCTTATGTCAAAACTAATTCAAAAATAACAAATGTGTACAAAAACACCGATTTACACAATTTACGAAAATAAACCCTTTTAACGTAATAAAACCTACCGAAACCAACTTCCTGATAGCTTGTTCGTTTATTTTTTCTGCAGGCACTAGTTGGCCAGATAATGGTACAGCTAAATCAAGTGGAATGACCACATGTTTGCCTTCGATCTTCGGCAGTTCTGCAATCAACCCGACCACGTTTGGCGTCAAATCAACATTGTATGTTTGTTTGTAGTATTGTGGAATGGTCAATCCTTTTTCCAAATTACACTCAGGATTTGAAATTACATGATGCGTGAGACCAATAACAGTAAAATTGAATCCTGCACGATGTGTTCCAAAGCATCGTACACCCCGGAAGAATTTGGTGAACTCGTTGTTATTGTTTCGAAATTCCTTATAAAGCTGCAACATGTTCTTCGTAGCAATGAAAGCTGTTCTTCTCACTGAAATCAATTCAATTAAGAAAAGAATTATAATAAGACATGGCAAGTTGACAATCAGAAAATCATACTTATAAAAATAATGACTTTTACATAAAAAATACATTGTAAAGATGTTTTAATCCCTTAACGATACACTAATATCTAAAGCATCCTAACAGAAAATACATCATAAACTTACTGTCAGCAACCAACAACGGACGAAGTTTTCCATTGTGCTCCGTGACCCGGACCCCTTTACTCAAACCAACTCTGAGCTGCATTCCTGGAACCATCTCATAGGTTTCAGTGTTGAACAAACTTCCAGATGAGATGATATCATAATTTCCACTAAAACGAAGAATTATGTAATTACCAAACATAGCTTTCAATACAAAAAAATAAAGCCCAAAAACTCACGTATTAACAAGATATTGACTTGTCAAAACTTCCAAAAACTGACGAGCTGAATGATCAGCTTGTTCCCGCACTGAATCCGAGATAGAGGTTGTCAGATCAGTAAAGTTGAAAACTGGAACCCTTGCGTTTGGGATGATTTCCACAACTAGGTCTTGTTTTCGGCAGTATGCACTTGTATCAGGACTCAACAATGTCGAATTGATCGTTTCTGTCTAAACATATAACTTAGTCAACATTTGATAACAAACAAATCAAAAATCCAAAGAATTAAGGTAGTTTCTAGTCTAAAAACACAACAAAACAATTTGAAACACTTACAACGTTCTTGTTTAGAGAACTCAACAAAAACAGCATCCGCTTCCCATCATACACGTATTTTGAAATCTTGTTCTGTCTGTGAAGGTATTCAATGACTTCGTAACAGATGCCTCTTTGATAGATTTTCAATCCTCTAAAATAGTTTAAATCAGTAAGTTCAATTTTGTTAAACATCATACTACCTATTTAATAAATTCTGATTTTATATAATAAACATAATATTTAAATCAAAAAAATATTATTTTGTTAAAACCATAAAAGCCAAGCTTAGAACCCTAAAAGTCGAAATCGTACGAAAAAAAAACTTACGGATCACTCTGTTTTGTCAGGACCTTGTCAAGAGTCCTTCTTTTTAAAGTGATTTCCACATCGTAACGGTAAACTTTGTTTCCTGGCTTCAACGACATTTCAAAGACGGTGCTTTTACCAGACACCTTCTTTCTATCCACCTTCATAGCCGCCATTTGCTTCGACAATGACGCCATTTTCTGAAAATACAAATATAAAACTGGCAATTTTAAAATTTAAAATAATTCACAATACTTCACGTAAAAAAGTTTTAAAATAAACTCAAAAGTAAAGCACAGCAAACAATAGCTTTAAAATAGTCTACCTCAAGATATAAAACAAGTTTTAGTAAAATACATAAAAAAGTAACTTCCAAGGTCTAAAAACAACTAAAAAATTTTAGTAATTAAAAGGCCAAAAAGTATGAATCATCCTTGTTATAAAAGACAAGATTACTACTGATAACAAATCAGTAAGATTTCGATGTCGAGGAAAGACGCGTTCGAAAACTCCCTTTCTTCTGAATACCAAAAATATTTATTTTTCCGTTTTTTGCAGAACAGAGATGCGACGCAGCCAACATGGGAAGAGAGTAAAGCACAAATAAATCGGTTCAAATCAAAATCAAAGCGTTTGGCTTCGGAGACTTACACCACAGGTAGGTTGTACGCAAAAAATCGAAAAAAAAATTTTTGGAAATCGGTCCACAGGTAGCAGCTACCTGTCGACGAAAAAATTTTTCTGGGTCTCAATACTACGCCCTAAACTATCCATAAGCGATCTTTATTACAACAATGCAATATAACTAAACAGTGCGCAACCTTACAAAATGTGCCATATAGAAACAGCTGGCAAGAAACAAAGAATAAACCAAAAACTGAAATTAGGCATCTATCTTCGAGCCAATAAGTAACGGCATCTTTTTGATGATCGAAAGTTGAGTAAATAGACATAAGTAGAACGCTAGAAAAGGATCGAAATCTAATCTTCTAATGATTGAACAAGCCTAAATTTCCTTTTTTGCTTAAAAAAGCTAGTACGTATAAAAAACATTAGGAAATCATGGTTTTAAAACTATTATCTATAATTAGATAAGATAGCCAACCAATTGTTAAAGGCTTGAAAAAAAAATCAACAGAAAACAACGAATACCATCTCCTTCACAAAACCATAACAGATCATCGACATTATCCTTCAAAAAATCTTTGTTTACCCAAATTTTATCCATGAAATCCTCATGAATAAATTAACGATCGCTTTTAACCCAGATCACTTTTCCTTAAAACCCATTCAAAACCATTATCCGCGCCTCAACCCAGGCGAACGCAATAAAAAACCACGCGCCAGCGTTTTTCCTAACATTATCAATCAATAACAACATTGAGACGCAAGTAACAAACTGATTTTTCAAGTAAAACCGAAATAAATCTACAACATTGTAAAAAACAGCTAAAAACAAGAAAAATCCTCCGCAACTTTCGTAAAAAAAGCCCGCGAAAACAACAAATTGCCTGAAGCAAGCTTTCAGGCTCTACTTATACAACAACTTATAAAACTTGAGTTACCGACCGGAACAGTACGTCGAAATGACGGAAATTGCCGATTTGGCCAAATGTGGACTCAAAACTCGAGTTGCGAACTGCGCCCACGCCCGCTGTTTGCTCTTTTTTTTTAAATAAACTGCGACAACCACGTTATACTTTGTAACATGTTCTTTTATTTTCGGGGCTTTTTTGTCGAAAAAAGAAGGAAATTTTTAGGTTTATTAGGTGCTTTTTTTGGTGTTATAAACTTTAAAAGACAGATAATAATAATAAATTTTAATTTTACTATGTGTTTTAACTTATTTTCAAACTATTTTTGTTTCAGAACGCGTCTTCAATCTCTATTTTAGCTTGCATGACCAGTTTATTTTGTATTCTTTAGGTATGGTGTTCCAAGCTAGAGAAGACGACTCTTCAGACAATGATTCGTCTCCTGAAGGACAACAGCAAAGAGATTCTAGTGATGACAGCGATGATTCCAGCTCCAACGCTTCAAACAATGATGAAGAGGAAGAGAGGCAACCTAAAAAGGTAAATTATTATTCTTCTTGTTGTCTTTGATGTTTAGTTGAAGTTGAATTGGCTTTTCATAGACACAACAGGTGCCTTGGGGTTTATGCTTGGTAGAGTTAGTTTTAAAAATAGTTTATTAAATATATTGTTTTAGGCAGCCAGTAAATCTTCGGACGACTCTGATGAAGACGAAGAAGTTCCAGAGCCGAAGAAAAAGCTAGCACCTGATTCCTCAGACTCTAATGCATCTTCTCCAGCCAGGCCAGGTACTAAATCTCCTGATTCTTCTAAATCCAGTGATAAAGAAGACAGTGACAATGAAGTTGGGGAGAAAGGGGATCAAAAAGACAAATCTGATGAAGAAGAAGATGTAAGATGCTTTTTTTGATGTTAATATGATAGTTTTAGTTAAAATATGCATTTTAAAGGCCAATGCATTGCTTTTTGAAGCTAAATTTAAAATTATTTTTAGGCACCAGTAGTGAAAACAAAAACAGACGAGATTTTTGGAAATGCGTTGACTTCTAGTGATGAAGAAGAAGGTGAAGATAAAAAAGGGAAAACAGAACCCACTGATGAGGATTCACAACGTCGTCTTGAAGCTATGAGGCAGCTAAGTGCTTCATCAGATGAAGAAGGTAACATTTATTTTTGTGTGGTTTTAGGGCTTATATTGACATAGGTTTATTAAAAGTTAAAATTTTTGCTGTGGTATCATCCATAGACTGAGTTTGAGTTCGAAATTTGTCAAAAATCTCGAATTACATGTCTACATCTTTCAGAAGGACCTCGACGCCAAATAATGGAGCTGCGGGATTCCTACCCAAAAATGAATATAAATCTTGGCAATACAGAGCCAGTGTTCTTCAGGCCGCCGAATTTCTTATCAATTGAGCCAAAACCTTTTAATTCACATCCAGAAGCTTATCAGCGCGAAGTTGACGACGATGAAATTATTGATGAAGAAGGAAGAGCTAGGCTGAAGCTTCGAATTGAGAATACGATAAGGTGGAGATGGGTGAAGGACCCGAAAACCGGTGAATATAAGAAACAGTCCAATGCTAAGATTGTGAAATGGTCCGATGGAACGTAGGTTATTATTTTTGAGATTTTAGTTGATTTTGTCCAAAGTTTTGACATCAGAGTAACAATTTATGTTGTAGTATGTCTATGTACCTGGGATCGGAGATTTTCGAAGTTCAAAAACAAGATTGCATGCCAAATATGCATCTGTATACCCGCGTAGGACCTGCCTTACAAGCACAAAAGGTCTTTAAAAGCAAATACACTTTCCGACCACACTCGACAGATACGGTAACACACAGAAAGTTGACTATGAATATGGCTGACAAGTCAAACAAAGGTCCTAAAGTCAAGATGTTTACTGAAGTCGGCATGAATCCGGAACAACAGAGGAAGGTGGGTTTTTGTAATGATTTTTGGAGGGTGTGGTAAATTTTTTTGGCAAGGGGGGGGGGTGACATTTTTTTTTGAATTGTTTAAACTGAATTTTACAGGATCTTAAAAACTTTTTTGGGTGTGGCAAAAATTTTTCTTTTTTGAAGGGGGGGGGGATGAAATTACAAAAAAAATTGTTGTGGTTAAACGATCAGATGGAACTAAAAACCTTATTCTAATGATTTTTTTTCTGTAGGAAATGGTCAAAAAAGAAGAAGAATCCCTCAGAGCTGCGGCCAGAAGGTCGGCACAACAAAGGAAAGTCAGAGAAAGAGCTCGCGAAGTTGGGCTTACAAGTGGATTTATCGAAGGAGATGATTCTGGAGGTACGTTTTGAAATTTTTATTTTATAGAAATTACAGTACGTATGTGTAAAATACGATTACTTAATACATCTTATCAAGTTTACCTAAAACAATTTCATTTTCAGACGACAATGATATTGGAGCCATCAAAAAGAGTTTCAAACACCGGTCCGGCTACAACAACCCATACTATTCGGACGATTCGGAAGAGGACGAACGCTCCAGAAAGGTGCTACGTGAGGCCAAGATCATCGACTCGGATTCGGATGACAATGACGCATCCACATCGAAGAAAGAACGCAAAAAGCATCGTATCTTGGAATCGGATGATGAGGACGACGATTAGTTTGCATGTTAACCATATTTATTATATCATAACAGTAAAGTTGTTAATAACGATGGTTTGGAGGGTTTTTGAGATGTTTTGAAAATTGAGTTTGGAAGGCTTTTTGATGTTGTGATAGGTTGGTTTTTGGATTCTATGTTTTTTAGGCTCTAATTTCCTCCTAATTCTTCATGGCTATAGTTTATTTGCATAATTGTAGTGATACGAAAAGGCCTTTTTCTCCCCCAAATTTTCTGTACAAAACCCTCAAATCGTCTCTGCTTTTTCGTTTTGATCAAACAAACCAAACCCTTTTTTCTCGTTTTTCGAAAACTTGAATCAGCGGTCAAAGCATTCTGGCTGATTAGAGAAGTTTGTAGTTAGTTTGACTATTTGGGGTTTTATGATTTTTCAATTTTTAAAAAGTTTAACCTGTAAGATAAGTCTGACGAGAGCATAAGATATTCCTGACGAGGGTGGATACAATTTTGTTTATGTACTGCAGAGTCTTAGCTAGGGGGGGGGGAGGAGGGATAGATCAAAGTACCGAACCGATCCATAAAAATTCACATGTAGGTTTTGTACGTGGAAAACAGGGAAAAACTGTGCCAGCGAGACATGGGGAACGGACCGGACGTGATTGTTAGGCTCGACCCGGCCAAAATTTTGCTCAGGCCTGGCTTGACCCAAACTTTTTTACGTGCAAACTGGCCGGACCATAAATTTCAGGCCCGGCCCGACCTAAATTTGCGTCAGGTCCGGCACGTTCCTCATAATCTAGTGCCAGCCCGGTCTTTAAAATTTGTTTTGGCCCAGTCAAGACCGCAGTCGGGTCGAAGCCAGGCCTAGTGGGTCCTTTTTCAAGCCTTCTAGCGAAGTCTTTTCTGGTCCGTGCTTGTAAATTAAAGTTTTTTTTCAAAACGTTTTTTCTAAAAACAAAATATTTTAACTTTTAAATGTTAGATTGTCACTCATCTTTTGATAAATGTTCTCTACCCCAATAGTCACATTAATCGTTTGTCAAACGATGGTCTTTATGGGTTTTGCTTATCTATTGCCTTGGTATCATACTTTTATGTGTTTTTCGATATTAAAAACACTTTTGGGCGTACTTTTTAAATTTTTTGTACCAGTAATTTGGTTTTTATTTGGCTGGGAAATTTGGTTCGGCCGTCCTTTTCAGGACAACTTAATATATCAGGTTTTAAATTCAAAATTTAGACTTTTTGCCTAAAGCATTAAATGCAAATTTTTAGGCTTCCAACTAAAAACAGAAGCTTTAATAACAAGGTCAATCAGAAAGAGCTGTCTAGTTTATTAATCATTGTTATCAAGAGGTTTTCGAACCTCACAAAGACAACCTTGTCGTTCCGTTCTTTTTGTCCGCCTTTTCAATCTTTTCAATTGTCAATTGTTTTTCGATTTTATAAAATAAACATTGCAAGCTTTCTCTTCAAATATTACAGGAGATTTGTTGCAATGTTGTGGAGTTTGTTTAATTAAAAGTTCATTTTTAATTTGAAATACTTTGCTATGGACATGACAAGGGGCTTTAGGAACGTTTGGTAAGGCTTTAATTTTTAAAAGGAGGAGAAAAGGTTAGGGTTAGAGCTCCTAAATTTTAAATTTCGAGCTCCAGCATCGGTTTAACCTTTTTTGTATCTTAGTTCCGCCTTTGCCTACAACTACATAGCCAAGGCTTTAGAGTACTATTCTGGAAAGGCGGGAGATTCAAAACCTATTTTTTCGTTTTTTCAAACTTTTTTTTAAAAAATTTTGCCGAATGATTTGTATAGTTTTAGTAGAAGGGGATAAGTTGTAGATTAAAAGTAGAATGTCATGAACCCAATGATCTGTATATTACTCGTAATAGAATGTCATGAATCCAATGATCTGCAGCTTAAAACGTAGAATGTAACCTCTCTAATCATATGTAGCTTAAAAACTACTATGTCATGATTCCGATGACTAGTATCAATGTTATGAACCTACCTTTTTATTCTCTTAATTATACCCCTTTTAGGTTAGTAATTTCCGTATTCCCAAATGAGCCGTTTCTAAAGTAACATATGCTTTATAATTTCTCCTCTCAAACTGTTTCAATCCGCTTTTTAGTATTTCCATTTTACACCTGAAAACAAAATATTAACCTTTATTTCTTAAATACCTATACTTTTTTTTATCTAATGCTAACTTTAAAAAGTACGTTCTATGTTGTCTGTTAACGCTTTAACTTACTAGGCTTCACCTAACCTAGATTATAAAACGTACTAACCTTTTAAAATATTATAAACCCTGAAGCCCACTAGCTCTCTTCAATGTCAATAGCCCCAGACAAAAAGGAAAGTTTTGCCATATCAAGTCCATCTTATCTGTCGTTAAGTGGTTGAGGTCAAAAGTGAAGGCCAAAAATGTTCCGTCGAGTTTCCAAAAAACGAATTTCCAAAATAAAAACGACTTGAGGCGGAAGAACGTCTATTCTTCCACTTTCTTTTGTGCTCTTTTTGTGGTTTTGCCCTTTTGCTTGAAGCATATCGGTTTAACATACGGTGCGTGTGAAAGTGTATATCTTTGAAAAATAGTGTATAGCTTGTATATCTTAGAAGGTATACACTATATTGAGCTTTGTACATTTGGGCGGATATTTCTTTTATTTTATGGACTAATTTTTTTTCGAATTTGAAAGAAAATTTTTGTTTACCAAAGTTCTTTTGTCTTCAGAAAAGTTATATCGTTGGAATATTAAGTTATTTAAATACACTGAAAAGAAAAAAATAGTAAAATAGAGTTAAGTTTAATTTGCTTTGAAGTTTGCTTTTTGAGTACTCTTATATTTGTGGCTACTCTTGCAAGCAAGTACCCAAATTTTAGGTTTTTTAAATAATTTTTAGACTTAGCAGAGGATATTTCTTTGAGTGGTGGGGCAATTCACACAGGCGAGAAACTGAGGTTTAAATTTCCCCATTTTCGGATTAATTTTATTGCAGCAAAAGTGATTTGTCATCAGCTTTTTCCATCAAAGAAAGGGTTCTGAACGCGATAAATTGACGTTTGCGCGAAGGTCATGGTGACATTGTTTATGGGTAAAACAGTCGCGCGATTAAGACAACATTTAAAGTACAATGGAAGACGAGATTAGATCAAACGCGAACTTGACCAGCCGTTGTTTTACAGAACATAGGCGGTTTAAACAGTAGGAATACTAATTGACGACCCTGTTTTTGTGGTGGGAGTAATGTAAGGTAGTGGGGTACTAATTGGGAATGGATTATTGTTGTCAAGGGGAGGGGGGAGAGCCAAGACTGTACTTTAGTTTTATTATGTTTAAGTAAAAAATTCAAGCCGTATATATAAAGAAAGAAAGTAATCCCGTTTAATCCGAAAATTGCGATCATGTCAACTCAAAACATCTTTTATGGTTTGACTTTTTGAGCTACAAAACAACAAAAGGATACAATACTTTGAGACACGAGGAAGTCGGTTTGCCTAAAAAACGGATAAAAGATTTATGTTGATTGGTACTTTAAAATCATTGGATTCATGGCATTCCATTTCTATTACACTTTGCTTAAACAAGCTCTTTAAAATCATTGGGTTCATGCCATTTTACGTTGCAAAAGACACACTTTAAATTATAGCACTGTCTTGTAAGATCATTGGATTAATGACATTCTATGTTAAAAATGAAAAGTTTGCACCTAGACGTTTCACTCACCACTCGAGTCTTCTAAAATTATTAGATTCATGACATTCTACGTTAAAAAAGACACTCTTTACAACTTGACACTGACCTTCTAAGATCATTGTTCATGACATTCTATTTATATTCAAGTGAACTGAAGCGCACTATTTAATACCAATAGATTCATCATATCTTAGGTTAAAAAGAAAATTCTTTACATTATTGAAGCTTTTTATAACTCTAGTTAAAGTACACTACCAAACAAGAGTATGTACTCCGGTTTTTAGAGTCCAAAATATCCTCAAAGTGTCTTCAAAAGCAACATACCTAATTTTCTCTAAAAGTAAAGTAACTAATCTGCGCACTCTCTCCCCCTAACTTTTACCTAATTTCCTCGCGTTTTGACACACAATCTCACTGACTCGCGACACACAAACTCATAACTTTTACCGCGGTATCTCTTTCCAGGCAGGTGAATTAAAACAAAAAAGTCGTCGAGGAGAAGAGGGGACGACGACGAAAGAGATGGCGAGCCGAGAGACGACGGTGGTCGTCGACACCGCCCAGCCGGGCATTCAACTCGTCCGTTTGGAGGACAACGACGACGACGAAGACGAAGAGAAATTAAAATTCCAAAACAGCTGCGAGGAGGATAGTAACGCGTCCAACAGCCCGATCACATCACGTCGCGCTCCCGAACAGCGACCCTTCTTCAAGGTGGGTGTGGTAATTTTTTTTAAAATAGGTAATTAATCATAGTTTTAAAGTTTTAATTTTGAGATGAAAAATAAGTTGTTTTTCACTGCTTTTGAAGTTTCAAAAGCGTATGTAGAGGTTTAAAAATGCAAAAAATTGTGTACGTTCAGTACTAACGTTTACTAAGTAAAAGTAAATATAATTTTTCTATTAAACTTGTCGTAAATCTTTTTTAAAATTAAAAAATAATAAATCGCCTTAGGGTATGTAAATTTATATAATATTTTTAAAACTTTTAAGCACCAAAGACATCCTTCATTTTCAACAGCAAAAAAATTGATTTATGCATTAAAACGCATATAAAGAAAGTACAAAGAATCAGAATCTTATAACGCACTGTTACTGTAGGTGTCAGGTAAAGTAAGGTTCAGAAGAAAAGGTAGTTAGGATTTAGACGGGCAGCTAGAGCTACAACTAGAGTTAAGGCTAGAGCTAGAGCTAGAGCTAGAGCTAGAGCTAGAGCTAGAGTCAGAGCAGAGCCAGAGCCAGAGCTAGAGCTACGGCTAGAACTAGACCTAGAGCTAGAGCTACAACTAGAACTAAGGCTAGACCTAGGGTTCAAGCTTAGATTAGGGGTAGGGCTAATGCTCAGGCTAGGGTAATATTAGGTAGTGTTAGACGGGGTTAAAATGGAGGTTTTGCAAGATCAAGTATAATAGAATAAGATAATATTGCTCTAGGTTAGACCTGAGGACCTGAAAAAACTCACTAAGCCCGGTTAGATGGGGATCGGGCCGGTCCTAAATTTAAAAAAATGGGGATCGGGTTAGTCTTAGATTTAAAAAAAATTTAGGCTTGGCCCGTTTTAATTTTGGATTAAGGAGCTCAAAATTATTTGAATACCCTAATATTAAAAGGCCGGGCCGAGCCGAAGCGAATTTGCGGGCCAGTTAGGAACATGTGGTCTCGAGGGCCGCAGCTCAAACCAAGGCCCAGCGCGGCGCAATCCCTTTACATCTCTTCTCTGTGTAAGTTAGTCTAGAGTAGGGTAATTTATGTCTTTCAATTTAATTCAGGTAGCGTAGAGTAGGGTAATTTATCTGTTTTAAGCCAATTCCCCCACCTCTGTAAGCTAATATTATTGGTGTTAGAAGATAGCTGTCACGCTTTGTTCTTTTTTGTTTTTTTTAAACAGCGAAACCGAAAATCAGTAGTGGAGAGTGGTGCGCGAGACATTACTATTTATGTTTTCTTTTGATGCCTTAGGGTCTATGTTTTGCAATTTTTTGTTTTTTCTAATTGAAATGATCAAAATTAGTTGAGCAGCGGCATGGAGTACGTCAAGGTAGGAATTTATTTTAAATTTTTTAAAATTGTGTGTAAAAGCGGGAGGTGTGTGCTTTAGTTTAGCTAAGAATGGTACGGTTTTAACATGCAAGTTAAAAATTATTACGTAAGGGTTAGGCTTAGCAAAGAATATTTAACCTTAACACACAATGTTATGCTTTTCAAATAATTTTTAGGCTTAGCTGAAGATATTTTAGGCTTAAAACAGAATTATAAGTTTGTTGAAGATATTTTTGTTTGGTAGACATTTTTAGGCTTATTATATAAAGTTTAGGCTTATTAAAGTATATTTAAGCTTGACACACTAGTTTAGGCTTATTTTGTAGGTTTATGTTTAGAAGAGAATATCTAGGCTTATCAACTACTTTTTAGGCTTAATAGAGAATGTTTAGGCTTAACGAATTATATTTAGGCTTAGCACACAACTTTAGACGTATAACGTAATCTTTAGGCTTAGTTGAATATATTTTAGCCTTAAAACACAATCCTAGGTTTATCAAAAAATACTTACAATTGTTAGGCTTATCAGAGAATGCTTAAGCTTCTTGCTATATCTAGGCTTATCGCTCACTATTGAAGCTTACATTGTTAGAAAAGAGTTTTAGGCTTAACAAACCATCTTTAGGCTTAGAAATTAATATTCATATTACTCTTGTTGTAGGCTAAGAAGGCGGCTTTAGGCTTAAAAAACTGAAAGTTAGTTTCAATTTGTAATATTTATTTAAGTACTTAAACTATCACTTCCAGCCTCAAACTTGATCTTTCAACTTTTGTTTTCCAAACCTTTTAGTTCAAAACTTTATTTTCTTCAAAAAAACGTCTTTTCTAAACCCAACCATTGATTTAAACCCAAATTCATATTGCAAAATAATATTTCGACTCTCAAAAACCTAAGGTCTCGGATCAGAAATTTTTTTCAAAAGCGATTTTCACAAAAAAGGGAAAACACGTAATAGTAGGGGGCTTACGTAACCAAAAAAACATTCATGAATTTTTGCGATTGATCTTGTGAAAACAAAATTTGTAAAATTGGTTTGAAATTTATTAAAATTGGCTTTGAGTTGGGCTGAATTTCGAAATTTTTAATGGAAATTTGAATTTACATATATCATCTTCTCTATTTATTCTAAGACAGCTTCCTCTTTTTTTGGTACATATAGTACTAAGTTACTACTATTATTTGATACTCATCGTACTAAGCCCAATACTAATTTTTGGTATTTATAGTATTAAGTCTAAGAGAATTTTTTAGTACTCATAGTACTAAGTTTGATACTAGGTTGTGGTACTCGTAGTACTAAGCCTAATACTATTTTTTGGTGCTTTAAATACTAAGCATAGTACTCTTTTTTTGTTACTTCTAGTACGAACCCTAATGTTATTTTATGGTCTTCAAAGTACCAGGTCTAATACTATATTTTGGTCTTCAAAATATTAAGCCTAACACTATTTTTTAGTACTCATAATACTAAACTTAATACTATTTTTTGGTATTTATAGTACTCAGCCTAATATTATCTTGTAGACCTTAAAGCATTTGGCCTAATATTATTTTTTGTTACTTATAGTACTAAGCCTAGTACTATTTTTTGGTACTTATATTACTATTATTTCTTGGTATCAATGTTAGTTTAAGCCTATTAATATATATTGTTATTGATACTAAAACTCAGCCTAGTACTAAAATTTTTACTACTGGTACTAAAACTGAACGTACTATTGTTTTGCTATTGGCCTCAACCTAAGCCTAGTGAAATTTTTGTTACTGTAACTAAACTTAGTACTATTTTTTTGCTACTGTTACTAAGACTAAGCCTAGTACCATTTTTTCTAAATTCTTTTGATACTCGATCTAGTACTATTTTCTTTTTATAAATCCTAGTCTCGCTTTTGATCTACTTAAAATGGCAATAACTACATTAACTAAACATTTACGCTCTACCGTATATGTTTGGCACCGGATTTGGGGCCAAGAGTTCCCAGATTGGGCGACTCGAGTTGACGAACGAGTTTTAACAAAACTTGTCGACTTTTTCGACCGAGTATCGACCGTTTTTCAAAAAATTAGGAAAAAATGTGTTGGCAGGGTGAGTTGGTTAAAAAAGTTTTGTCAGTTAAAATTTTGAAGTATTTATTAGGTTTTTCAAATATGAATGAGCCTTTTAAAGCTAAGTTTTGAATTTTTCTTGGCTCATCCATATTTTGACAATCTGGTTTTATAATATCTAAAAATGGCCAAAAATTTTAAAAAAGCTGAAAGTTATGAGTTTTAGGGCAAAAAGTTCATTTATGACAAAAGCAACATTTAAAAAATTAAAAAATATTTTAAAAAATAAAATTTATTATGTTATTTGCAGTAAACCACGAGTTTTGTGAGCTTGTTATGAGCTGAACAATAAAATTTATTGAAAAACAAAACCATTTTTAATAACTTTTGCTTTCGTTTTATGGGAAACAAAAAGGGTTTGGGTAGGTGGATAATTGTATTATTACGAAAAGGAAAAACTTAACTTAATATTGTACTTGTTAGTATGTTATACTGTTTTATGTTGTACTTTTCAGTATATTATACTGCTTTTGAGATAGGTATATCACGTTAGGGAGAGTTTTATGAGTTAGTATTATTTCCTGTATAATTATCTATAGCCAGGGAAGGTAGGATAAGATTAACAAGGTAGGGTATGGTAAGCTATAGCCAGTAAAAGTCGAGGAAAAGGTTAAGGTAAGACCAGTCAAGTTAGTTAGGGCTAGGGTAGGGTTCAGCAAAAATGAGGCCAGACAAGAGAGTTGTATGGCATGACAAAGTTAGGGTAAAGTTAAGGTAGCACTAACATAAACAGCTAGGGCTAGGGTTAAAACTAGGGCTAAAGCTTTGGCTACCTCTGGGCTATGGCTCTGGGCTAGGGCTCTGGGCTAGGGTTCTGGGCTAGGGCTCTGGGCTGGTGCTGTGGTCTAGGGCTCATATAAGTTTCAGTAGTTTTTCAAATGACAATCTTAATGAAATTTGTATTCAAAATGCAATTATATGAACGTAGAGAGTACGAAGAGCAATGTAAATGTTGAAAGTTTTATTTTGACGAGCAGAGCGTTAGTTTTCGTTACAAAGTTTTTGGGGAAAACAACGGAATAAGATTAACGTCGATGCCTTTTGACATTTGAAAAGTGAAAACAGACAACTTTGCAAGGGTCGATTTACCATAATATTTAAGGAGGGGGAGGGGGGTAGGGATGTTATGTAATACATATATAGATTTACAGTAGATTATCATAATATTATAGGTAAAACAATATAAGGTGGAGTACTATAAGAGTATATATCACGGTTCAATTGCATAGTAAAGTTAAAAATGATATTAAAAACAAATTTTTAGTAAAGAAATAGGTATTAAATGCAATATAATAAGAAAAATAGGTATGAAAACTACTACAACATCAATAGGTATAGAACTCATATTTATGAATAGATATTAAACGCACTATAAAAACCTTAATAGGCATATAATGCATGTTTATGAATATATAATAGAAGTACTACCATAATATATACACAAATATGTTTGTGTATATCAATTTGTATGTGCATTTTAAGTAAGAACGACCAAAAACTAATAATTCTTTATTACATATTGTCTATCATCACAAGTGTTGTTGTTTGTCAATTGTAATGTTCCGATTTCAGAAATCAACCGATAAAACAGTGGAGTCGCCGTTCGTTTCAAAGTAAGTGTTTTTACCTTGTTTTGTGGTTACAATTAGCAAGATTATATTATAATAGCAGCCATAAATACTTAAAATTTTACCTTTGCCACCTAACTTTATAACGAAATGTATTGCCTGATTCACCAAACGAATGTCCTTTTAATGTTTACCAATTATATTGGGTAAACAATAAAAAAGCTTGTTACATTGCAGTAAAAAACAGGGAAAAACAAGTGTTTTATGGCTTTGAAGAGGAGTTTTAAGTAACAAATTTTGGCTTTTTAGATGATTTGGTATATCTTAACCCAAATTTTAGAGGTTTCTTGTGTATTTTTTATTGACAGCCGGCTTTTAGGTAACAAAGTACTCAATTTTTAGTGCCAGCCGGGCGGTTTTCAAAAAAAAATAAAAATTTTTTTGTAGTATAATATTGTAGTGTAAAATACGTTCATTACAAAGCTTCTTTGCAAAAATTGTCATTTCAGTGATCTCTCGAATCGTTGGGGTGCCTTGGTATGCCTGGCGTCTCTCAATTTCGCCTGCACTTTCTCCTGGGCTTCAGCTGGAGCCGGCGCCGAATATTTCAACAAATTCTACGATCTTGATGTAAGTGTGAACGCCTGAGGGTATATATATTTTTTTTAATTTTTGAACTTTTAAAATTTTTCGAAATTTTAAAAATTTTTTGAAATTTTGTAATATAAACCTTCAGGTAGCAGCAAGCTGGTTCTCCATGGTCTACACAATGTTTTTAATACCAGCGAGCATTATCATTGTCCTAGCTGAAGCATTTTTTGGCGTCCGCTTTTCGGCCATAACTTCGGCTGTTCTGGTTGCGGTTTCGTGCATTTTTAAAGTACCATTGTAAGTTTTTTTCAAATATGTTTTATCTCAGATGCCAAACATATTATTTTCAATTTAAAAATTTATATATTGATTTGTATAATTGCTTGAAGTGGCACTTTCGACTATTTTTTGTTTTGAAAATTAATAACAGGGGGAACCAAGCAGATTTTTTTAGAAAAAATGCAATAATTTTCTTTACAATATTCAATTGACAAAATTAGGTACTATTAGTATTAAAATACGCCACCGGTCATATTTAATGTCGTTGATAAAAATTTTGATACAACTTTTAATTTTTGAAATGAAAAAAAGTTCACAGGGGGAACCAAGTTGATTTTTTTGGAACAAATGCAATATCTTTGTTTCTGAAGGCAGTAAGAAATAGTTAAAATGTTAAAATTAGTAAAATACGTATGATGAATAGTTATGGATATTATTTTTGGTTTTTTTATTTTGCTAATTTTTAGGCCTAGCCTAGTCTTAGCGGAGCCAAATTGACTTTCTTTTCAAAAATATTTGATTTTAACAATTTTTTTTCAGTGACTTCCTTCCGATCTCATCCCACCTTCGTTTTGCCATTCAACTCCTATCGCATTGTTTCACAGCCATCGTATATCCAGCAGCGACGATACTACCATTAAAATTCGTATTAAGATGGTTTCCTCAAGATCACAAGGTTTTCGCGGCGGGAGCCACATTCTTGGCCAATTTGAGCGCCATATTGATTGCAAATCTGTTGACTGGCTCAACCACCAACTTGAACATTATGGTAACATCAAGTGTGCCGTACTATAATGTACTGACGGGGTTGCTGAACCTGATGATTGGAGGACTTTCAATACTCGTGTTGACAAAAGTTTTGAATAAGGATGTATGTCAGGATGGCAACAGCATTTTGGAAGGTAAAAACTTTGATTTTGAATAATTTTAGTTTTTGAAAAAAATATTTTTTTTTATTTTTGCTGAAAAATTCGACGGGGGGACCAAGCTGAATTTTGCAAAAAACGAAATAACTTTGTTTACAAATACCAAGTGACAAAATTAAGTGTGTAAGGTTGTAAGGTATGCCATGTCGTACCTTTGCACAACTTTTTTTAATTTTTCAAAATAAAAATCTTTTAAATTTCAGATCTCAAAAAGTTCACGGACAAACGAGCGATTGGTGTTGCATTGGCATTGGGAGCCAATTTAGCGGTGTTTAACGTAATTTTAAGCACGTTGAGTCCACTTTTGTGTTCTGCTGGTCATGAACGAGTTTATACGTCGGCAGCAGCGGCTACTTTCATTATTGGAGGCGTCAGTGGAGTGATGTTTGCTGGTCTCATTGTGGACTTTACTAAACGACAGGATGAGTGCTTTAAGGTAAGAGAGTGTTACTTTGGTGCTCTGTACCCTACCTTACCCTACCCTGCCCTTTCCTAACCCTACCCTACCCTACCCTACCCTACCCTACCCTACCCTACCCTACCCTACCCTACCCTACCCTACCCTACCTTACCCTACCCTATCCTGCCCTTTCCTAACCCTAACTAAAACCTTTCTACCAAAGCCTTATCTTAACCGAGCCTTAATCTAGTCCTACCCTATTCTTACAGTAATACACACAATTCTATCTCTCAGTAACCTACTCTATCTTATCTATCCTACGGAATAATACTGTAACTGACCTTACGCTAACTTGCCGTACCCTACCCTACTCAACCCTATCTTCATATAACTTATACCCCTACCTCGCCCTCTTATTCTTACAAGCCCAGCCCAGTACTAAAATAAATCTTATTTCCAGTTCGGATCAGGCCTATGTGTAATAGCCCAACTGCTCTTCTTCCAACTAGTACTACACAAACAGAACCGTCACCTCGTCATCATATCCATAGCTTTCCTCGGCGAGCTTTTGCTTGGCCTAGTACCAGTCGGATTGGCCGTAATGGTACGACGACTGAAATCCGAAGCCGAGACGATCTCCGTAGCCATAGTGCTGATTCTCGGCCAATTCTTGTCACTTTTGTATCTAATGCTGATTAGTAGTTATAATGATGACATAAGCCCATCGAGGCCGGACATTGCCATTGTTAAGAAGAACTGCGAAGCGTATGGGCATGCGGCCAAGGATTGGACTTTGAGTGTTACGGTAGGTTGCTCCTTGAAATTTAAAAAATTTTTTGAAAATTTAAAAAATGTAAAAACTTTGTTTACAGTAATGAAAAATACTAGGTGTGATACGTAAAATAAAATTTTTCAAATTTCAGGTTGTATCAGTTCTGTCTACCGTAATCTTGATAGCCTTGTTCTTCCTGGATCGAAAAGAAAAGCGAAAGGCTAGTGAGGAATCAGTCCAGGCACAATCCGCCTCAACTCAAACTAATGGTAAGCTAAGGTCTTTATAGGCCGGTTAGGGGGTAGGGGTAGATTACCATACTTTTAACTAACCTGTAGCCCACACAGCACCAAACGCACCTAATATTACTGTATTTTTTCAGCCGAAGAAGTAGAAACTGCCATGGATACGACGACGGTACACACTGTAAAGCCCTAAACATACGATACCTATTAGAGATTTGGCTGTAAATTATTGTGAAACGTTCTCTTTTACCTATTTCTTACTGTAACTTGCTATGAAAACTCACTTACTTCTAGTCACTTATGCAAACTTTGAATAAATACGGTAATTTTAAGATGGCATGGGTCTGAAACTCAATATTATCATGAAAAAGCAGTACATATTACCCAGAGAACCATAATAAAACAATTTATTCACTACAAAAATTACAATAATATAGTTTTACATAGGCGTGTTGAGATCTCTGAGTTCGCTAGTTGAGTAGCAGCGGCACTCGCAGTCGTTGTTAATGTCATTAAAGCCGTATCGACCACGCCAAACACAGTTGAATATGTCGCATGCCATGTCGCTCAGCAGTCCATATCCACAACCTGAATTTCAAAAAATAAAACAAAATAGTTTACCATAGTCTACAAAAGACTACCCTACTTTACCTTACCTTACTCTGCCTTACTCAACCTCACCTTACTTTAATCTACCGCACTCTACTCCGCCGTGCCCTACCCTACTTTACTCTACCCTTCATAATCTTACAATATCTTATTCCAAATTTCAAAAACAAAAAAATTTTAAACTTCAAACCTTAAAATGTAATAAAAAATAAAAAAAACTTACGATGAACATCAGGACCGAGCGAATCCACCCCCAGCACCATACAAATCATCACAAAAACATAAAACATTCGGCTTGTCTTTGCCATCGAAACACAACACAAAAGCGACCAGTCGGTAATACAAAAATGAAACAATTAATTTGGTGTTCACACAATTTGTCATTGAACAATTTTTAATTTTTTTTATAATTTTCATTTTCAAATTTATTTCTTTTTCAAATTTTAGTTGATAAGATCAAAAGTGAAACTCGTTTTTAAATTTTTAAAAGGCTAGCCAAAAAATGGCATACTTAAAATTCTTTCTTACTTAAATTAACAAGGAGGGTGGTTTACAGTTAGTAAGCTTTACCTGTGCGCACATTTTTCAAAAAAAAATTTCTTGGCTTCGAGTTTAGCAAGTGAATCCACCCCCTTTCACCTTCCCCCCCCTTCTTCTCTCCTAACGAAGTCCCTGCTTATAAGGGATAACCTTTATCTTATGTCATCTACCTTTCTTGATCTCAAGTCCAAAGTACTCAAACGCGTACAAATTTTCGAATACCGAATGTTTAGGTAATAAGCTTAGATATCAAGTCTTGCTTTATAAAACTAAAAGGTCAATTTCTCTACTTTTTCATATTACTATAGTACGTAAGCGTGAACAAAACCTTTTTACCGACAATTCTACAGCTGTTTTCGGCGTAAATTTCGAATATTCGTGAGATTCACCTGTTTTACGGTGGGGCCAAGAGTACCACAGCATTTTAGTGAAGTTTAAGTTTAGGTTTTTGAGTGGTCGTAGTTCAGACTTGAGATATTTTTGGTCTGAATTTGCTATTTTTTGGTTAGTATAGTGCGATTTTTGACGTTATTTTAGGTTTAATTGATTGTTTATTAGCTTTTATTTTATTTTATGACTGTTTTTCGTCTTTTAAATATTCTTTTATTTCTTTTTTTTATCAACTTTTAGTTATTCTTTATATTGTTTATCCTCTTTTAGTTCATCATATTATTTTTTTATCGTCTTTTAGTTCATCTTACAATTGTTTTTCATTTTTACTTCTTATATTTATTGTTTATCACCTATCAGTTCGTCTGGAATTCTTGTGAATAATTTTTTTACTTCTTCTTGTTATTATATATCATCCTTTATTTCATCGTTAGTTTCTTTTTCATCAACTTTTAGTTCATATTAACATTTTTTATCGTCTTTTAGTTTATCTTACTTTTTTCTACCATCTTTTAGCTTATATTAGTATTGTTTATCATCTTTCATTTAATCTTTCTATTGTTTATCATCTTTTAGTTCATCTTTCTATTGTTTATCATCTGTTAGTTCATCTTTATCTTGTATATCGTATTTAAATTCATCTTGCTATTGCATACCACCCTTTACTTCATCTTTCTTTATTTTACATTATTCTAGCCTTTCAACCAAGCTTTTGTCACTCCCACCCTCAATATGGGCTGCGGAGCATCAAAAGCCGCCCTCCTTTTACCACACCCAGCAGTAGACACAGAATTCGGCCCAATCGAAGGAAAACGTATTTTACTGCGTGACAGACGAGTAGTCAACGTATTTCTCGGCGTTCCCTTCGCCGAGCCGCCCATCGGAAATCGACGCTTTAAACGACCGGAATCTCCTGAGCCTTGGACTAAAACTTTACCGTGTAAAGTGTACAAAAAACGGCCAATGCAGACCAACTACATCTGGGACATTACACACACTGGTCGAGGTGTTAGCGAAGACTGTTTGTATTTGAACATAATGGCTCCGGCTTGGAGCAATAAAGAGTTTAAGAACGGCTTCCCGGTTTGTGTTTATGTTCATGGAGGTGGGTATGTCATGGACTCGGCCGCTGGGTATCGGTATGGGAATATTGCGAGGTAAGTTGTTTAAGATTACTGTGGAGCTTACATATATACTAGGTTTGGCCTAGCCTAGAGCTAAAAGTAGGTATGTTTCCAGTGCCGGCAGGTACCAGTCTATACCACTCATAATTTCAGAACGCTAGTATCAAAGGAAGTGCTAGTAGTAACGCCAGAATATCGTCTAGGCTACTTTGGCTTCTTTTGCTTGGATGATAAACATTGTAAAGGCAATTTCGCGCTATGGGATCAAGCAATGGCATTAAAGTTTGTCAAGGATAATATTGCCAAATTCGGTGGTGATCCAGAGAAGATCACTGTTATGGGACAAAGTGCCGGAGGCACGTCTACTGATCTTTTGAGTTTGTCACCTATTACTAGAGGTAGGTTTAGGTTGGTATTTTGTTTTAATTAGTATTGTTTTGAAGTTTTTTTGAAGTTTTTTAGTTTATTATTAGGTAGTTCAACTAATTCTTTGCCCCCTCTGAAAACGAAATTTTATCTCATTTTTCAACTTTAGATTGTCTTGTTGTAGTAATAGATTGTATTGTTGTACTAATATAAAGATTGTCTTGTAGTACTAACATATTGTTTTAGATTTATTTCACCAAAAGATTTGTATGGCCGGATCGGCCGAAAATCAATGGTCAATGAGTGAAAAAGAGTGGGTAATAAAACGATGTAGAGAAAAAGCCCTCAAACTTGGCTTTGTCAGAACATCAGAATGTGAGTTGTTTATTGATAACAACAAAAATTGTTTCGTATTTTAGGTGATCTTTATTTATTTTTTGTATTTATTATTATTTTAGTTTAATCTTTTCTTCTTTTCAAACACTAATTGTATTGTTTATACGTTTTTTTTATTTCTTTTCTTTAATTTCCAGTTCAAAAATAGTTTTTTTAGTATTGCTTTTTATTATTTTGATATTGTACTTTGTATTTGATCAATTTTTGAGTCGTTACACAAATTATTTTATAAAATTTTAGCTCCAGAATGGACTGAAGAAGAGAATAAACAATGTATGGAATATTTACGTAAATTGCCGTCGGCAAAACTGGTATACCCCGTTCATAGTAAGTTCAACATTTTTTAAGAGTTTCTATGTCTTCAAAAGCTATATTATATTAGAAGACACAACGTAAGGCCATAAATATTTTTAAAACTTAATATTTTACAAATTTGACCACCATGCCCTATCTTAAATAATTTTTTTAATGGTTTTCCCAAAGTACCATGCATGGCCATGCCACATTGAAATCAAGTTCAGCTACAGTAATGTCTTTTTAATCTAAAAAATAATTATCAGCTTATTTATTAGTACAACAGACCCAAAAACAGTTAATATGGCAAACAATACAACGTTTTCGAAACGAAAAAATCAAGGCTTCCTAGGCTTAAATACGTCAAAAATTACAACACGTAACAAAACTCTTTAAAATTTGAGGATAACTATCTTAAAAAGACCAAAAACTCTCTTTGTGACACTATCTTACCCTTAAAAACGGAAGTAAAACATAAAAAATTCCCTCAAACTCACTAAACCTCCATCTTTAACCCCCATACATCAACTAAACTTTGCAATTTTAATATCATGAACAAGTTATTATACCAAAAACAGTTATCTCCGGCTTCTATACACTACTCTGGTTCTTGGAGCAGGTTCACTCACATATCTGACCGCTCTTCGTGAAGATTGAGGTGATTCAGAGTAGGTAATGCGTCTGTGCCCGTTTCCTGGATTGGCCGGCCGAAAAGCTGGCCTAGCGGAAGTCTGAACTTGAGTTCTCCTGAAGCTTCTGTTCACAAATACTCTACTCGTTGAGGGCTGTGCTGTCCTGAAATTAGTTTAGAGTAAAAACGTGTTTTTCGAAGGGTAAAAATATATTATCCTTGACGTCAGCCCTCAAACATTAAAACTATCTTTAATGTCGAAATCTTACGTATTTTAACAGTGCGTATCAAAAATTTTTATCAAGACTTACTCAAATCTTTTCCGTCTATCCTCCAAAACCATCTGTTCACTTCTTAACCTTGATGCCTGAACAGCCTTTGGGGGTGATCTCTTCTGAATCGCTCTACTTTGATTTCTAATCGGAATATCATCAGCCACAGTGATTGTGTGTCCTCTTTTCACTATTCTAGTACGTGGCATTGAGCTTGAGCTAGCTGAAAATATACCTTAAGTTTACGTAAAGCTTGAACTGGAAATGGACGAAGACTAAGACCATTTTTGTCTCTAAATCCAAAACAAAAAAGACCTTTTTAACCACAAAACAATGAAAAATAATTCTCCATCTTTTACAACTGATTTCGACCAATTTTAGCGAAGTTATTACCTAAATATCAACAAAAAACAAAACTCCATACCTTGGCTCGAAGAACTGACACTGTTGGAAGAAATCTGGTTGAACACAGGTGAATTCCCTTCAGTGTTCCTAATATAATGCAGAATAGCGAGCTAAAACATCAATCCACATTATTTTACAACCATATTCTCTTACCTGATCTCCCAAAGCCGTTACATTCAAATCTCTGAGATCATTCTTGGTCAGATCCTTGAGCATGTAAGGTTGAATGCGTTCTGTTGTAAATTTAGCAGCATAAGTCTTCTGAACCCGAGCTGGTAAATCACATGCAGCAAAAAATCTTTCCCATACTTCTAAAAATATAAAAATCAATCAGAAAATCGAGTTCTTACCTTTTGGACCAGCCATTTTGATGTTGGAATGTCTTGATTTTGAAGTTTGAAATTTTTAAAACAACAAAATTAAATGAAAGCCAGTAGGAAATGAATATTTTAGCGTTTATATATCGCTTTTGATCCTCTGGTTCAATGTTTTACTGTAAAACGAACGAAAAGCGAGCTAATTTTCTGAAGTATGTTTGCGACGTGCGACCGAGCCTTTTGAATTTGCGAGGGCAATTTTATACGAAGGAAAAACGCAATTTTTATGAAAAAGTCGAATTAAAATTAAATTTTGTGTAAAATTAAAGTGTTTTACATACAAAATAATTTTTCTTTTTATATATTTTATCGATATTGTTTTAGGTGAAGGACCAATGTTATTCAAAAATCAAAAACTTTCGATTTGTCCAGTTATGGATGGAGAATTTTTGCCAAAGCCCCCAGGGCCAATGAGACGTGATTGCTACCCAAAACCGTCAATTATAGGAGTAACTAAGTATGAAGCGTTGATTTTTTGTAAGTTTAAAATTTTTTAATTTATGGTGATCCACCCTTAAAATAACTGAACAAAATTACCCTACCCTGCTCTATATATTAATATTTTACCCTGCCCTGCTCTATATGATACTCTTTTTTGAAATTTAAAGAAAAAAGCCAGTAGTATCATTTTAATTAAAAAAAATTAGGACGGGGATAATTTTACCACGCCTTTGCCTAAAATATCAAAATTTCAGTAGCAATATCAGGTCGCCGAGCCAACCAGAAGATGTTAGCCTTTGCTGAAGACAATTTCGTTAGACTTCAAAAGTTATTGGAAGGGAAGGTCGATCAAACAAATATGTTATCACTACAAGCCTTTCGTGATATGTATGGTATAAACGACATGATGAAGAAGGACAGAAGAGCGTTGGGAAAAGCGATGGTAATATTGGTCAGTGATTTGGTCAACAATATCGCTACTCATAGTTATTGTGTTAAAGCTGCTGCTAATGGAGTTCCGTGTTGGAGATATGTTATGGAACAGTTTCAGCCGGCTCAGACAAGGCTGTTTAATCCATTGTTTCCTGTGTTTGGTACGTTTTTTGGCTTGGGGTTAGGTGCGGTTTAAATATTGTCTTAGACTTAGGTTTAGGCTTAGTATTAGGGTTAGGTTTAGGCTTAGGCTTAGATTTTGGCTTAGGATTATGTATTAGTTGGTTTAAGCTTCTTCTTTGGCTTAGACGTAGGCTTAGTTTTATGCTTAAGCGGGTTTAGTGGTAGATTTACGCTTAGCTCTAGCTTAGGCACAGGGCTAGTTTATTAGGCACAGGGCTATGCTTAGGCTCAGTCTTGGGCAAATGTTTTACTTCGGCTTAGGCTTACTATTAGGTTTTTTCTGGGACTTAACCTTTGGTTTAGGTCTTGAGGATTTATAAACGTAGTTTTAGGCTTAGGATTTAGCATATAAGCTTAAAATTTAAGCCTGTGCTTAGGCTTAGGCTAAGAGGCATTTCTTGCAAAGTTTTAGGCTTACTTTTAAATTTGGGTTTTAGCTCAAGCTGAGGCTTCATGTTGTTTAGGCTTATTACCTTCAGGCTTAAGCTTGGCTCGCGACTAAAGTTATGGAGTGTTAACATTAAAGTTATAACTAAACTAACAATTTACGCTAAAAATGTCATTTTATATGCTATTTAGGCGCAACTCACTGCACTGACCTGATCTACCTGTTTGAATTCAATTTTTTCCAACAAATTTGGATACCACGAGCTGCCGATCGTAAAGTAATGTACATGTTTCAAACGTATTTTACGAATTTCATAAAATACGGTGATCCGAACATATCAAGCAGTGATGAGAAGGGAGGCTTTGATCAGAATCTGATCAAATGGGATCCGGTTTCGACCGAAAATGCCTCAAGGCAAATGTTTTTTCGAGGTGAACCATTTGTTGGCGACAATCCTGATGCCAAGAAGTTGGATCGACTTCTGGGGATGTTGGGTTACTTTTCGGAGAATCTGGGTTATGATATTACAAATATTCAATAAATCGCATCTTTGTTGAAATTCGGTGTCTTGTAGAACTCAAAATTAAAAAAAATTGTAAGACTTACAATAAGGCTTAGGCTTGAGCTTAAACTTAGGTTTAGGCTTAGACTTAGACTAAGGTTTAGGCTTAGGCTTAGGCTTAGGCTTAGGTTTAGGCTTAGGCTTAGGCTTAGGCTTAGGCTTAGGCTTAGGCTTAGGTTTAGGCTGAGGCTTAAGCTTTGGCTTAGGCTTATGCTTAGTAGGCTTAGTAGGCGTAAGCGTATTAGGTTTAGGCTTATTAAGCTTAGGAAGCTTAAGCTTTTTAGGCTTAGTCTTTGAAGCCTTATTTGAGTTTAGCTTAGGTTATGTACACCGAGGCTTAGTCGCCTTAGGCTTTATGGGCATAACACATTATATATAAAAAATTAGGTTTATTTATAAAAAAGCCAAAACAAACTTGAACCTTTTTTAGTCTGTCTTAAGTCGTACGTTTTTTTCAAATAGAAAGGTCTCAAATTTCGTATTATTGGTTTATTTGATATCATATCAAGGCAAAAGTTTAAACATGCATTTCACGGAAACTTTGATCAGTTTGTTGGCTAAAATTTGTCTTTTTTTGTCTATGGCTGACGCTGGGGCTATATTTTAGGCTTAGCAAGCTTTGGCTAAGATCTGAGCAAGAGCTTTAACTTGAGTTAGAGCTCAAACTTGAGCTTGTCGCTGAGTTTGACCTACAGCATGCACTTAAACAAAGGCTAGGGCTCCTGGTCTAGGGCTCTGGACTAGGGATCTGGGCTAGGGCACTGAGCTAAGGCTTTGGGCTAAGACTCTGGCTAGGGCTCTGAGCTAGGGCAACGGCTAGGGCTAGGAATGGTACGTACTAGCATTATTGCGGAAAAGTTATAAATAGTGTAGTCAATTAAAGTATTTACCTTAAAATTTTCTTCAAAATTTATATGAATTTAAGCCAAATCCGTTATAATTGTTGTAAAAAACGGGCTATTGTTATTAAAAACTATTTTTAATCCTCCTTTTTTCAATAGGTAGGGTAAAATGATTACCCATTTTTTAAAAAATTTTTGGAGAAAAAAATATTTTTGGCTGATTATTACCTAAAATAATACATAAAATATTTTTTATAACGCATATGTTAAGTGCCGACATAAAGAACCCGCCGCTTTTTATAGGAAATTACAAGAAAAGTATGGCGGATTCTTTATGTCGATGCCTAATAATACTTTAAAATGTTATTTTTTCTATTTTTTTTTTTAAATTGGGCTTGGACTCGCAATCGGGCTTATAAAATTATTTTAGACTAAGTTATTCTCGCGCAATTGCTGAAAAACTGCTTTTGAGGGATTACTTCGCCAGCAGTTCTTGGCATTCAACATAATTAATTACGGCCGTTTTGCAAAACTTTTTCCAAAAATATTTTTTTTGAAAAAAATGTTGGGAGCATATTTGATTTGATGGGCATGGGAATGGTGAAAAAACGAAAATAAACTTGAATTTGGGATTAATCCAGGGACGTAAAACTTAAATATGTATAAGATTATTACGGGACAACAAGGTTATCCTAAGGCTAACAGGGCTTAATATTAGATAAAAGGGTAAAAGGTTAAAAAAAAGTTTAATAGATAATATTATAGAATTAAAAGAGAGTTCATAGGCCTTGTTTGGTCCTGGGTTAAGCCGAGACAAACTGTAAAGTGGCTGGGCCGCAGCGGCACTGTAAACCCGAGGGCCGGGCACAAACCACGATCTCAGGTATAGGGTTTGATGAAGTAAACCATATAGGAGTTAAAAGCTGACCTAAAAGAAGACCAGGTAATTCCCGGTTTGGCTTTGGATCGGCCGTACTCAATGCCAACTTTGAAAAAGACTGGGTCGGGTTAAAATTTGGGCTTAGCTACGGTTTTAACAGGGTCAATTTGAAAGGTGGGGTAGGATAGGGTAGGATAAGGTACAGCAGGGTAGGGTAGGATGAAAAAAATTAGAGTTGGATAGTTGTTTTAACATTTTTAAAGAAAAAGATTGATTAGACTTAATCGATCTTTGTGACATTTATTTGTTTCTAAATGACAAATCGAATTTTAGTTTATTTTTGATCAAAGCGACATTTTATCAAAATATTTTTGTTTCTGTCATGACATCTTCTTTTTAATTTAAAAGTTTTTATCAGGTAGGGCAATTTAAGTTTATGCATGCTAGGGTTAATGTGCGATAAGGATGCGATCGATAAGGGTGCGAGATGATAAAGTACGGTATGGTGACGGTACGGTAGGATATGACTAAACTAAGATAGGCATAGGATGGGGTAGAGCATGATGAATGTGGGGTAAGGTAGGGTAGGATAGGGTAAAAAATTTTAAACTTCAAATTTTTTAAATCTTTGATTCTCTCCCTCTTAAAAATTTGCATATTTGTTTACAAAGAATGTCTTCAGCGTATTATATTAACATATTTATGTGAAACGCGCCTAAAGTGCAACTTGAAAAATACCCTGGGGCGTTTTTCGGTTGTAATACTATATGGGTATTTATTTGTGTTACCACGATTGTTATTGGCTGTCATATTTTGGGAAAATTTTTGAAAAAAGCTGTTTATGTCAATATTTATAATAAGCAGGGGTTTTTGAAGCTTTATTAAGGATGAGTTCTGGGAAATTTTTGACAGATTTTTGATGTTTTTAGGCTTAATGATCAAGTTTTTTGGGCATATAAGAAAAGAGTGTTGTCATTATAGGCATTTTCAGCACTCATGAGGCGATTAGACTTAACTTTTGTGAAAAAATTTTTTTGGGCGGGGTAAAATTTTTTTTATTTGGGGATGGATTTACATTTTTTTGCTTTTTTAGGCATTTGTTTTACATGTTTGTATAGCTTAAAATTTATTTTTTGGAAAAAAAATTTTGGGAAGGGTAAAAAAATATTTATTTTTTGGGAGTGGATAAAAATTTTTATGATTTTTTATAATCAAAATCGATACTTTAAAAGCGTTATAAATTCATTTTTTCAAAACTTAGTTTCAAAACAAAGCTTTTTTTAAAAAAAGTGTACGGCTTGGTAAATATATTTTAGGGGGTGGTTAAAATTTTTAAAAGTTTTCAAATCCTTAGCCTTCAATTGAAATTTTAAACCATTTTTGAGGAGTTTTAAAAATTTGCGCAGTAAACTTGGCCAGACATCGAATGCCGGCTGTTTATTTGAGCCTCTTACGATCGTTGTTCTATAGTAAAGTTCATTCTTGTCAAAGGAATACGAACTGGGTAAATATTCAAATTTCATTTTAAAGTTTTTTCAAGTCTTCTTTAAATTGAATTTTCAAAATTAAAATTTTTTTTATTTTTAGTTTTGCTTTAAGCTACTAATAAAAGTTTTGTTGTTTTATAACGCATAAACTACAGGATAAAGGCGACAAGACTTTTTTTGCCGCTTCAAAATTAATTTTTTAAAAATTTCTGATTTCATTACTTCAAAATTTAAAAATTATTGAATTTCTCATTTAAAAACGTTTATTTCGACCCAACTTGACCAGCAATGTTATAATTATAAGGTACAAAAACGTGAATATTTGTGTCATCGCAATATGTTTAATTATAGGGTACCCCTATAATGCTACGAAATGTCCGATTATGCGACAAGTTCACGGTATTTAAAGTTTCATAAATGATATGTGGGTCAGGAAGAAATACAAGTTTGTGTTGTAGACTACTTAATTTTGAATTTCAGGCCTAAAGGTTTAGGTTATAGACGTTGAAATAAAAAACTTTAAGCCTACGTTTTAATTTTATAGATTAAGAACTAGGGTCACAGAGTAAGGAAGAAGATAAAGGAAAAAGTAGGGCAGTGTAGGGTAGGGTAAGGTAGAATAATTTAGAGTATGGTAGGGTAGAACAGTAAGAAAATTAGGGCACGGACTGTTTTTGGCATCAGAGCAGAAAGCAGGAGCTAGAATTAAGGGTAGGGCTTTAGGGAAGAATAGTAAAAGGCTTGGGATAAAAGGTTACTCTTGGGGCTGAGCAGCAGCTAGAGTTAAGACTAGGGTCTCGCTATAGTAAAGCAAGAGTAATATAGAGGTGGTTATCGGTACAGTTTTAAAACCAGGACCAAGACTGCGGTCTTAACTTTCTTGACCGGAGTGGACCGATTTTGAAAATGCATTTGACCGGATCCACAGCTAATTCTATTGTAAGACCAGGGCCAAAACTTAAAGCTCAGGCAAGGCAATTGCGCTAAACCTCTGGGCTAGGGCTCTGGGTTAGGGCTCTGGTCTAGGGCTGTGGGCTAGGGCTCTGGGCTAGAGCTCTAGGCTAGGGCTCTGGGCCAGGGTTCTGGCCTAAGGAGAATCGAATCTGTTCAAGCGAGTTTCGAATCCGTTTTACATTTTTTGGAAATTAAATTTTTTATGAACAGACCCGAAAGTGGCCGAATTCGTCGGAGTCATCCCCTTTTTTTGGAAACATATCTTCATACGAAGGGAATGTGCCAAAAAACGTGGTGAATATATTTATATTATAAACGCCGCCGGGGATTTTGGTTTTGATATGGCCATGGGTTTTTTTGAAGTGGCCAAGTGCAAATTTGTTGATGGATGTCAAAAGTTTTTTAAGTTTTGAGGTTTTGGGTTAAAATGGCTATTTTTAAAGAGGGTAAAAGGTTACTGTAGGTTAAGAGGGTAGGGTAGGATAGGTCAGTGTAAGATAAGGTAGGATAGAATAGGGTAGGGTAGGGGCAGGCAAGAGCAGGGCAGAAAAGGATAGGCAAAGCTAGAGTATGGCACAGGGCAAGGCACAGGGCAAGGCACAGGGCAAGGCGCAGGGCAAGGCTCAGGGCAAGCCAAGCCAAGCCAAGCCACTGCGACTAGGCAGGGTATTTTAAGCCTTCAAAAGTTATATTAACATTGACCTTTCACCCTTTATTGCGTAAGCTCTGTCGCCTATAATAAACCTGTCAGAGGTGCGTCTGAACTTTCCTTAATCTCGGTATATAACAGTCGTTTACCACAGTCTTTTTTTACTT